GAGCTCGATGTTTATTCTGCCCACCCAAAACTGGCACCACAGGGATATTTTTTTAAAAAGATATTTATTAGAAATTTAAAAATTACAGAAAAAAGGAAAACAATAAAAAGTTTAACAGAACATACACCATAATACATAAAAAGAAAAACACAAAAAAATTCAACAATACAACAAAAAGAAACAAAAACACTAAAACACACATCCAATATTCCATATCTTTACCTTTCATTTACTTGTTTCATCGACCTCCTCACACCTCCCTTTTTTGTATTCTAGTACAATTAACTATTTCAGCAAATTCTTTCCATCTTTCTCAATTTTTGTTCTATAATTTATCTTAACGGTCTAACCTTAATTTTTTCCATATTGGCCCATTATCAATCAGCTTTTACTTAATTCTTTATTACATTTCTGCTAAAACCATATAATTTCATTCCAGCATCCTTCTAACATTCATTACACCACAGGGAAATTTAGAGCAGCTGTCATGTCACAATACATAGTTGGTGTGTCACATATTGTGCAGACTTGTGTAGCGGGGAAGGGCGGTGCTATAGATCTAGCACCCTGATGGTGGTGTCACTGCTGCTTATCAGGACAGTGTAGGAGCAGAGCAGGGCAACAACAAGCCAATCCAGAATTTCCACCGCTGTACCCGAACGGTCCCAACCTCACCAGCGCCTTGCCACTTCCCTGCACCATCTATGTCTAGGGCAGCAATGCTGCTGCTCAGAGGACAGGTCCATGGTGTCACCATTCCCTGCCAGCTGCTCCTGTTCAGATACCACTGAGGGAAGAACTAGATTCTATGAAGGCATCAGGGCTGGGATGTGGGTAGCAGTCTGAGGCAAACTAGGAGCCATGGGTTGAGCCAGGAGTCAGGAACGAGTAAGTCAGAACCAACAGGCAAACCAAGAGGCAGAATCAAAGAGCAAACCAGAAGTCAAGGATACACCAAAGCTCAGGAAGACCACATGGCTCAAGCAAGGCTCAACTTGGAACAGGAAGCACTTTATACTACTTCCTGCCTGCCCCAGATGATCCGTTTGGCCAGCCTGGGTGGGCAGAGTCAGACCATAACCTGCAGGTATTTCTCCAACAAGCTGCCACCTGCTGTTTGGCAGTTCACCACACCAAGGAGCACACACAAATTCAGCAACTCCTGACGGAAGGAAACAAGGGGTATTCTCATGATGTCATGCAAAGGCTGGGGAGCATTTACAGGGAAGAAACTGAGCCAAGCTCATTGGCTGTGGGGGTGGGGAAGTGGTTTGTGGCCAGTGCTATTTTTCTAGAAAAAGAGGTGGCGGAACTCACCATGAATGCCTCCCTTATTCCTTTATAATGGCCGTGGCACCCACCTGAAAGATGCAGGAACTGAGTTCCTGTGAGTTCTGGCTGGAAAAAAATCCCTGTTTGTGGCCCAAGAATGGACAGGCATGGAAGGGGTTCAGTGGCCATACTGCTTGCTTGCTTGCTTGCTTGCTTGCTTGCGAATGTTACCCTGGAAGAGCATCCTACTCCTGCATTAACAACAACAACATAATATATAAAGAAATGTGGGTTGAGGCTGTATGTTTGTTTGTGTAATGACTTGTGTGTCCTTGAAATATGACAGAAATAACTGAAGGGATTCTTGGTTTGGCAGAAGAATGGGCAAAACAGTATAAGGTGAATACAATGGAAATCCACATTCTTGGAAGCTAACTGTGAAAAGGCCAGATAAAACACTTCCTGGGATTGTCAACTGTGAAACAGCACCATTCAGGAAATGTAAGCAGAGACTACAGAGCACAGGACATTACAGCAGCAGCACCATCTGGTTTATTGGTTTCATTATTTATTTATTTATTCATTTCAACAACGTATATACCATTTAACACCATAGTTTCTAAACCATGTACAATGTGGTTACAAAAGAGATACAAAGAATAAAATCACTTAAAATAAAATTTCTTAAATGAGAAACGTTTGCCTATAATCCCTGCTGAAATAAAGTAAAAGGCATATTTCATGAAGTCTTTGATTAAGGCAGGTAAATTTTGTTCCATTTCAGTCATCCCAGCACTGACAGGGGGGCTTTTCTTAGCCAAAAATGAGGGAGGGGGGCAGAATAAATGCTCTTGGCTGGTTTCAAAGCAGCATTTAAGAATGTAGGGGGTTATTCGTTAACCACTATTTTAAAACACACAAAATCTTTCCTGTGCTCAGAAATTTTCCAAATAGATTCTATTAACCACATTTCCTGTGCTCGGAATTTTTCCAAACAGATTTCAGCAGACCTCCAAGAGCATTTTTCACATCTTAGCTGAGGCTTGAATCGATTGAAACGAGCACGGCTTTAGCCTCATGTGTGAAAACACCCCAAGTCTCCACTGTGCCTACTTCCTTCAGTAATTTCATTGCATTTATGTTCTCCAGGGACTACCTGCCAACCCACAAGACTGCTAGCAGTGAAACAATAAGAGAACACAGGGATGGGGGAACAAACATTGCATATACCAGCTAAAACAAGATGTTTCAGACAACTAAAGGCCTCTCAAGGGACTGCAATTGATTTACCTTACATGCACACCGATAGCTCCTTGCTTTCTGGCAGTTCTTCTTATTTGCTCCCGCGGGTTTTCTACTAGCGAGGTTCAGCTCAACAAGATTTGAAGTCAAGTTATTGTTTATTTATGGAGTAGGGAACTAGAATTTATGAAGGCTTCTTTAGAGCAACTCTGACAAACACATGACTAACACCATAGCCTTCCCCACCCCTGCAATTACACCTTCGCAATATCTATACTTTCTGACTGCTTCTCAAGGCTGGAACATTGTCTATGTGTTCCACTTCCATTGCACATGTTTATTAAATCCAGAAGGCAATAGCTGATTAAAAAATGCTAATCATAGGACATACATATCCTTGTTACCCTGCTCATGTCATCCTTACCACCATGCACCTTTCCCTTTCTCCTTCTCTTCTTATTTCTCTTTCTCAGCAAAGAGATGGAGCCTTTGAAAGTCTCTAACAGCTCAGATGAAACTCAGGGCAGACCCACACCAGACATTTAAAGCACATCCAACACACGTTTGACACCCATGACTTCCCCCAAAGACTCCTGGAAGCTGTAGTTTGTTGTGGGTGCTGAGAAAGAATTGTAGCTCTGTGGGTGGGAAACTACAGTTCCCAGGATGCTTTGGGGAAAGTCATGGGCTTGAAGTGTGCACTGGATGTGCTTTAAATGTATTGTTATGAGTTTGGGGGGATTAGGTTGAATGCCTGGGCCCCCTTCTCATTATTGGACTAGCCAGGCCAACTTCCTGGTGAGTTGATAGCCTGAGTGAACAAAGGGGAACAAAATAAAGGGCAACAAAGGTCTGTGTGAGACAGCAAATGGGTGCAGCTCCCCTCCCTCAATTTGCAGGTAGTTGGAAGGACAAGGGCAGAGTTGGGAGCAGAGAATTGGAGTGATGTGAGCTAGAAGCAAAGCAGAAAGCTGGGAAGCAAGAGAGAGATAGAGCAATGTTTGATTGATGTTTGAATCCAAGGCTGTGGCTGTGGGCATAGGCGCCGACTCCATGGGGCTTGAGGGGGCCCGAGCCCCCTCAAAAATTCGTTTGGGGGGGCTCCGCCCCCCCAATAATCTCCGGCGCCCCTCCAGCAGAGCGCCATCGCCGCCCCTCCCCCAGCCCAAAATGCACAGGGAGGGGCGGGCTGCATGCCTCCTGCCCTCCCTCCCGAGCAAAAGCTCCACCCAATTTCCTTTGGAGCTGATTAATAGGCGCAGCACGCTCTCCCCTATTCGCTCACGAGGAGGCGGCGCCACTTTATTTGCATATTCATGAGCTTATTTATTATTCATGAGCTTTCCCGGGCCCCCCCAATATTTTTTATAAGTCCGCGTCCCTGGCTGTGGGGGAAGCAAGGCCCCCCTTGCTGTGAACGCCTCCATCGTAGGCTCAGTTTGTATATATTATATATACTATATACGCATAAATAAACCATATATCCTAAAGACACCACAGTCTCTGCTGTGCCTCATTTCCAAAAGAAACACAAACCCCAAGTAAAGTGTATACCAGTAAATGCCTAGAATCCCTGGACTCTTGTACTGCTCAGAGACTGGAGTGGTATTCAGTAGTGTGGTGTAGATCTGCTATTTGGAGTACCGGTACTTGCTAGCTCCCAGTGACCAGCTCAAGTTCCTGCCAGCCCCAGGTCTAGCCTTTCTTGCGTTCCAGACTTGAGATCTCACTCCCACCTGTGGGCATGTATGCACAGTACAGATCTGGGGCTGGAAGCACCACAAAAAACACTGACCCAAGGCACAGATCCTCATGGACCTTCATTATTCTTACACAGGATGGCAACAAAAGCACCAACAAATCAGAGGAAACATGTAGGCCATAGAGATAGCCTATGATCAGATTATGGTTCTGAGGGAATTTCTTATAACAACTACAACAAGCCACACCAGGGATCCTTCCCCACCCCCCTGCCATCCCAGTGTTGTAACATACTAGATCTGTGGTTTTTACAGTTCAGTTAATGAAAACTCATGTGACTGGTAATTTAATTGGAGGGTGACACTTTTTAAAAAATGTATTTTTATGTGAATGTTTTACCAGATTCAGCCTTCACTCTGGTGCTCCAGCCCCTCCCTGTCTCTGACAATTCCATATGCTCTATCTCCCCTGACTCCTGAAGCAGCCCTCTTTCTTCCCTCTACCTGCCACCCTTGGTAGCTCCATTTCTCTCCCCCTCATTTTTCCAGCTGCTCCACTCACGTCACCTAACATGGAGAGACAATATTCCTCAAAGGAAGGAAACGGCATTTTCAACTTCATGTGTGAATCAGCCCTGAGGCTGTTAATATGTGTGTAGAATAGGAGAGGAGGATCTATATAAAACAGAACAAGGTTCCTGTGCTCAAGTGTCTTCCAGTATTGAAAGAAATACATGAGTACTGCTGAGATTTGTAAACTTGAAAATATTTATCGTAGAGCAGGGGGAAAGTTGAAACTTTTATTGAACCAAATTCTGCTGGTGCAAACATACAAAGTAAAGTCTCTTGAGTCAAAGCGAAATTATTTACACAGACAAAGGATGGCAAAAAATAACTATCATATGTGTGTCTTTTTTCTTTTCTATTTTAGCTGGAGCTTTCAGGACTGTTGGCAAGCTTTCACTGAAGACCACTTTGCCACTGATTCAGTAGAGAAAGAAAGTGCAAAACCAACAGACTCATCAGTGCATTTCAAGTTCATGACTGAACTATGGAGAGAAGTTCACCACGGACTTAGAAGGTAAGTAGCAAAATATGGGTGGTTATTGTACTGCCACTTCCTTAAAGCTATTGGATATTCCCCCTGAATGTTTATTGGGACAGAAATGTCATATTAGTTCTCTGAACAAATGACACACATTTGAAGAACAGTTCAGTTATCCTGAGCAGAGAAGTGGAAGATCATGGAATGTGCTTGTAGAACAGTTTGGTTTTGTTTGTTTGTTTTGGCTGATTCTCCAGGACAACGCTTTCTTCTTTCATGAGATGCTCCTCCCATCATTCAAAGCACATTTAAAGCACACACACCCTCCCCAAGAATCACATAGCATATCCCTCACAGATCAACAATTCCATGCGCCCTTAAGAAACTACAATCTCCACAGAGGCTTCAAGTTAGAAAGAGGGAGGCCTTTCTGGGCTCTCTGGTTCTCAAATGGACCAAGGGCTGGACCTCCAGCAGCCTGCAGCCTATAGGAGCCCACCCAATTTCCCTGGGGGAAAACAGGTATGAATTGCCCATTTTCCCAGACGGGAAGCACCATCAAGTTTTATAGAGGAATCGGGCTCTCTAATAATCGTCCTACACAGCGGTCATTCAAAATGAAAGTGTCGTGCAGTTATCTTGTTTATCGGGTCTCTAAGACATTTTCTACCCCTTGCACAACCCCTCTGAAGTGCTACAGGCCAGAAAGAGATACATCACATAAGACTACTGTGTTATGCCTCTCAAATGTCACATGGGAAGAGTCTATTAAATACAGACTTTTTCAAGCTTCTTTGTGTGTGTCTGTTCTTCTGTTGTATTACTTTGTTTTGCCTAGAGTAATTGATGCTGGTTTGAAGGCCTCCTCCATTTGAAGGGTTGCCTTGTCCAAGCCTGGCTTCAAGATAAAGGACCATTAAAAATAAAGAACAGGAAGTACCCTGAAGTTGCCCTTCAGGACTTAGCACCTAGATAACAGACTGAGCAGTCTTCACTCCCCACTATGGTGAGAGGTATTGTATTTCTACTTAAATTACAGTAATTATTTCTAAATCTGCAGCTTTATTTATTTACTTGCTCATACACATCTCTGTCCGGGGGGGGGGGGGGGACAGGGACGACGACGACAATATCTTAGTGGCTACCCTAGTTACAAAGATAAAAAAATTAAAGCAAAACAAAAAAAGAAACCAACATAAGCATGGCCACTGAGGATTCGTGCCTTTAGCGAGTAAACACAGCTAAATTATTTGTAAAATCTCCTGTTCAAACATTAATAACCATTTGGACAGTTTAAAAATGCAATACCTGAGACAAAAGAAAAAGGGAGATCATGATATCATTTTATCCAACACTCATTTGCAGTAATGCATTCACAAAATGATAGAAGGGAAAGGAAAGGCTTAGGTCCCCAAAGAAGTACATTCATTTTCATTATAAAGATATATAACAAAATACACGTTCATGCAAACCTGGCCTTGGTCTGAGAATTCTGTATATTCATTTGTCTGAAAAAATAACGAATGTAGAAAGCTATGCTATTCTTGCAGTAACAAAATGTCAACGTTGTCATGAACACCTTGCAGAAGCAGCTCTCCAGGGTAACTAACAATCTTCCTTCGTTTTGCAGCTTTAAGAGTCCCCACCAAAGCTTCAAAAAGGTTGGCACATTTGTCATCAGCAAAGAGCACACCAAACTTCACACTCAGTGTCCCATCAGGATCTAGACAAAAGAAATAATTACATTGTGATTATAGACAATATTTTTATTTCATCAGGCATTAATTCATTGTCTTTTACATGATTATCATACATGATTTTACACTTTTGGTCTTATTATTTTAGTTGTCCTGGTGTTTTTTGTGCTTTGTATGAATTGCTTTTACTTAGGTTTTTGGAATTGCTGTAAAGTGCCTTGTGAACAGTTTTCATTTAAAAGCAGATCTGAAAAACACTTTTATGACTTTGGGATGTTAGACTACATGCAGAGACCTTTCTAAGGATACAGCAAGTGTTAAAATCCAATCAAGGCTTCTAATTATTGGAATAGTCAGGCCAGCCTCCTGATGAGGTGATCGCCTGGGTGATGGGCCATTAAGGGGAACAAAAAAAGTGGATCTGTGTGAGATGGCAAATTGGTGAAGCCTTTCCCCCTCAACTTGCAGGAAGTTAGAAGGATAAAAGCAGATTCGAACTCATGGTCCCTTCCAACACTTAAATTCTATGATTCTATATTGAGTACTATTAATACAACCCAAAATCATTTAGGCCTAGTTAAGCTAAAGTAACCCAGGGGTAACTGTAAAAACTCTTGTGACACCTTAAAAACTTAAAAAAAAGTTATTATGGCATAAAGCAGGCATGGCCAAACTTGGCCCTCCGGATGTTTTGGGACTCCCATCATCCCTAGCTAACAGGACCAGTGGTCAGGGATGATGGGAATTGTAGTCCAAAACATCTGGAAGGCCGAAGGTTGGGGGTGCCTGGTATATATCATCAATCAAAGTTGAAGGACTTTTGTCTTCTGAGTTTATGGGGGTTTTCCTGTTGTTATTCTGTCTCTCACAGCTACAATAAACCTACCATTAAAATTATGGACTGGTCATTTCTTCGTCAGAGGGCAAATGGGGAAATTTAGCAGGGTATCAAATACTTTTTCCCCTCACTGTAAACTCCACATTTAGGTAGCACAGAAGCCAATGCAGAGCAGATCTTGTTAGCATAGCTAGCTAGGAATTTGCTAGATCAGAACCCAGGAAAATGGCAGCTGGACAAACATTAACTAGAAATGGGAGTTCTGAAGACACTTCCTACTGTACGTAAGTCATAGGTGAACCCCAAAACAGAGGTGCTAAAGATAATTCTCCAGACTGGAACAAATTTTGTAACCGTATCCTATCACATTTGAGTTGTTCTCAGAAAGTTAAGTACAGAAATCTTGACTGATGTGCATCCAGTCTCCCATGGTTTGAGAGTGAGGTAGATGCCTAAACCGTTACCGTCTTTCTTTCTTTCTTAACCACTAAGTTCCTGATACTTACTTTTGGTTCCCAGTCTCCGAATCTCTTCAACTAAAAGGCCGATTTCATGTTCAATGTTCATTGTTGCCTACAAATAAATTATTTAATGGGTTACAACTTGTTCCATTCAGTTTTCTTTCTTTTCTTTTCCAGATCACACCACACTGGATTATTGTGGACTCAGTGCCAGCGGCGGAGAGTGTCTCCATGCCACAAGGGTGCATGTGTGCATGGGTGCGTGTGTCCACAAACAGAGTCCACTGTGCCCGCCCAGCCCCTACCGCCACTGGAGCAACACCAGTGCTGAGTGACAAGGCTGCTGTGCCCTCTTCATGCCACCCTCTGTGGATCCGAGCCTTGCAAGGCTTCTTGGAGAGGGCAGTGTGGGGATGTGGCAGCCATGCTTCCCGCGATCCCAGTCTCATGCACAGCCTCAATTACAGCTGCATATTCCTGCATTGCAGGTGGTTGGACTAGTTCAGGCTTCCTCAATGTTTTTGGCCTACAACTAGGGATTTTAGGAACTCCCTACAGCTAGGGATCCCATGATCCCTAGCTAGCAGGACCAGTGGTCAGGGATGATGGGAATTGTAGTCTCAACACATCTGGAGAGCCGAGGTTCAGGAAGCCTGGAGTAGTTGATCCTCAGGGTCCCTTCCAATGCTATGATTCTGTGATTCACCATCTTTTTACATTTTATTTTTTTTAAATTGGCCACCATTAACTCACTTAAATCCATTAATATCAGTGGGTCTACTTGGAGTATGACTTGAGCTGGATACAACCTGCAGGATTTAAATCACTACTTTCCTCAACAAAACACAAGGAAAAACTGGCAGCGTCTTCTCTGATTACTGGTTCTAGATATTTTATGGTCCATGTGCATTTTGTGCTCAGGTTATTGGAATAAGCATTGTTAATTTTGAGACCACAGGTGGTTTATTCCTTCAGCTCTGGTCTAAATTGGAGAGAAGTGCCATATTTAATTCCAGCATGGCTAATTAAAGGATTGTATTCCATATGCTTTCAGAAAGGGCATGTGTGTGTGAACATGCATGTGTGGCACCCAAAGTGCAACAGGTTGTAATACATAGAACAGAATAGCTGTAATATGTAGCAGAATATCTGCCCATAGGCTGAGAAAAGGTTTAAGCGTTGCTGCTGACACATTACTGTCACTTTAACGTGCTCCGCATAGCACATAAAACAACACTAGAGGAGTTTACCATGTGCATCAGGCAGTGCTTATCATGCTACCACATCAAACTTTGATGATAATTTGCTCTGCGTTAGAGAAATGACCCAATCTGTGTAGTAAGCCCTGAACACAAGTGTTTCATTATATAGTAACGGCAGTCACATGAAGCAATGCAAAGTGAACATGTGGAGGCCAGCCATTAGTTTTATCTTTTTTGTTCCTCTGGTAGGAAAAGAGAAGTTGTTGTTTTTCCAAAAACAATGAAGTTACAGTTGATGGTGGAATTGTGTAAGCTGGTAGCGTGCCATGAGGATTATGCCACACATTACACAGCAGTAAACTAGGATTTGCCACTGGGCGTACATTCAGCAGAGAACTGCAGTCAATGCTGTCTCTCTGATTTGTATACTTGTGGAATATAAGTGTTTCCATACATATTTGTCTCATTGGGTATACATTTTTAAAAGAAACATTGCACATGAAGTGGTTTCACAGTTCCTCTGGAAAAAAAGTGGAAGAGTAAAACGGCCAAACACCAAAAACATAATTTTATCATAGATAGGCAGGTGGTCACAGACCACAGCATCCTGACAACATATGCTGTAACATTACCACCTCCAATGATACTGACCCGCTGAAGCAAATTACTTCTTAGGCCAACCAATGGCATTTTTACTGGATAAAATTATTGTTTCTGTATATGAACCGCATATCTGGATACCGCCCTAACATGTCCTGTCAGCACAAGGATTTCTGCTTACACAGCAGAACTTTCCCTCTGTCTTCTCTCCTGCCCACATACCCCACACCCATCCAAAATCTGTACTGAAGAGCTGGGGGAAATCCCAAAACAGATTTGGGGGCTGGGGGATTGAGTTTCATTGTGCCAGCAGAAATCCTTGTGCTGATGGGACAAATTAGTTGGATATCTCCCACAGAATGTCCAGAACTAAACCCTTGAACAGGAGTTGACAGACATGCAAGTTCTTCTTCAAGAATCAGTCCACAAACTATTACTGCCCCCAGATGATGTTTCAATAGAGACATTCACCTTATCACTTTAACACGCAACACAGAACATATCAGAAGCAGGACAGAGACTTTAGCAGACTGTCTCTTAATTTCCTGTCTGTTCACCATAACCATGATGGCTAAGAAATTGCCATATTTTCAGTTAAGAAGTAGAATCCTAAACATGTCTACTCAGAAGAGCCATTGAGTTCAATGAGACTTACTGCCCAGCAAGTGAGTAAATGACTGTAGCCACTACACACACATGTATCCCTGTCATGATCCTGCTTCCACAATTACATGAAATGCAACAACTTGGAACAAGTATACGGTATTCCCAGTTGAAGACTGGAATACTTGAAATAGAATAAATGTGGCAGGAAGTGGCCAATGTCTCCTTGAATATGTTTCTGTTCACACATTATCCCAAGGTGTTGAAAGGATATATTTATCTGCAAATTTTCACAGAATGCTGAGGCATGAAGTTGAATCCCAATAGATCAAGAGGCTGTAGAATTGCAACTCCCATCTCCCCTGACCAGTGGCCATGCTATCTGGAAAAAGTGGAAACTGGAGCCTGGGGAACCAGAGATTCCTCACCCCTGCAACAGCTAAATGTTAGTGGGGGAGTTGACTTAGGATGCTGGTCCTAGGAGTGCAGGAGAGGCAGGAAATGGGTTGGTTGTGTTTAGGACCACAAATTCCTTTCGTGTGGGTTAGTTCAGCGCTCTGCAAACCAGTCGCTGAGTAACTTCCTTCCTGATGCTTTGCACACCCTAATTTGGCAATGTTGCCTCTGGGTTCAGATCACGCCAAGGGAGCCTTCCTTGCTGCTGCTGCTCTCCCACAAACCCTCCTTTCCCAGGCTACCTCGGCAAAACAGCCCTTTGCCTGTGCGCGTCCCCCACCCCACAGGTCACACGCTGCTTTCTTCGTCATCTGCTTCCAAGAGCAGCAGCAAGCCCAGAAGGCGCGCCGCGCGTCAGCTCTTCCGTGAGGAAACCTGTGCTGGAGACTCAATGAGGAGACGGAGGCGGGGCGGACACGGGGAAGTGGGAACTGTTGGCGTGGAAACAACTCGCAGGCGCCGATTGGAGGAAAGCGGACGGCGGCGCACGTGCCGCCCCGGGGGCGAGCCTTGCAGCCCCGACCCCAGGCTTTTTTGCTTGGAAGCCAGCCCCACTCCGCCCACCCAAAATGAGCTTGCTTAGGAATGCCACCCTGGTGCTGCCATTATGCTGAGCATTACGTCCCGCAAAGCATGTTGATTTATTTTATTTTACTAGGGAGAAGATCAGCCCTGATTCCATATGAAACCAGCGCGCGCCTTATAGGGGTGAGAGCCCATCACAAACCCTTAGCAGTAGCAAAGAATACGGATTTTTTTTATTGTTTAATTTAAGAAAAGGAGGGTCTAAAGACTCCTTCCCCACCCCTTTTTCTTACAATAAAAAATAATACGTGACGCCGCGCACCGGCGGCTTCTTCCTTTCAGTCCCCAACCGCGTGCAGCAGGTCACGTGGGGGACCCCGGTGCGGAAGTACTGCAGGTTGACACGCCGCCTCCTTCCTAAGCAGGGCCAGGGCGAGAGATCCCCGGGCTCCCCAAAATCGCCACCGGCTTGGATCTCGGCGCCAAAAACGCAGGTTTTACTTAATGGCTGCATGCATTCGCCTGTTCCCCCCATCCATGAGCCCCAGGTCTGAGTCGGTTGGCCAACCACCGAGCCCCTCCATGCCGCCGCCGCCCACCACCGGTTGCCCACCCTCGTGGTGCGCCCCCATCTCCACGCTCACCTTGATCAGATTCCCCTGCGCAGGATTCCTTCTCCTCCTCCTCCGGTTTCTTTGAATGGTTAGAAAGGAGCCGCCTTCGGAAGCAAAGTACAGGAGGAAGTGTGGCTCTCGGAGGGAGTGTCAGAAGGAGGGAAGCTGCTGCCAAAAAAAAGGCACGAGAATAGGGTAGGTGCCGCCCACAGAAAGGAACAGAAGCTCTCTTGGGAGAGGGAGAGGAGGTGGGGCGAGCGAAACAGGTACAGAAGCCCTGTCCTCTGTTGTTAGTGTTGCGTGGGCAGACTCCATACTTGCGGGATCTGTTTTGGCCCCGCCAGAACCTGGAGATGCCCCAACCTGATTCAAAAGAATTTAAAGAATTGTAAGCCCAGGAATTCATTTTGAATACCAGAACTGAACTAAGTCCACAGTCCTTCCACTCCTGCTTAACCTATAGAGAGAATATATATATTTTCTCTATATAGTGTAAAGCAGGGGGGACTCATTTTGTTGCTGCCATCGTTAAACTGGTGGGAGTCACATAGACTAGAGACCTACTAGTTGATCCAGATCTGCCTTCTTCCCAATGTAAAAGAGGGTATTTCAGCAAAAAAGCTTCTTCTACAGACCTGTTCAGCGCACAGAAACCCTTTCATGATTTGCAGTGGCGTAGCGTGGGTTGTCAGCACCCGGGGCAAGGCAAGTAATTTGCGCCCCCTAACCCATGGATTTGCGCCCCCTAACCCGTGGATTTGCGCCCCCTAACCTGTGGATTTGCCCTAACCCCAGATGTTGCGCCCGGTGCGGCCGGCACCACCTGCACCCCCCACGCTACGCCACTGATGATTTGCCTCTGGCCACTCTGCTTCTATAATGGGCTTTGGTACAGGATTCACTTCTACAGAGTTCTCCTGGGGAAAGGGTTTGTGGAGTTTTCACAAGTGATGTGTAGACCTACTTTAGGTAAGGTGAGGAACCATCGATCCTGCAGATGTTACTGAACTACAACTGCGTTAGCACCAGTAAGCATGGTCAGTGGCCAGGGATGATGGGAGCTGTAGTTCAGCAACATGGGGGGGGGGGGTTGGCAAAGGTTCTCCACACTTGATATAACAGCTGGTTTGCACCTGTATGTTCATTATATGCTACGGCAGCATCAGTCAATGATTTGTATGTACAAATAAAAAACTTTATAGATCCAAAAATCATCAACAGCCTGGTGGAGTAGCCCTCCTCCCACTTTCCCAGGGCAGGGGTTCCAACTTGAATAAAATATTGGGGGGATAAGTAGGCCCCACCCTGCATAACTGATCACATGATGTGGTGTGCACACACTATTTGAATGGCGATGGAAGGTGAAGACCCCTTGGGCCCCAGGAGTTGGCGCCTATGTCCAGCAACTTCAGAAGTTACTGTGTGCTCTGAGAGAAGGTAGAAGTGTGGAAGCCCAGACCAGGAAGCCTGTGCCACCAGCTCTTGAAGTTGGCCTGAGAATATTTTGTACTATTTGTTTATTCCAGAAGTTTAAATTGTAATTATAATATTTTAAATTAGTGGTGCATGCCACCCCAATCTGAGCAGTGTGGGATTCCAAGGGTTCGGTTTCCTTGGAATGAGGGACAGCAGAGACTGAGGTGTCTTTCTGATATATGATTTATTTACACATATATGCAACCTGAGTCTATGGTGAAGGGGCTCACAGCATTAACAACCCAGAAGGTCTTTTTTCTCCTGTAGTCACAGCCTTGGATTCAAGCAGAAATCAAGCATGGCTGTCACTTGCTGGATTCTGACAGTAGCCTGCTATTAACCCAGCTCTAGCTCACACACAATTTGGTTTTTGTCTTTCTCACTATCAGTCAGGTAAGGGAGAGGTCCCTCCCATTTGCAAATTCTTTTCTTATACCAATGACCAATATTTAGGGTCATTACCTCACCAAGAAATCTGTCTGGTTTCATCAACAATGGAATCCCCCAAACTCACAACATCTTAGGTGCCTTAGTAGAAAGGCAACAAGTTAACTCAGGCAGACTTTTGATATTGTCTCAGTTACAATACTTTTCAAAGGGCTATTCCCAGGTTCAGCTATGACTTATCAGTTGCCGGACCTTCCTGTGGCAATGAGCAAGTTATTGTCATCCAGAGGAGGAAAAAAACTTAAACACATTGCAGAGTTCCCAAAAATAGACCAGAGGCAATTATACTTCATCCAGCAGAGCTTTACTGCTACTGAAGGCAAATGAGCATACTATTCACAGATCCAATACATTCAGGATTGGCACGGTCCATAAGAAATCCAGTTGCAGCAGACTTAACCTTAACAACTTATAATAAGACTAAACCTTAACACCATAGCATACAGAACAGAACACCACACTAGAACAGATAGATAGAAAGAGAAAGTGAAACCCAGGCTTCTTCTAGCCCTATTTTTATAGTCAGCATGACCTTGACAGAAAGAGATAAGAGAACCAGTTTAAACCAGCTGAAGCTATAACCCAAACAATAACCCAAACATCATGAACTTTCTGTCACACAGAGAAGCTTCCAAAACCCTCTTGAATTATTAATAATAATAATAATAGTAATACTGTAATAATTTATATCCTGCCCATCTGGCTGGGATTCCCCAGCCACTTTGGGCAGCTTCCAACAAAATATTAAAATACAGTAATCCATCAAACATTAAAAGCTTCCCTAAACAGGGCTGCAGAACAGGAAAGATCTCTACACATCAGATCAATACTTTCTGTACTAAGAAATGCAAACTGACAGTTATAGCCCACTTAAATTCTAAATGCAGTTGAGACTAACCATGAACTCCTATGTAAGTCAACTCAGAAGTAACCCCACTGAGTTCAATTAGACTTACTCCCAAGTAAGAGGGTATGGCATTGCCACCTAAGCCCCACTGATCCCAGGACTACTGATTAGACATCCGTAGGACTGCATTGGAAGTGTGTTTTCTGTAGCTCATTCTTCATCATATCACTTAAAAGTTCTTAGCCAGTTTCCCTCCTCTTCTGTTTGGCCAAAATAGTACATTTAGGATCAGGGAGAAGTGGAGGGAGGCCTTTGGGTTGACTCTTAACAGCTTTCAGTCTACAGAGAAACATACAGTGGTACCTCGGGTTACAGACTCCGCTAACCCAGAAATAGTACCTCGGGTTAAGAACTTTGCTTCAGGATGAGAACAGAAATTGCGTAGTGGCAGCAGGAGGCCCCATTAGCTAAAGTGGTACCTCAGGGTAAGAACAGTTTCAGGTTAAGAATGGACCTTCAGAACAAATTGAGTCCTTAACCTGAGGTACCACTGTACATGTCCGAGTGAAGGATTCACACTATCATAGTTTCTTCTCCTAACATTCAAGCATGCAGGTTGGAGGAGTGATAGAGTCCACAAAAGTCTCTGTCATGTGATTATTCTTGACACATAGATTGGCTCTAAAAACACCTAGCCTAACTAACTAGCATTCAGCATCTTCCCCAGTCCAAAATCCTCTCTCATTTGCCCAGCCTGCTCAGAATAAGGCAAAGCAGCCTACTCAGTTTCAGAAAAAGCCAGGTGATCAAAGTGTCTTCCTTCCTTCCTTTCTTTTTGATTTGACCAGTGAAGGATCTTTGGTGCCTGAAGTGTGAGTCATCATTTTTAAGTTTATATTATATATTACCATTGCATTTGGGGAATGGAGCATAGGGGTAGGAGTAATCTCTGTGTTTAGATAGCTTTCTCTGTTTACTTACTCAGACAGCTTCCTATGTTCTTTTGCAGAGCTCTTTGTACTGCAGCATAGTAATCAATGGCCTTTCTAATTCTTTATTTCTACATTCTGCAGGATTAGATCAGGACAGTAAGAGAGATGAAATGCTGTGATCCCTTTTAACAAGACTGGCAAACTGACAGCCCAAAAGGCAGATATCACCCCCAAAACACATTTAACATCTTTGCTCAGTTTCATTTGTAAGAAAAATAGGCAATGAATCTCCATATGCATTCTACTGCCAATCTGCTGCTTGAAGATACAGTGGTACCTCTACTTACAGATGCGATCCACTCCGGGGTGCTCTTCGCACCCCGCAAAGTCCATAAATAGAGCGCCGCTTCTGCGCATGTCATGATAGAGCACTCCTGCGCATGCATGAAGCACGCAGACTGGGTTTGCCGCGTTTGTAACCTGAAAAAAATGCAACGTAAAGCAAACACAACTCGAGGTATGACTGTATATGTTTTAAGGAAGCATATATCCCCTCCTTCGTTCCTTCCATGTCCTCATGCCATGAAAGTGCAGGGGCTTCATAGTTATAAAGCCTTGATCATAGGTTGTGGTAAGTTGTTTTGTTCTGGAACAACATAATGTCTGGACAATATAATGGCTGCCTGGAATATAGCAGCTGGACTCCCTTGGTATGAAAGGCAGGATATAAATTTAATAAATAAATCTGCCTTGTAGAAAGAGATGTAGCTTTTAGTAGTCTGAAGCTGCATTCCTGTACACACTTACATAGGAGGAGGCCTCACTGAACACAACAGAACTTACTTCCAAGGAAATATGTATATGATTGTGCTGTCAGAAGTTTATGTTAAAAAGAGATAAACAGGGAGAAACACTGTAACAGTGTCTAACTACATGAAGCTACACAGTATGGCTAACAGTTTTTCATTTCTCTCTCACACATCAAACCTCACTGTGAAGGAAGTTTGCAGTGCATTTTTCAGAAAACAATAGTTAGAAGTCAACAAAAAAGTGACTCCAACAACCCAATGCAACATTTATACTTTGGCTGCAATAAATGGCTGGAGGAAAATATTTCACAAGACTCCAAGAGGGCTTCCACCTATGTACGTTATTGACAATGGGTTTATATGGGCGGAGGTTTTGCTTAAAACAGGAGCACAAATCCTAAATGATAGGGCCTAGACATGGGTGTAGCCAAGGGGGACCAGCGGGGCAGGTGCCCCCCTAAATCAAGTAAATCAATAAAAACAATTAACGGAGGTTCTGCCCCCCCCCAACATAAACCCTGGCTATGCACATGGGTCTAGACCAGGGGTCAGCAAACTTTTTCAGCAGGGGGCCAGTCCACTGTCCCTCAGACCTTGGGGAGGGCCGGACTATATTTTGTTTTTTTGGGGGGGGAATGAATTCCTATGCCCCACAAATACCCAGAGATGCATTTTAAATAAAAGCACACATTCTACTCCTATAAAAACACCAGGCAGGCCCCACAAATAACCCATAGATGAATTTTAAATAAAAGGACACATTCTACTCATGTAAAAACATGCTGATTCCCGGACCACCCACGGGCCGGATTTAGAAGGCAATTGGGCTGGATCTGGCCCCTGGGCCTTAGTTTGCCTACCCATGGTCTAGACTAGAACAATAATACAGTAGCTTCTAAATCTGCATGTTGTTTCCCTAAATGTAAATAAGAGCCAACTAGTATTAAAAGGGCGGCAATGGGGATTTTGAGTTCACTGCAGTGGAATTCATGAAAGGCAATTCCTAGGTGACAATCCAGAGAAAACAAACAGAAACGAATTTGATTTTTGTTTTCCCCAAATGTGACCTAGGGCCAAGCAGAATTTAAAGGGAGGGGGCGGGAATTTGAGTTCGCTGGACAAATTCACAAGGGGCAGGAATTTCCTCCACACTTTATATGTTCAAAGGATGCGCAGGTCACAGGCTTGCAAATAAGCTACATTCCCGCACTTTGCTCTGCTCTCTTCGCTTCAAAAATCACCAGGGCTCCAGCGCTGCTTCCGTTTATCAAACGGCGCGGCGGCAAAAAAAAAAAAACACCGGCCCTTATCGGTGCTAGGGAAAGTGGAAAGAGGCTGCAGTTGTCCCTCCACACCGCCAGGTGGGGGTGGGGAGAGAGAAAAGCAGGAGCAGATTTATCAGCAAGCTGGAGGGGAACCATGCGTGACACACTACGCGCGTCAGCCTATTTTCGCATCCGGGTCCCACGGGCGGCTTCTGGAGGCGTTTCCTCCCCCCCCTTTTTTTCTTTTGCAGGAACAGAGTTAAGACGGGTCCGTAGTTGCGCGCGAGTTCCGCCAGGCCGAGAGGGCGTGGCTACGCCCAAGGAGAGACGTCCGTAAAACTTTTTTTATCGGGAGTCCCTCACACACACATACATGCGCGCGCACACACCCCTTCTCTTCTTCTTCCTCCCTTTCGAACGCCACGCCCCCTTCCCCCTGGTGTCGCGGCGCTTCCTCCGCCTTGCCCTCCCCAACTCCTTTAAGGAAGGCTCCGCGAGATCAACAAGCAACAGCTGAGGCGGCGCGCGCGCGCAAGCGAGAGAGCGCACGCGCCCCCTCTCTTCCCTTCCGCCCCCCTCCCGACCCCTCCCCCTCACGGCCGTTTCCTCACGGAGCCGCCGCCGCTGCCAGCGGTGGCTCCCGCGCTTGCGAGCGCGGCCCCGCGTCCGTCCGTTTGTTTCCCCTGCCGTCCGTCGTCCGTCCCTCCGCCCCGCCCAGTGGCAGGATCGATTCCCGGGGCAGGGCCGGGGCCGGGCCGGGCTGGCGTAAGATGGAGGGTCTGACGCTGAGCGAGACCGAGCAGCGCTACTACTGCGACCTCTTCTCGTACTGCGACACCGAGAGCACCAAGAAAGTGGCGTCCAACGGGAGGGTCCTCGAGCTCTTCCGCGCCGCGCAGCTGCCCAGCGAGGTGGTCCTGCAGGTAAACCCGCCGCCGTCGCCGCCTCTCCCTCCCGTGACCCCCTCGATCCCAGGGGCAGCAGGCTCCGTACTCAAGGGGGCGGCGAAGGGGGTGGGTGGGGGTGGAGAGCGAGGTACGTGCCCAGCTCCCCCCACACCACCGACACGTTCCGTCCCCCTCCCTTCCCATGTTCACACGCCCACCCTGGGCCCCCTACTCGGGGGTGGCTGCGGAGGGTTTCCTGCCCCGCGATGGGTTGCGCTGAGGGTATTAGCTATGGCGGAATACGAGGGAGTGTGTGTGTGTGTGTGTATATATATATATATGGGGCATACAGAAAAACGTGGTGTGGTGGGGGACTTAGATAGACTCTGGCACCCCCGGATGCAGGGGATGTTCCCCTTGGAGGTATTCCTTATTTCACTTATTACAACGCATAGCATAGGTATGTACATAACACAGTGTATCCAAGAGGGTTTTGTCAATGGGTGTGTGTGTGTGTGTGTGTGTGTATCCCATTTTTTAAAATAGCAACGGGGAAAATGAGTGGTAAAACTTGTAAAGTTCAAGGTACGTGATTGCTGCTTGGTTTGTTCTCTGGGAATTTAGATTTCTAGTGGGTGGACTAGATGGCCCTTGTGGTCCCTTCCAGCTCTACAGTTCTAGGCAGTGGCATAGCGTGGGGGGTGCAGGGGAGGCCGGCCGCACCGGGCGCAACATCTGGGGTTAGGGCAAATCCACAGGTTAGGGGGCGCAAATCCACGGGTTAGGGGGCGCAAATCCACGGGTTAGGGGGCGCAAATTACTTGCCTTGCCCCGGGTGCTGACAACCCACGCTACACCACTGGTTCTAGGTAGTTTGGGCACTGCACAGGAAACAACCTTGTTTGTACATCTTGGGAGGAAGTATTGAAGTGACCCTGTCCTGAAGAAAGTATGGAAATTTGCTTTTACATACATGTGCTACTAGGTCAGTTTAATATTATTACTGTACTGCCCAATTTGGACAACACTAATTTTGTTGTATCAGTTCTCTGAACTGCAGAGCCTTGATACTTTGCTGTTGTGAAATTAAGTTTAGTGCAGCAGTTCTGTTTCCTGTTTTCTAGGAGCTTCCCTGGTGGCCCAAAGAACTATGTGGTGCATGCTGAACTGTAGTTGCTTCTTATTTTCACTTATGTGACTGATTCACTTTAATGACTTGGACCAGAGTGCTCAGTTGCAATAGCCGCTGTGGTTTCATGGTTAGAGGGTTGGACTATGGCCTATGAGCCCAGGGTTCGAAACCCCACTTGGCCCTGAAGCTCACAGGGTGACCTTGGGCCATCCACTGTCTTTCAGTCTAACTATCTCACACAGTTGTTAGGATAAAATGCAGAGGGGAAAGCCATGCACATCAACTTGAGCTCCTTAAAAGAAAGGATGATGTAGGAAATAAATAATAAGAATCATAATATAAGTTATTGGGGTAGTCTATGACTCACATAAGTGTCCAGACACAGAAATGTGTGACTTGGTTACCATGCTAATATTAGACCCTAAATTGCAACACGCAGGTTATTCTGAGACACTGGCCCCTCTCAAATGTTTCAGTTTGTCATTAATTTGCAATACACATGTTAACAGACATTTAGTAAAGTTCTTTAAAATGTATAGATTTAAAATGTGAGCATGTAGTGGCAGGGTTCTCATGAGGAATACTGAGTTCTAGCTGGGAAGTAATGGCTGTGTTACATTGTTTGAGTATCGTTAAGTCTGCCCTGTGTATTACAAAGCTGTTGGCAAAAAGCACATACAGAGAAGCTATCATGTTTGTAGTGCTTCAGCTTGTAAAATATGGAGAAGGCCTTGAAGCTTGACGTAATTGGAGTTCATCTAATAGATAACTTATCTGGCAAACTATTGCCTGTTTGTCTCTGGACACAGATGCTATGTCCAAAGGGAGTCAGTCTTTAGTTACAGTTGAATGAGACCCACAACTACTATAGTCTGCAAAATGAGTACACTTGTGTATAATCTTCGTATAAAGCACTTCACGTTCATTAGGAGCATTAAGTGCTTTGCTGTCTGGCTAAAAACAATATGCTGGAGGTGGAATTAAAAATCTTTATATTATTAAAACTAGCATCACCTACTTGGCATGTTCATCACTGTTCTTTATAAGCTTTCATTTGTCAGTGTCTTGAAATGACAATTGTCAACATGGAGCGGTTTTACTAGAATAACTACTTTAGATCATACTGCTAACACCATCTCCTATGTTTCTTGATAATGATAAAACTGTTCACCCAGTGCTCTCAGCTGCCACACTGCTCTATGGAGCCTTAAAAGTTAATATTTCTGTGAAGCACTACTCGTACATTAGAGAATCTTGGTCTAGATATACATAAAAAGAAATTCATGGGTCCGTAGAGGATGTAACTCCATGCCGTACATCTTACAACACAATCCTGAGCATATTCACTAGAAAGAAAATTCCACTGACATAAATAGGTCTTATTTCAAAGCATGTGTACATAGGATTGTAGCCTTGGCAAAACTGGCGACTTTAAGGTCTCTATGTCAGATTAAACTTGGTTTCCAGTATCTGGCCAAGTATCCCTGTATCTCTCCTTTCTCTTGTTTAAAAAAAAAAATAAGACAAGGAATAGCTAACATGGAATGCTAGAAACATCCTATCAGTTTAACCATGTGTACAAGAAAGTAACTACTTTGCAATGTATACACATATATGAACATTCTTGTATTAGAGCTGTGCATTTACAGCAAAACTTACACTGCCATCAATTTCACACAGTGTATATGCAGCTTAAAACCTGTTGTAAAAGGTCATATGTGCAGTGACCCTTAAAAGTGTGTGGAGCGTAATAACCTTGTCTTATAGGAAACAGAAGTGGAACATCATAGGATGATTTGTGTGCCTGGCAACAGGATTGCATCAGCAGTTGTACTAGTTTTAAGTCAAGACATTCTGGTTCAGCCTCTCTGCAGTGGTGTATGTTGTGAAGCTCATCTGAGTAGAATAGCAAATTAAACAGCTGATATCCAACTGCCCCACCAATTTTAGCAGGCCCAAGTGCTGCCTTAGTGACTCTAACTGTGAGGATCCGTGTCTTAACTTAGCTGGCTGATAACTTTAGTCTCTCTGTATTTCTCTATATTTTTCTCTGAATAGCAAATGCTGTTTTACATTTTGCTGTTAAATTCATGTGTGATGATGTTCCATTGTTTGTTGTTGGTTAAGCTATTTTAAATGTTAAGTGATTTTAAAATGCTGTTAAATAAATAAGCAAAATGTTCAGTTATCTGTCAGGATCAAGCTCCAAAGGAGGAAGCCCATTATCAGTAAAAATGTAAATCAAGTTACATTGAGAGACAATTGGTGCAGAGCAGCATAAGAGTAAGTAGAATAATCTAGGAAAACTTTGGCCATGATTCTGTTTCAACAGGAGTTGTAGGAAGTTGGTAAGTAAGGAAGTTAAGAAAATAAGAGGAATCCTGCTGGATCTGGCCAAAGGAGAGGTGATTAAAAACCTACTTAGGCTGCTACTCTGGCCTATCTTTGATCAGGCAGTTGAGCACATTCTCATAGAGCGCAAGAGCTGGTTGTGCCTGCAATTCTTTGACATTTAAAAGTGAATTGTAAATAACTAGAAAAGAAATACCAAATACTACGTATTTAAATGAGTACAAATAAGTTCTGAATTTCAGTAAGTTCAGTAAGTGAGCTCTTCCTTAATTTTTAACTTTTGAACCAGCTTATCTTTGACAGTATTTTTAGAAAACTATGTTACTTGTAGAAAGGTGGAATGCAGGTACATCTGGTGCAGCAAGTTTGTTTTGTTTTTAAAGGTGGGTCATGTTTAGCTGCTATTCATTGAACTGGAACGTTGATCCATATGTAAATGTATGTGGGTTATCTGCTATTGTAAGCAATAGTTCAAGCATTCTACTAATTCAAGCGACTCAATTAAGCATTTTTAAAAAGTCTAGAAAACATTTGCATCATAGAGGATGGCTGTTAGCATGCATGCTTTACATACCTACAAAACAAAATCCAGAATGTGGAAAACCAAGTTGTCTCAAAGTTTATTCCCCTAAAGAAACTAGGATTACCATAACTAATGGACACTAGACCTGGGCGATTTTTCAATATATCATTCAGAATCGGTTATGAAGTCCACATAACGATAACGGTTTCATAAAATGTTATCTGGCAAACATTGCAATTTTGAGAAAACCGTGTAGGCAGCCAGGGCTTCTTAGTGCTTCTGCTGCCTCCTGCAGCAACTCACAAGAGCAGCTGTAGCAGTCACTATATTTCTTTCTGCTTCCTCTGCAAAAGCAGGTGACTACAGTGGTACCTTGGGTTAAGAACTTAATTCGTTCTGTAGGTCCGTTCTTAACCTGAAACTGTTCTTAACCTGAGGAACCACTTTAGCTAATGGGGCCTCGCGCTGCCGCCGTGTGATTTCTGTTCTTATCTTGAAGCAGAGTTCTTAACCCGAGGTACCATTTCTGGGTTAGCGGAGTCTGTAACCTGAAGTGTCTGTAACCCAAGGTACCACTATGTTACGAACGTAGCGGGGAAAGCAGCAGCCAGCCAGCAGCAGAAACTTAGAAGACTGGCCATTAGCTTCTGCTTGCTTAAAGTAGGCTAGTAGCCAGCTTGTCAGGCTGGTAGGTGTGATTTACAGAGATGTTGGTCTGAGATGGCTCGGGGCTTCTTACTGGGAGCTCCCTTTCCCCTTTGCCCCTTCCCTACCCCCATGAAAGAAGAAACTGGGGTTATTTTCTTCAGCATAAGAACAAAAAATATTGTCCTGTTATTTAACTCTTTTTCTTTACTCCAGTCTTCCCTTCTCCCTGTGTATATGTGTGCGTGGGAAGCGCTTCTCTGTCTTCTGCCTGTCCTCCTTCCTTTTGATAAAAAGGGAGAGGTTGGTGGGATGGGGCATTTTGGGGGGCCGGCTTCTGTGTCATAATAGGGAGAAATAAAGGGGGGAAGATTTAACAGTTGCTGCCTTATGCTGAAATGGGAGATTGGGTGGTTGTTGTGAGGTGAGAGTGATGGGGAGGGTGGGTGCTTGTCATTAAGCAGTGCAAGCAAATGCCTGTCTACTCAGAAGTAAGCCCTACTGAATTCAGTGGGGCTTATTCCCAGGAAAGTAGAAGTAGGTTTAGTTGAACTGAGTGGGGCTTGCTTACTCATGCATAGAATTGCAGTTGGCCCTCTGAGTGGAGGAGATGCAACTTGACATTAGTAAATTACATAAATTACTCTTAAATTAGTAGAAAACAGATTAAATTGTTAATCATAATCAAGTTTAATTAATATTTTTACTAAACCTACTTTTGTAAATTTTAAATTTGTCCCTAAAACTACATAGAACATTAATATATTCTTCAGAAATATTTCATGGTTTAGTTGAAGCATCATTGAGTTAATTTTCATATAATTATATATATCAAATTTATTTTTGTTGTTGTTGTTTTCTCATATTTGTATTCTCTGTGACTCACCACTGTATTTTGGATTGTACCATTTGGCATCCAAGCTCAAAACCAAAGTCTTGTTTGGATGCATTTTGGCTTGCCTGCTGATGAAAGTGATGGTTTCATCAGTATGTGGTGATTTAGACGTGTAACTTAGTAGCAGTTGCCAGGACATTACCATGTTCGCCTCTACGTAGCTCCATCTTATTTCAGATATCATGATATATTGGTATATCACAATGTTAGCAGGTGATATATTGCAATATTGAAAACCAGATATTGCCCAGCCCTAATGAACACCATAGATGGCACCTGTCAAGCTTTATCTATGTTCTGCTGGGGTATTGCTAAGGCTGTCAAAATAATAGGGAAATGTACTGTAATACCTTTCACAGAACAACATGCTCATTGTGTTTGTAGAAAACTATGGGAGGTATCTAGTTGGTGCTAGGGACGCGGGTGGCGCTGTGGGTAAAAGCCTCAGCGCCTAGGGCTTGCCGATCGAAAGGTCGGGGGTTCGAATCCCCGCGGTGGGGTGCGCTCCCGTTGCTCGGTCCCAGCGCCTGCCAACCTAGCAGTTCGAAAGCACCCCCGGGTGCAAGTAGATAAATAGGGACCGCTTACTGGCGGGAAGGTAAACGGCGTTTCCGTGTGCTGCGCTGGCTCGCCAGATGCAGCTTTGTCACGCTGGCCACGTGACCCGGAAGTGTCTGCGGACAGCGCTGGCCCCCGGCCTCTTAAGTGAGATGGGCGCACAACCCTTGAGTCTGTCAAGACTGGCCCGTACGGGCAGGGGTACCTTTACCTTTTATCTAGTTGGTAGTATATTGATAGAATGTATCCATCTGCAGAAGAAGGCACACACACACACACACACACACACACACACAAATACCCTTCCAAAATCTGCTCCAGATGATCACTCTCACAGTGCAGCTTTCAGTCAGCAAATATTGGGGAAAGTTGTGAGTGGTTGGTTGCTCATTCTCGATTGTTTCTCCTGTCAAATCCAATAAAACCAGATCCTACATATGTCCTTCCAGTGTTATTATATAAGTACACTTGCTCATAGCATCAGTAAAGATTTATATAGGTGCTAGTGCTAGTAGTAGAATAAAATTAGTTGTAGGTTTACAGTCATACCTTGGAAGTCGAATGGAATCCGTTCTGGAAGTCCTTCCAAAATGTTCGGAAACCAAAGTGTGTCTTCCAATTGGCTGCAGGAAGCTCCTGCAGCCAATTGGAAGCCATGCCAGACGTTCGGCTTCCGAAAATCATTCATACACTAGAACACCCACTTCTGGAATTTGATCATTCGGGATCCGATTTGTTCGGGAGCCAAGGTAGACTGCATTTTAATTTACTGCTCTATGGTTGGTAGAGAAGGCAGTATTCAGAGGTCCAGTTATGGTTGTGGAACTTCTAGGATCCTAATGCTATTGCAGTTCTAGAGAGAGTGTGTGGTACACAGACCCATGACAGTCTCAAAAAATCCTGTATTTCAGGCCACAGCATACACTTAACTAATTTGCATGGTTACTGTTGCACACAATAGCTTTGTGAAGTGTAAGTTTTGAAGTATAAGCTATAGCTTGCGTACGTGACAATGTAATAAAATACTGTTGTGCGTGTTGTCAAAAATACATCTTCTCATTTACACTGTGGTATGTTATGTAGGTACAACAAATGGTAATTGGGTGGCATTTTTAATGTGTGGTTTTTTTTAAAAAAAAATCAGTCTTCTAATATTGTGTCTGGGACACCATTTTTCTGTCATATTGCATTAAATTTAACTTTTTTGTACCTTACATAGCAGGGGTTTTGTTAGTTATGTTTATATTAAACAGACAATGGCTACAGTCACATATAATGATGCCAGCAAACTATGAGTTGCATGCTGGTGCAGACAGCTTAAGCAGTCCCTGATTTGCTCCTCCATCTCTAGGAGTGAAGGGCTGCTTGAGTTGTGCGTACAGCCCAATTTATTCACTATGATTTGTTGGCAGCATTTTGTATGGCTTATGACCCTTTCGTTTCAATATTCCAGTGGGGCAGCTCAGCAGTGAGAACACTCTACAGTATATAACTAATTTAAGTTTATGCTGACTTTTTAAGAGCCTCATCAAGCTACATTTGTCCCTAGCAAACATCATTATGCTACATACAGACATACATTTAACATTGTAAATAAAAAATAACTCTTCCCCCCCATTTTTAAAAAAAATAAAAGCAGAATTGATTCTTAGGAGTTGAACTTTGCACAAGTCATACTTTGATTACAATTGGGTAGAGCAGTAAGATAAAATTGTTCTGAGGAGCAGTTATGGGTTGCTGACTGAAACAAATATTCATATTGGTATCGGGATAGTGTCAGGAAGGAAAAAACAAGATTTAAGAGGAATAGGTGAACAAGGACATGAAAAGCTAGGTGTTCAGTTTAATTTAAATATTGGCCACAGATTGCAATTAAAATGCAATAATACAGTACATCAGATGTTTAATAAGGGAACTGGTATTTGTTATAGTGGGCAAGAGAGAGATCAACCAAAATTATTTGCCATTATAGCAAACATAGTGAAGGTATTGGGAATGAGACCAGTGGAATTGAAGTGAATCACTGTGCAGGAGAATGAGAACATTTTTTCCCCCTACCATAGTTTAATAGAAAACTACTGCATTTATGATATTATAGCATAGTATTTATTGGCAAGCATATATAGAGTACAGTGAACTAATGTTTCTACTTCACCAAATTTATTATATTCATTTTGCTGGATGTTTCGGTTTTCTCTAGATCATGGAACTTTGTGGTGCAACAAGACTTGGATACTTTGGAAGAAGCCAATTCTACATTGCTTTGAAACTGGTTGCAGTGGCTCAGTCTGGGTTTCCACTGCGAATGGAAAGCTTGAATTCTGGTAAGCCTTGAAATAAGTATTGAAATATAATTGACTAGGTTATTAAAATATGGCTCTTGTCTGATACTCCTCTACCAGCATATACCACTGACATGATTCCTCTGATGTTTTCTTAAACATCTCTTCCTCTAAAGGAAGTTTCCTCTAATAAGAACTTTTCTTGCATGACTGTTTTTAAAGCCATTGCAAGCAGCTCTACTCTAAGGATAAAAAAATGATATTCCCAAAGTGGAAAAAACACCAATGTCCCAATTCATTGACAATTTTGGACTTTAAATGTCAGACTATATGCTTTCCTTTAGTATTTAGTATAATTCGGTCTTTAACGTCCCTCGAAGGACAGCCAAATTTAAATAACAATTCGACACACAGCTGTGAGGCATTTGCGAGCTTTTTTGCGGAGAAGGTCCTGTCGCTCCGCCATGACCTCCCTGCCAATTTGGATACAATAAAGGAACTGGAGGCCCCTCGACTGTCCTCGGGTCCAGTATTGGACCACTTTGACCGGATATCCCCAGCCGATGTGGACAGACTCCTCCGAGCTGGAAAGCCCACCACTTGTCCTCTCGACCCGTGCCCGTCTTGGCTGATTAGAGCGTGTCCAGACGAGGTGCGGGCCCCCCTGGGGGATATCATCAATTTGTCCCTTGGCACCGGGACATTCCCAGGGGAACTGAAGGAGGCAGTGGTGCGTCCGCTCTTAAAGAAAACATCATTAGATCCCTTAGATCTATCCAATTACCGCCCAGTTTCGAATCTTCCATTCCTGGGTAAGGTGATTGAGAGAGCGGTTGCTGAACAGCTTGGTAGGTTTCTGGATGAAACATCGGCTCTGGATCCATTCCAGTCCGGCTTCCGCGCTGGTCATGGGACCGAGACGGCTCTGGTCGCCCTAACAGATGATCTTCGTAGACAGCTGGATCGAGGCGGGTCGGGGCTGCTGATTCTTCTAGATCTGTCAGCAGCTTTCGACATGGTTGATCACGAACTTCTGGACCACCGCCTCGCCGACGTGGGGATCCAGGGCACAGTCCTTCAATGGCTGCGCTCGTTTCTCTCTGGTCGGGGACAGAGGGTGGCGCTTGGGGGGGAACTGTCATCCCGCCACTCCTTGGTGTGTGGAGTGCCTCAGGGTGCGATTCTCTCCCCGATGCTTTTTAACATCTTTATGCGCCCCCTCGCCCAGCTTGTCCGGAGTTTTGGGCTGGGCTGCCATCAGTATGCTGATGACACCCAACTCTATCTGTTGATGGATGGCCATCCTGACTCGGCCCCAGACACACTGATCAGTTGCTTGGAGGCTGTGGCTGGATGGTTACGTGGGAGCCGGTTGAAGTTAAATCCTTCGAAGACAGAGGTCCTCTGGCTGGGACGGGACGATATGGGATTGAGGGGGCAACTCCCATCTCTTGCGGGGGTGCAATTAGTGCCAGCACCGTCCGTTAAGAGTTTGGGTGTAATCTTCGATACCTCCCTCTCCATGGAGGCGCAGATTGCAGCTATAACAAAGGCGGCATTTTTTCATCTCCGCCAAGCTAAGCAGTTGGCTCCTTACCTCTCTCGCCCTGACCTAGCCACTGTGATCCACGCGACGGTCACCTCCAGACTGGATTATTGTAACTCGCTCTACGTGGGGCTGCCCTTGAGACTGACCCAGAAACTCCAGCGGGTGCAGAATGCCGCAGCGAGACTCCTTACGGGGTCTTCACTGCGGGATCACATTCATCCGGTGCTACACCAGCTGCACTGGCTCCCGGTGGAGTACAGGATCAGGTTTAAGGTGCTGGTTTTAACCTTCAAAGCCCTACACGGCCTAGGACCCTCGTATCTACGGGACCGCCTCTCCTGGTATGCCCCACAGAGGAACTTACGGTCCTCAAATAAAAACATCTTGAAGGTCCCAGGCCACAGAGAGGTTAGGCTGGCCTCAACTAGAGCCAGGGCTTTTTCGGCTGCGGCTCCAACCTGGTGGAACGCTCTGTCACAAGAGACAAGGGCCCTGCAGGACTTGACATCTTTCCGCAGGGCCTGCAAGACAGAGCTGTTCCACCAGGCCTTTGGTTAGGGCACAGCCTGACTCCCTCCTTTGGCAATCTTTACAATACTTTAGTTTATGGTTGCCATCAATTTTGATTTTAATTAATTCTTATGATGTTTTATAATGTTGCACTATTTTAGTGTTGTTAGCCGCCCTGAGCCCGGCTTCGGCTGGGGAGGGCGGGATATAAATAAAATTTATTATTATTATTATTATTATTATTCCTTCAAATAATAGTTAGGTTTTAAACCTATGGTTATATTCTAGGAGGTTTAGACTTCTGATTGAAAGTTAAAAATGAGAAGCTCTTAGTTGGATGTCATCAGAAATTTCGGCTACTTAGGTCTGCCTATTATTTTCACTTGATCCAGTCTGCAGACTGTGTTAACTTAGTGTGTTTATGTCATGTGTAAAGGTAAAAATGAGATAAAGGAACTGAGGCAGAAATAAAGTAATGATGGCTGGCGGCCTTTATACTCATTTTTTGTATCTGTTGGGACAGAAAAAATGAACTGGGTAATACCCAGGTTAGCACTCATAACACACTCTTTTTTATTGGTGTCAAAAATGTGTCTATTTACCAGAACAAAGAGCTTTGCGAAAGGTAGCGTATACCAAGGGGCATTTGAATTTGTGTTTCCTCAACAACAGGACTTAAGTCTGAATAGCTAACTGCTTTTGAAACTTGAAAAGATGGCAAAAAGGTCTGCTATTCTAATAAGTTTTTTTTAAAAACCCAGTTAGCGTAAACAAGTTTTTCTTTGCTTAGAATGATCTTTTTTTAATCCTCCTCATGAGGAATAGTATGCTTTTACAACTCTGTATCTGTTTAGAGATGTAAGTCTTCTGCTTGTCAAACAGAGTTGGCGTTCCTCTGTTTGTTACCTCACAATTAAGTTGTTATAGTATTTGATGTTGAGGTACCACATATTAGTAGAAGCAGGTGCTGAAAACTGCTGCCTTCTCTTAGAGAAGTTGCCCACCTTGAACCTCTTAGTGCATTTGACCCATAGAACTTCAAGTGGTTTGGAGCTTGACATATATAAGATGAGCTGCAATTCAGATCAGTACATAACTTTTGTTTACTTCCTATTTCAGTAATTTCTAACTGACAGTTGCTTTTCAGAACTTTCTGCAGATAATTAAGTTAAGATAATTTTTTAAAAGTGAAAACAAGTGGTCAGCATTGCCATGGTCCTGGTGATCACATAAAACAAGTTTTTTTTGGGGGGGCAGCTCTTGGCTTTCAGGTTGTATGCTCTCATTGCTTGGAGGGAGGTGTATTAAAGAGAAATATAAAAGGTTTCTGTGGGTGTTGAAAAATACCTGTCTATGAAATATTTAGCATGCTAATGTCCATCTGGAGTCACTAAGGTGGAAAATTCAAGTTGGCTTCAAAGTTTGAGCTGTTAAATTCCTGTTCTGGCGAGGATTCTTTCTTCAACTGAATTGTCACAATCCTGATTGCAATTTTGAATTATTTGAATACTCTATTGGTTTTATATGGTTAATACAGGGATGGGGAATCTTTTTATTTTAAGGGACCAAGCCTTTAGCTGGCCCCACCCCATAGGCCAACTTTGACAAATGGGTGTGGCAAGCTACCTGTCAATCACACAACATGGTTGTGTTGTCACATGATTGGCAGGTGAGTTACCCTGCCCACCTGTCAAAACCCTTTGCCACTTACAAAGCCTGCCATGCAATCAGAGCTTGAAAGGATGGCAGGGAGGCTTGGAAATGCAGGAAAGCATTTTCCAACCCTTTAAAGATCGTTCCGACAGAATAAGCACCTGTTTCTTCATCATTGTGTGATGGAGTAGCTCCTGTCAAAGCCAGTGTCTGCATAGAACAGACATTGGCTGTAGCATGAACTGTTCCAGCTTGCAACAATCTTGATAGCAACTCTCAAGAAAATAATATTTTAATGGGGAATCAAAACATTTTGTAACTTAAGTGTCTTATAATAATCATGTGTGGTGTTGTTTTAACAGTCAAGGACCTCCCCCTGCCCAGATTTGTCATGTCAAAGAATGAGCAGGAACTGAGGCATTCATCGTTGTATTCTTCAGATCCTGATAACCCATCCTCCTATTCAGGTGCGATTCCTCCCCCACCAGGTAGAATACAAGTTAAAAAAGGCTCTGTGAGCCATGATGTCGTCCAGCAACGTCCAACGACAGATCAACAGGTAATGAAATATAAAGACTGACTAATGTTTTTAAGTATCCTTAATGGTTTTTATATTGTGGTTCTCTAATTATGTTAAAATACAAAGTGCAAGTTTAGCAGTGATTTATTTGTTTTATAAATCTGGCTCTGAAAGCTTAGGGGAAGAACCTCCAGAACAGATTTAGGGTGTGTGCAGAGGGAGGCAGAAGCCCATTGTACAAATAAACCTCATTCCCCACGTGTGTACCCCATTTAGTGCTATGTTGAATTCCATCCCTGGTGCCAAACAGAATAGAATTATTATACCTTGTAACTTTGCATGTAGGTCAAAAACTAAATTTGCTGCTATAGATTGTGTTGTCAAACTAGTCTTACAATTTTGGCTGCAAGCTGATTTCACAAGCACGCTAGTTTGAGTGTATTGCTCCCCCCCCCTTTATTTAAGAGAAATTACACTATATTGCTTCATACTATTGCAGCTAAGTTACAACTAAAGCTCCTTGAGAGGTCTTTGTTAGTGCTTTGGGTCTTTGTACATCTTTTTTTCTTTACATGATGCACCCATATTCTAGAAAAAGGCTAGGATAAGCCAGTCTGGCCACTGCATTATGGACCAATTGAAGTTTCCAAGTCATCTTCAAAGGCATCCCCATGTAGGGGATAAGAAACATCCTTGCAAGAGTGACCGTCTTTGGATTCAGCCCTCTATCCTGTCATTTTTTTCCAGACACTTGCATGTAATTCTGTCTAGGTACTCTTATTTAGAGAGTGAGATGTGATTTCGTTACAATCTTCATGATCATTTTTATAACCAGTACTATATTTTACCAGTAGCATTTTAGTTTGGTGGCAATCATGGCTAGGTACAGTCATACCTCGGGTTGAAGTTGCTTCAGGTTGAGCCTTTTCAGGTTGCGCTCCACAGTGACGGTTTTGCCGCTCGCGCATGTGCAGACGGTCAAAATGACGTCTCGTGCATGCGCAGAAGCGGCAAATCATGACCGGCGCAGACGTGGGTTGCGTTCGCTTCAGGATGTGAATGGGGCTCCAGAACAGATCCCGTTCGTATCCAGAGGTACCACTGTGTTGACTAACAATTTACCATGGCATCCAAAGTCTGCAAGTAAGGCCTGTTTTTCTAAATCTTTTATTTGTTTCCTAGTAATAGGAGCTTTAGAAATAATGAAACGGTTTCACTTTTGGAGATGATATAACAAGTGGAAAATGAGTCCAGTGAATTACACAACTGGTTCTGATAACATACCATAAGTAAAAATAAGTGGCAAAACCTAATATGGCTAAATTACAAGAACTGGCTATTTATTTTCAATATTCATTTGAATGCATGACAAGTTTTAATGTGCCTACTAAGTTTTATTATTTGCCTTGCTCTTTTTGTTAGTATTAAAATCCCACCTGTTATTAAGAAAGAATTTGTTCTTAAAGAAAGTGGTTTTTAGAAGATTGTTTTAGGTACATAGTATAACATTTTTAAAACTTCCTTTGTTTTATTAGGAGTCCACATCTCCCGTTGTTTCACCGCAGCAATCTCCACCAACCTCTCCGCACACATGGAGGAAGCACAGCCGCCATCCCAGCGGAGGAAATAATGAGCGACCAGGGCCTTTTTGGGCTCCCTTTAGCGAAGCACAAGCAGGTATAAATAAATGTCTTGTCTTACGCTTCAAGTGTTGCCTGAGATTGTGGATTTCTTAATATAGCCTAGTAGTGCCCCATGTATGAGGCAGGCCACTCTAGGAAGGTACAGACTTGAATCAGGGAGACAAAAGTAATCCTCTGGCCCACCTCAGTATGTCCTGATCAGTATGTTCCTTTCACGCTAGTAAAAAGTCAACTAGGAATGTGCACCCTTGCCCTTTTACCTACCATCTTGCCCCAGTACAACATCCCATCCTTTATTTTGGTCTAAGGAATCATTGGTACAATCCTGTTTTTTGAAAACTCTTAATTTCCATAAGATTTATCTTTGTGAGAATGCATCTGGCCCTGCAATATTATTTTGATCAGTTTTTGTTTGCTTTTGAGGGAGACATCTTTGTTTTCTTTCTGGTCACTTGTGCACTAGACTCGAGGAGGCCCAAACATTTTATTGTGATAAGGAAATTCAGTAGTAAAAAGTTGCAAAGGCTTGTTAGAATATTTCAGGCAACAACAAGAAAGACATAAAATAGAATGCGTGTTCTGTTTAATGACGCTTCACATTAAAGCTTTAAATTGTGAATTTCATTGAAGAAGGCAATTTCAGGCTAACACTCTAAAGTTGGAATCTTAACCACATTTTTATAGCATCCAATGCTGTAGGTCACACATGATCTGTTTGGAGGAGACAAGCCCTAAGCCCAACTTCCCATGACTTAGCAGCAGCAGGACCAGGGGAAGAGTAAAGCAGCCACAGTTTTTGCTCTGTGTATCCGCCTGCTTGCTCACTTGTGGTTAACGATAATTTGACTTAATGTTACATGCTAGATGTGCTTATATGAACACTATTTGGTTTAGACAGTGACCAGAGGAGTAAGAGAGATGTTAAAATAGAGTGTAAACACTATACTAAAAATAGCACTCTGTAGTGCTTTCAAAAATAGCTGAACCTTGAAAAAGAAAAGTAGCTAAGTATTCAAAGCATTAGAAAATAAAGGGTATTTCAATAGACTTTTTAATGGAACCCAAATCAATAAAAACTACTTCTTAGACTGTTTTGTGATTTTGGACAATGTCAGAGAAGCACAAACTGACTAGCATCTAATGTGGTGAGCATCTTTGAGGAGGCCCAGAAGAAAACCAAACCTCCAAATAAAACTATTTTTGGTAGGCAGATACCAAGCAAGACCATGTACATTCTGCACTAAAAATAAATCTGCAACCTGCCTAAATTACCGTATTTTTCGCTCTATAGGACACACTTTTTCCCCTTCAAAAATGAAGGGGAAATGTGTGTGCGTCCTATGGAGCAAAGAAGCCATAGCCCCGCAACCCTCTCCCGGCTGGAGAGGTGACGCGCGGCTGTGGCAGGAGCCTCTATAGCCGCGCGTCACCTCTCCAACCGGGAGAGCACGCGTGGGGCTAAAGAAGCCCCCCGCAACCCTCTCCCAGTTGGAGAGGTGACGCGCGGCTATGGCAGGAGCCTCTATAGCCGCACGTCACCTCTCCAACCGGGAGAGCGCGCGTGGGGCTAAAGAAGCCCCCCGCAACCCTCTCCCAGCTGGAGAGGTGACGGGCGGGTATGGCAGGAGCCTCTATAGTCGCGCGTCACCTCTCCAATCGGGAGAGCGTGCGCGGGGCTAAATAAGCCGTAGCCCCGCGACCCTCTCCCAGCTGGAGAGGTGACGCACGACTATGGCAGCAGCCTCTCCGCTGCGCGCCTTTCCGCTTCTCCCCAACCTGCTCTTTGGGGCTGGTGGTGGGCTTCCCCCCGCCAGCCCCAAGGAGCAGGTCGAAAGGAACCTGAAGCCTGGAGAGGGGTCGGTGCGCACCGACCCCTCTCCAGGCTTCCAAGGTAGCCGCCTGAAGGCGACTGAACGCACCTTAAATGGCAACTTGTTTTAGAGGGGGAAAACAAAAGGGGAAAATTCTCCCCTTCTCTGCGCAACGCCTCCTGCCGCTTCGCTGAAGGGGCGCTGGGCAGAGAGGGGGAGATTTATTTCCCCTTGTTTCCATGCCAAACCATCCCCCTATCTTCCACGCAACAATGGTGCCTTTAGACCTCGGTTTCCCTAAACTTCGTCCGGGTGCGATCGCGTTAATGTGCGGTTACAAAGTAGACTGTTTTCACCGCGTCCGGCTATGGTGTATTGGTTATATAGAGTCTTCCTAGTCAATTTCCGTTCTCTATCTGTGTGTATTTTTTGCTCCATCTTTCTCTGGTATGCACATATTATATTTCTTATTCCCACACATATATATTCACTAAGAGCACCTGTCTGTGTTGCCCTTCTCGGGTTGGTGTGAGTCAAGACAAGTACATGACGAATTCTGCATTCTAGCTCGTACTCGTTTAAAACTCAGGACTATTTCTGATCCTCATCATATAGTGCTGTGCATGTCCCGAGTTTGCGTACGAGATGTGATGGGAGCTCGATCTATACTGTAAATGTTTGGCGGGGGGATCGAAGAGCTCGGGTATGGGGCAAAGAGCTGCGAGTGTTGTAGTTGGTGATTTGTAGTTTGTAACTAAAGAAGGAGTATTTGGAACTTGCATGGTCAGTTTCTTGTGAGTACTAGTGGGTTTCTATTAATTATAATAATGGTCATACTAGTAGTATTCCTACTATGACCTCGCCTCTCGTAGTTAGTGACCACACAGCGGTTAGGAGGCAGAGTATAAACTTAGCGTAGGAATTTGAACTTCGACGAATTGATGTTCGATGTTGTATGATTCTGATGTATTGAGATGGATCTGAAAAGCTACTGTCCTGATCTCTACCAAAGTTATACTCTTATTGCCTCAGTATTTTCAGTCTTTAGTCAAATGTGGTTCCTACGCAGGATCTTTTTATTCTGATATGCATTACATCTCATTGATATATAGTGGTCTACGTAACCACCTCCTGGATATGAAACCATCTAGATACAAACATATGTGCGTTACACCACTTGCTCACTCAATCGCGCTCTCTCCTGACCGTGAAGCCAAGTGTAAAGTAGTACGTATTCAGGTTCTACATTTCCTGAAGGACGTATGCTATTGAGCTTTCTTTAAGTCCCCGATTGAGAAAGTATGACAAGCTAAGCTTTGGCAGCTCTGTGAGAACGGTCGAGGTTCAGCGTGTGCTATCCGTGGAATGCGTTCTATTACAAACTGGAAATTGTGCATGTGTATAATAGATTGGGTTGATTTCTTAGGGCAGGATTCAACTAGATTAGCGGCTACTCTACGGCTCGAGCTGAGATAGCTCAGCTATGTATACTAAGAATATAGTCAAGGATCCTCATACTAACTTATATCCCTACAATAAATTGTAAATTAAGGTGAACTTAATTAAATCAAGGTGCTACAGGAGTGGATGGCGAAGAGAGACAATGGCTCATAGAGAATAGACCAGCCACACCAGCCCTTAGACGTTGCGCCAAAGAAGGCGTATGAGAGCATGTGGGAAAAAGATTTAGTTCGCACCCGTTGCAAGCAATGGTTGCCTTGAACAGAACAGTCGCCTTGTCATATTTGTCAACATTGAATCCCCATGATTTAGGGACTCTTATCATTGTGTGGACATTCCAAATCTAGACAGTTGGCAACGTTGTTATAAAAATTAATCTAGAAAGTTCACATAGTGACATGTAGGGTTGATTTAAGGTAGGCAGTAACTAGATAATCTTAATAAAATATTAAACATGTGTACTATCTCATCAAGTGGTGTTCTATAGTTGGAGAAACACCTAGATTGTTAAGTAACCTCTTTGGGACGAGCAATAGCTTGGCCGACCATTAAACCACAAGTTTCGATTATAAGGGGAACCAAAGCGGCAATTGCTTGTCTTGATCCTCGCCAGTGCAATTCATGTGCGAGCTTGCCTCAATACTATTCATATGCCTCCTACTTCGTGCACTGCCAAGAATGACTCTGGCATCCTACTTGGCTCCATCTGATACACATTCATTAATTTCCATAACTACTCTCTCACAGAAAAGCCGATGATACGTGTATTTCAGAGGTGTGCTGGCTGTGTTGACTGGCGATGGACGCCTCCATTAGGGGAAAGCGCCACTCCAGTATTAAGAACACGGCGTTATTTTGGTTTAAGAACGAGACCTTCCAGAACAAACGGATTAAGCTTTCTGGTTAGACTGAGGGGTAACACTATGTGTTTAATGTTGGTTATCAGGGTGCTGTATAGATAACCCACCAGGCCCCTTGTGAGCAGCCTCGTATCGGCGGCGCCACTTAGTTCCAACAATTCTGAGTCTTGCAAAGTGCCCAATTCTGCTTAGTGAGTCGGATACGCCAGACGGGAAAAGGTCTTCTCCTGTGCTATCAGCGAGTAAGAGGCGACACAGCAGGGAGAGTGGCATCGGAGACAAAGTCGTTGACGCACTCATTAGCGGAGGATCTACTAATTTTAGGCGCGTAATACTCTGACTCAATGGCGCTAATAGTTACGGAACAAGCGTTCGATTTCTTTGACGAACGAAAGTCTCCGTCTTTTGCGGGCTCCCACTTAGCTGTTTTCGACGTGAGCTTCTCAGCTCAACCGAAATCTCAGCCTGCGTTCATTGAGTATATAGACATACATGTGAAGCTTCGCATTTGTGGAAAAAGACAGGAATGGAACAAATAATACGGCAGCTCAACATCCGTGAACCATTTAGTCACCGTAGCGCTTTCAGCCTTTCTTAAGCAAGACATGAACTTTAAAGCAGCTATCCCCCATTCATGCTCACTTCAAAGACATCGTGTATCAACTCAGCACCGATGAGTTGCATTATATGGACGAATCATATACACTGGGCTGTTGATCATTATTAATAAGTGAACCGGGACTCCCAGAACGAATTTAACACGTTTCCTACCCTCACCCGAAAAACTATCAGTAATATAGAACAGGATATTACTTTTGTTAGATTTCATCTTAATCAGCCTGCTTACGTCACTGAATTATTAGTAAGTAAACGGACCTGTTTCCCTCTATTGCTTCCTGTGCATTGGCCTCCTTCATAAGAATGATGGAAACAAACAGGGTATCAAATTCTTGTGCAGTCGATTTCATCTCCCAGACTCTTACAAAAATAGGATTGTACGGTCATTATTGATTTAAAAAGCATGGCGTCAAGTTTAGAATTCCTCCTACTGATGCCACCTGCCCAATATCGCCACACACGTAGACCGTATCCATCATCAGCTCTACTAACACGACATCCAGGTTACGGAATGTCTGATTGTTTAGAAGGCTCAGTCTACGATCCTAGGCCTTTGCTTGGAAGGATGAATTCTAGAGCTGTATTGCGAGAAGAAACTTGATACACCCATTAAGCAGAATAGCTCATCTTGTGTTGCCGCTCCTCTGGTACGATCAGTACCTTCCATCCAGTTCACACTCTCAAGCCCTACAAGATCATGATAGCAAGTCAGCTGTGATCATTGTGAGCATGGATATTACGTGTGAAATAAATAGGCTATGGATCTATCAACAGTGATAGGCTTTTAACGTGTTGCCATGATTTTTGATTATATACAGTTAGTATTTGATACATCGTTTCTGGGCAAGCGCACCAGAATTCCAACGGAGAGTGTGCTCGATGGTGTCTCATATTGCTTGAGATCTCATTCCAGAGGATCTCCAGCCTCCGTAAGGTCTGGCCTTGCTTCTGATCTAACTGACTTATAGCCGAGGGGCACCCAATAATGCATCGGAACTCGACCCAACTTAGGGTTTCGAGCATTCATTAAGTGAGGATTCGCGCAAGCTTCCTCTTCGTCCAGGTAGTAGAACTGAGAAATTAGATCCTATAGAGAGATGCGTTCTTTAATATTGCATTAAGATTTTTGTGATTTACTCACAATATACGAGTTCTTGTGGTTATCTCGATAATATTATTTTATTGCTCTGTAAGAAGTTGAGGTACCTAGTATATATACTTAGAGTGATAGTTAACAGGGGCAAGTTCTATCTAAGCAGCTGCGACACAAGATGGCTAGATGTAGAACGAAATGATGTGAACTCTCTCGGAGACTGTCACCTTTGCTCTCAGCTCTGCATCTGGGACGTGTATTACGAATCGACGTAATGAGTGTGATGCGAACTTCCTTGTATCCAGGAAACGATAAACTCTGTGACAAATGAACTCTTATAGATAGTACTGATTCAGTAAGTCATATATGGAAATATGATCAAGTTGAAGATTAGTGTGTGAATGGTCTTAGCATAGAATAATAGATATGGCTCGGTAAGGAATGAATTAACATGTCATTTTTGAATCGTTTAAATTTTGGTGGGAGATAAACTGTTTGAGTTTAGTAATATACGCTCTCTTAATAGATCTGATTACATTTAGTTGAAGTATGACAAGATACCAATGTAAGCGGGTTTAACTTTAGATCTAAATGTTTGGTAAGTAAGAAGTAAATGTGGTTTTGGTAATAGAGCGCCGTAGTTGAAGCACCTCGCTCCGTACGACTGAAATCCCGTCTAGTGACAGAGCTCCCTCGCGCCGACAGTCAGGTTTCAAGTGCTCTTCCTTATAAGTTCTCAGAATTAAGTATTTAATTGACGCCGCGGTTGAGCTCTATATTAGTTTGCACTGGTGTATTTATTTGTTTAGTTTTTTTTGGAAAAAATCAAATTAAGTCATTTATGGTCGCTGGGACAACGACTAGACACCATTGATTTGATCTGGCGAGTTTCTTTTGTAACGCGAATTTGTTGGCTTTCATAGGCATGTCTTTAGACGTAAACAGGACCCAAATCCACACTGCGATAGGTTTATCCAGTTCAGCCCAATGTACAGTGATTGAGACGATTAGTATGGGGTATGGCGCTCATCTCACGCTTGCGGCTGTAGGAGAGCCAGTGTTTGTGATACTCGATCACTCTCAAACCTGGCTTTCTGCTGTTGACATTATTGAAGCGATATGCATTTTTTTAGACTTATGTCACACAGCAACTAAGCACACCGCTCGCATTGCCTTGATCCCTCTGGTATGTTCCTTGATAGAATGCCACAACCCACTTTCGTGTGCAAGCTTATGACGTAGCTCTCTTCAGTTCATTTTAAGCATAGACATATTTTTGAACAAAACAATCCTGTTAGGTGGTGGCCGCAGTGATTTGTGTCTCATTTCATATTTAGTCTTCTATTTTTATACATAAACAGAATTTTATGTCATGTGGTGTTTCCTATGGATAGTGACAGTCTTCCCTCATGAGAAGAGATGAGCTGACGTGGACTTGTGGCAGTCTAGACACAAGTTCTCGAAAGTTTTTTGGTTTGATCGAGGGCTTCCTGGTGGCAATATAATAGTAGAATCTGCTATTTCTGGGTCTCAGTTACATAGCCAACCACCGCACAACAAGAAAACTGGGTCTCAGAGATTTTGCTATAGCCTTTATATTTCACATCACTAGTACATGGATTTTCAGCCACTGCGGAACGAATTGGTATCTGTTCTGGATTCATCTGATGGTGCGTTCGAGTGGATGAACTTCTTTGATATTGATTGGTCCCCTATTGCACTTGCTCTCGATTTAGGAAGCCGATCACTCAATACCCCTCTTTTCATGGAGTCGGAGAATCTCACGCCCTGTGGTTGTGCTTATCTATCACCAGAACTCATTGCTGGTAGACTCCTAGAATGGGCTCCGCTGTGTGGCTGCTATTCAAGCTCTCAATGATGAGGGTGTAAGATCAGTCTCTGATCTATTCTTCTTTACATAAAATGACCTCTTTCACTGAAGATTCTTGATCAAGCAAACCTTTTAAGTTAACCTGCCAGCATATGCAAAACTAACTTTCAGCTTTTCTTTGTCCTTATAATTATTTTAAACTATTCTTTGCATAGTTTTCATAGCTTTGTGTTGCTTACATGAATGTTGCTACTTCTATCTTAAGTATATTTTCAAAATACTTTCTTTAGAATCCCACCTAACCAGCACAAACTGGAAGACTTCTAAAGCTACTTCAATAAATAACTTTCATTTCCTTTCTTAGGTCAATATACAAAATGGTAGGCTATTGATACATTTATATAATGCTGAAGAAAAATGTTTCCTTTCAGGACCAGACAACAGTCCGAACTGTAGCATCAGTTACTACAACAAATGAAATTCGTAGGCAATCAAGTAGTTATGATGATCCTTGGAAAATAACAGATGAACAAAGGCAATATTACATAAATCAGTTTAAAACCATTCAACCTGATCTAAACGGATATATTCCAGGTGAGTTCTTTTAAACACATAAGTTACAAAAGTACATATTTCAGTTTCCTACTAGTAAAGACACTGGGTTGATTTCTAAGATTCTATAAGCAGAGTTGCATTCCTGGTTCTTGCTAATGGAAGGGAGAGGCAGGTTTTGTTGATTTCCCATGTGCCCTCCAAAATCTGTTCTAGTGGGTCGAAAGATCCTCTGGAACAGTGAGGCAGGCAGTGTAAGGAATCCTTTAATTTAAAGAATCCTCTGATTTATAGAAAGGAATCTTCGGCACCAACCTCATATTTTCTTGGACTTTATATACAATTTATATGCCATTAAAGTTTTGTGATGAGTGCTACAGTTATATTATTGCATACAGTATGATTCCAGATAATTTTTAAAACTAACGTTAGAAGTTAGAACTCTCTTTAGAACCTCACTATTTTCAGTATTTCTGCAATACACTTATATATTTTTTCTTGCAATACACTTATAATCCTTCCAAGTTATAATTTTAGAATCAAAGTTAAACGTCATTGTTTTAATATTTCAGGTTCTGCAGCTAAAGAATTTTTTACAAAATCAAAACTTCCTATTCTTGAACTTTCGCACATTTGGTAAGTGTGAAATATAGCTAGGTTGGGGAAGTTCCTTTGTTTCAAATCATATTTCTTTGCTTGTGGAGCTGAAATGCCTAGCATTTAAACTACCTTTCATAGTTTACATTAAAACATATCCCCTGCACTGTCAGTGTAACTTTTGCTGCAATCCTATACATGCATACTTGGCAGGAGGTATCACTGAACTTATTTGCTTACATCAGAGTAGATGTGTAGGCTTGAACAGTTAGAAGTGAAATCCTATTCCCATGCAGATCAAATAATAAACTTTCATCTGACCTAATTTTGAAATAAAGCTTACCTTTTGTAATATGGCTGTGTTATAAATCGCCATATTGCTGAATACCATATTTAAATAATATCATGATAAGTTTCAGCAAGGCAATATACCAGTGAGCAGAAAGTGAACACTTAACAGCTTCCCAAGGGGTAGCTCAGCTGAACCGATACTTTGCAGATAATTTGCATTCAAATATTTTGAATGATTCCTCATGTTTTACTTAAAAGGACATTTAAGAAGTCTAGGCTTAACCCATCTCTCCATAAACTCACTTTTCTTGTACAGTGGTGCCTCGCAAGACGAAATTAATTCGTTCCGCGAGTTTTGTCGTCTTGCGATTTTTTTCGTCTTGCGAAGCACGGTGTCGGGAAAGTTTTGGAAAAGCTTCAAAAATCACCAAAGTCTTTAAAAACCTCAAAAAAGGCTACCACACCGCATTCTATGAGTTGCTCCTCGAAGTCAAGTTGCAACTGTATTAACGGTGTTAAGAAAAAGGAAACAAACTTGCAAGACGTTTCCATCTTGCGAAGCAAGCCCATAGGGAAAATTGTCTTGCGAAGCAGCTCAAAAAACAAAAAACCCTTTCGTCTAGCGAGTTTTTTGTCTTGCGAGGCATTCGTCTTGCGAGGTACCACTGTATAGAATAGCAGCCAAACATTTGATTCAGCAACATTGTATATAGTGTCTTTGATCCCATGTTGCTTGCTCTTTCTTTTTGTAACGGAAGGCTCCCATTGGCTGAAATGGGAAGAAGTGATTTTTGCCAATTCCACCTTCCCCTCTAGTCCCTTGTGCCTACCACCCATGCTATTACTTATGGTACTCCAGTTTTCTGGAGCAGATATTCAGGAAGCATAGTGGACTGTAGTGGGAAGGTGAAATTGCTGAACATTGACCTCGTTTTAGAAGCAGAGTGTCAGACTCTGTGGTGTGAGCTTAAAGCTTTCTCAGTAAAAGTGAAGTTCAATAGAAACATAGTTTAGAAGTAATACTTTCCCTCGCCTTTTCAGGGAGCTGTCGGATTTTGATAAAGATGGTGCATTAACACTGGATGAATTCTGTGCTGCTTTCCATCTAGTAGTTGCTAGGAAGAATGGCTATGACTTGCCTGAGAAACTGCCTGAAAGTTTAATGCCCAAACTGATTGATTTGGAGGACTCAGCAGGTATTTCCTTCCTTCTGTAGAGTTTTGTTCCTTTAAAACTACTGTTAAAAGTAGGATGTCATTAGGCAACATAAAATTTACAGTGTAAATTGTACTAATTTAAGGTTGACTCAGAATAGATTCATTGAAATTAATGGACTTAAACTAGTCACGATCATTCATTTCAGTGGGTCTGCACTGAGTAAAAGTTAGTTGAGTGCAACACAAAGGCCTGTTAATAAGGAAGCAATTTCTTATTCTTGGGGTGGTTTTGTGTATTGTGAGTCACAGTTTTAGAGTCACTATTGAAAATGTGGTGAGAGATGGTGAGAAAAGTTAGAACGGACTGAACTTGCAGTATGATGCCTCAAGCTAGCAACTACATTTTTGTAGCGAAGGACAGAGAGCTCTATTTCTTTGGAAACTATAAGTAAACAGATTCAAGGGTGTTTGATCTTAGCAAACTCATGTACCCAAAAGCAATATATGAAATCCCTATGATTTCACAAATAAGTTAATAAAAACTATATTAATGTTCCTTTCTGAGACTTTTGTATGATTGCTGACATCCCAAGGACTGCCCTTGAAGGTTGGGACCTTTTGGAATAGAATTTCCATGAGGGTCTGTTACTAGAAGAGACTCTAGCACCTCTCCCAACCTCTGTAGGAGAAGAGAGATTGGAACTTCCTCCACTTTGTAAATCCCATTTTCAAGCTTCTGGTTTCTTATTTCAGTATCTGTGTCTTATTAATTTAAATTGCAAGAGTGTTGCTAGGAAAACCTTTTAAAATAGAATAGTGTTACATTCCTTGAGCCCTATAATTTTTAAATTATCACTGCTGCAGTGTATATATTTTGAAAATGTGCATAGATAACCTTGCGTTACAAGCAAGCTTCTGTAATAAGTGAGGTTGATACACAGAACAAATTATGGTTCAAGTTACAGATAGGTAGCCGTGTTGGTCTGCCATAGTCAAAACAAAAAAAAAATCCTTCCAGTAGCACCTTAAAGACCAACTAAGTTAGTTCTTGGTATGAGCTTTCGTGTGCATGCACACTTCTTCAGATACACTGAAGAAGAATCTTCAGTGTATCTGAAGAAGTGTGCATGCACACGAAAGCTCATACCAAGAACTAACTTAGTTGGTCTTTAAGGTGCTACTGGAAGGAATTTTTTTGTTAGAACAAATTATGGTTAGTAAAGCTTTGAATTGAAACCTAATTAAGACGTTAACACATGATTGTGCTTGACTTTCATAGTGGTTCCTGTTTCAGAAGCAGGGGATCAGTCTGGTGAGGTAGGTTATGCAAGTTCACCAGCAGAAGCACCTCCAAGCAAATCACCGTCAATGCCATCACTAAATCAAACATGGCCTGAGCTGAATCAAAGCAGTGAGGTTAGCAAACAGTATCTTACTTTGAAAGTTTCTTATTTTAAAATCTAATGTATGACACAATATGAACTAGATGCCACTGTGCCATAAAAGCTGGCTTATGTACCTCTTTTGAGTATTCACTGCATAAACTGAGCAGAAATATATGGCCTTGATCCTAAGCCATAATACATAAGGGTATATTTTGAGATTGTAAACAGGTGCTCAAACATTTAATTATTAATCTATACTTCCTCTTAATCATTAAAGGTGGACTGTTCCATCGGTGATATGTCCTCTATTCAGCATTAGGCCTGTTGTTACCTTGGTGGCATAATTTCTTGACAGTAACATTGCCTGTGCAGAAGACGAAGATTGGAACAGGTCTTTCAGGAGGATCTCAAGTTCTCCAAACTATCCTCCTGAACGTCCTGAAAACATAGGCAAGTTTTGCACTGTCAATATCTGTTGTAAACCAGGCTGCTGTTTAGGCTGCAAAAGTAAAGCTACAGGGAGCCAGGCAGAGGGCCTTCTTGGTAGTGGCACCCACCCTGTAGAATGCCGTACCATCACATAGTAAGGAAATGAGTAATTATATAACATTTAGGAAACTTGAGTAAAATCCACTAGGTAAGAAATACATATTCTAACAACAGAAATATCAGTTACCATTTACTATGCTATGCTGGCTCAATTAATAAGCATAATTATAGGGAAATTTTGATTCAAAGAAGGGCCAAAAATTAGTATTGATTTGCCTGGTATACATAATTATGGCATTGCTTATTGCAAAGGGTAATAATTAGCAATAACAGGTGAAATTTTTAAAGAGTTACCATATTATTGGACGGGTAGATGTCTTAATGGCTATTAGGCAAAATAGTAGCTTTTGGAATGTATGTGAGGTAGTATGCCTTGTGATTGCAAGTTACTGGTGTCAAACCAGAGATGGCCATTATTTTCACACTGCAGTTGTGAGCTTTCAGAGGCTCCTGTTGTTCCAGCAGACCCTAAACTACCTTTCTTGGTTGGAATCTACAGGGCAATTCCTAAATTGTTGTATATGTAAATCTTCAGGCATCCAATAGTAATTGGCATGTCAAGGTTCCTCCAAAGTTAGAAGCCTAGAGGTGAGGAATGAGTAAAAATACCCAGGCATATGATTTTTATTTAGTTATTTATTTCACACAATTGATATACTATAAGAAAATGAATTGAAAGGTGTTGCCTTGTAATCAAGAGATCAGAGGTATGTGAATGAGAAGAGCAACAAAAAAGGGGTAGTGTATTTTTTTTAACTGAAAGTAATACAGAATGCTTGACAAATACTACTAAGACTAATGTGTATTGGGTTATATTTCCAAAAGTTCTAGAACAGCATTTAGCACTCTGATTCTTTTGAATTATTAATCCTATATACTGCCAAATCAAAGTGTAAACAATTATGTAGGAAATTCAATATGTTTACATTTCATGGCAGGCTTGAGGCCAGTCGAGTTTTTATGTACAAATGTATCTGGTTCAAATACTTGCTAAATCATGTTTAATCTTCTTGGAATGAACTTTTGCATTGTTTTGCTTATTTGGGAAACCTATCCAATTTTCAGATTATGATTTCACTTCCCTTTCTTTGAATTGTTTGGTTTGTTGAGGGTTATGTGGAGATTGTATTTAAAGATGCTGTCATCCCCACACTCACGTACCTACTTGGAAAGTTAACTTATGTCAAATTCTTACACTGTTTAACAGTTAGGTCTTCTTGAGGAGTCTTGACTCTTCATATTGGAACTGCCTCTAGGGTTGTCAAATTGATTTATTTTTTATTTTATTTAAAATATATCTACTGTCCAACATGCTAATCTGTCTGGCATTTTTAGGATAACAAAGATTGTGCTACTGTCTCTCTTATAATTCATAATACGCAGTAACTTACTCTTCATTTAACTAGATCAGATTGTTGTGAAATACAATGCTCTAAAACATCTAGCAAATCAAGTTGAATCAGTGTGAGAATATTTTCAGTAACATTACAATTTAATGTTCCTTTATAAACTATTTCATTGTCCACTTAAAAAGGTGTAGCAGTTAATGACGAGAACTTACTAATTGTTACTCTGCAAGTATCAGCAGTATCAGACAGGGTTAGGGCCTGAAAATGTAATACTGTACATACTGGAAGTCAGTACAAGATCCAGAATCAGGGTCAACAAGGGATGATGATGAGTGACAGAAGTGGCCCCACAGGTAATTCAAGTAACAGAGCTCCCCACTAGATTTCCCTTCTTAGGTATGAAACATTCTGGTTGTTGTTTTTTAGGTTCTTAATTTGATTGCCAGGTACTGACATAAGTCACAAGCAGGATGATGATGTGGCATTTAGCAGCCATCAACAGAAAGCATTAAGATTTAAATCCCTGATACACCAGGCATTATCTTGGGTAGAATCGAAACAGCTGCTTAAGGTTCATTCCAAGGAATTCTGCTGGCCTGGTGGGAACTTCTAATCTCCATGCCATATCACAAACAGCCCACATGCAGTATGGGGAACTCCTTTTGATGAAACATGTTTAGTTATAATGGATTAGTCATTATATCTAATATTCATATTCTTAGGGTATACAAGTTTTCATGCAGTGTGTTTTTCTAAATGGAGCATAATATTTCTGTATCTGGAAATACTATTTCTTAGGGAGTTTTTGATTTTCAGAGCTCTTACTAAGCAATATGTATGGCAAATCAATGCATATTAATTATTTCATGTGCCCCTTAAACATTTTCCCAGCCACATGTGATCTGTTTATTCCTGAGCAGCTGTTTATAGATAAGTGGGCCCATATTACTGGGAAAAGATATAAAGACCACCTGAAAGAGGTTGCTGAAGTGTTTTGGTTTGACTAATAAGTTACTCACCATTCCACTAACGTGAGATACATTAACACCAATCTTCTACAGAGTAATCTGCCTTTCAAATCCTAGATCAAATCTTAATTTCTTTGGTGCCTGGTTTTTGCTATTGTGTCCATGTCTTTTTTTTCTTTTCTTAGCATGAAAAACCGACTTGGCAGTTGTGTATTATGCCAGAGCATGTCCGGTATCTTGTTGAAATGATTGCCAAGGTGGACTTCCCTATTGATTTACCGAGTTTGAACTTCTAATCCTTTGCATTGTTTCAATTATAAATTAAATATTTCTACACTGGTATAAAATGTACTCAGATTAGAAACATTTTTGAGGATTGCTTCGGGGATTGCATTGGCAAGTTGTTGGTAATTTTGTAAAAGTGTTATCTGTAGCTTTTATTCCTGATTCATTCTGAGGTGAAAATTAAAACAATGTACAAAAACCCAGGAAAAATTGGAGTACACAGGGTTGTATCCAAAGTAGCACTATGTGAATATTCCATCAGTGCAGGGATTTTTGTTTGTGCAATGAAACATTCTCCCCCATCCCTCCACCAACTTGCCCCCCACATTTCCCAACCTTCTGTTGAAATTTTTAGGATGGCACGGGATGGGGAAAGGGGAGGGAATTCCCATTGCACAAGTGGAAATCATTGCACTGACATCGATATGTTAGCTGAATGCTGCCCATTGTATTTACACATACAGCACGATCAGACATTATAAGAGGTTTCCATTGTCAGTAGCTTGATTTTGTTGTTAAAACATATACACTTACTTTCACAGAAGGGAAATCTCTTGATTTGCTCATACCCTATGCAATACTTGACAGTTAAATTCTTGGTAGCATTGAGAAGCCGAAACGATGAAGCTCAAAATACATTTTTAAAAATGTGTGTGTTGACAGTTTTTGCAAATAAAACAACTGCCATTGCAACCTCTGAACTACCTTAAATCTTCTCCAGGAAACCTTTACTCCATCTCTCATGCTGACTTGTCTCTCCTCTGTCTGTTCAGCAGTGGGAGACATTTAGCGAACGCTCCTCAAGCTCACAAACTCTGACCCAATTTGATTCTAACATTGCACCAGCTGATCCTGTAAGTCAATCACTTAGCTTGCTTGTTTGAAATTAATTTTATTAACTCTGAATTTTCATTAATTGTATCTTGCCTGTTAATGCATGATTCTACAAAGCTTGGTGGGAAATGGTGGCAGAAGTCATACATTTTATCTGCTTTAAAATTTATTGGAGGAATCATATGTCTGCAGTATGATTCAAGTTTAATTATAGAACATTTTATGAGTTCAAGAAATAAAATGCAGTCTGTTCATTATTATTTTTTGAAGTATCTTCAGTGTACAGAGTGTGTTGAAATTCTTATTCATTATGGCTGTGACACTTTTTAGCTGCCTTGTGCTGAAAAACAGGATTGAAATTAGAAAATAAGTATGGTAACTTGCCAAAGACCAGTTTGAACAAGGACAGCCAAAGTCACATGCAGATCCAGTCCTTTCATCCCAAAGCCCACACATAAAGCCCTTTTTTATAGATACCATGTAATCGCATTTGCTAATCTTCGTTTTTCTACTTCTCCTAAGTACATGTCACTGCTTTCATGAACACAACCACTGTCCTCTATGGACAACACCAAGGCAACAGGCGTTCCTTGTCTGTATAATGGCCCATATGTGACAATTTGCCCAAGTCATATATACATCCTTCATTCTCCATAGTGTGGTGTTTCTCGCAGTTTTTAATTTCAGGACCTCTAACAAACATACTCTGCCCTCATGTACCCCATCCCACTGAGAGCCATGTATTGGGCATGTGATGGTGCATAATCTTCATTCACTGCTTTGTGAATGACTCCCACACTGCCAGAGCAAAACACTAGAAAGGAACATCTCTGGCTCCTGTATATTCTCTTGCTCTTTGCAGTTTCCGTAGATGGTAAGTTAAATCTGATGAGAGGAAAATCAGTGTGTGCTGTAGTGTCTCCCTCAGTAGAACTGCATTCTCCCATGTGACTTGTCATACTGTTTTAGAAACACGGCACTAAAGGCACAGACTTTTTTCTTTCTGAATGCAAAAGCTGAGCAGCAGGTAATGTGGGGTGGGCTGTGAAGCGTCTTGGCAGGTGGCATGCAGCGAGTGGGTGGGATGACAGCTTTTGTAGATCCATAGTTTTTCTTGGAGGGCCAGAAATGAAGTGCTGTTGCACTTGCATCCTGCTTGCCAGTTTTTTATGGACATCTGGCTGGCCATAGCGAGAGTAGGATGATGGACCTTTGGCTTGATCCAGCAGAATCTTGACCAGCCCTGTGTTACACGTGCTGCTGTACAACAGAAGCAGTGTGCAGCACAGTGTGGTCTAGCTCAGTGTTTCCCAACCTTGGGCCTCCAGCTGTTTTTGAACTACAATTCCCATCATCCCTGACCACTGGTCTTGCTAGCTAGGGATGATGGGAGTTGTAGTCCAAAAACAGCTGGAGGCCCAAGGTTGGGAAACACTGGTCTAGCTGACACTGTGCCATAACTATACACTTTCATATATACTTCACCGTGTAAATTGCTACAAATTAAGGCACATGAGCTCCTGAACAACTTATTTAGAAACACATATAATCTTGTGCAAGCAGAATATTGTATGCAAACTGCTTAAAGTGTTTGTTTAACAGGGGCAGCCAGTAAGCTTTGCTCCAGTGATGATTTGCCCAATGCAGATAAGCAAATGATATGCTTCCATGTACTTTGCTAGTGAAAGAGCTGTCATGTACTGTTTTGAGTATCACAACAAAGTTGCAACAGAGTTTGTTTTAGTATTCAAGCTTTTTAATGAAACTTTTGATTAAGCTATCAACTTTAGACCAATTAATTCTACTAAGCTAAGTTCAATTTATACCTCTTTGTCTTAGGATACTGCTATTGTTCATCCTGTTCCTATTAGAATGACTCCAAGCAAAATTCATTTGCAAGAAATGGAACTTAAAAGAACTGGAAATGGTAAGTTGTTAGATGGTGCCTTTAGAACAACCTCTACGTAGCTAAACATTAATTTTCACAAACATAATTAGTTATTGCAAGCCTATCAAACAATGTATTCATTTTTGTATCCATTGATATTGTCACTATAGGGTTCTTGAAGCCATTAATAGTTTTATCCTATTCAGTTATTGGGACGCGGTTGGCGCTGTGGGTAAAACCTCAGCGCCTAGGACTTGCCAATCGCATGGTCGGCGGTTCAAATCCCCGTGGCGGGGTGCACTCCCGATGCTCGGTCCCAGCGCCTGCCAACCTAGCAGTGCGAAAACACCCCCCCCCGGGTGCAAGTAGACAAATAGGGACCGCTTTATAGCGGGAAGGTAAACAGCGTTCCGTGTGCTGCTCTGGTGCCGGTTCGCCGGAGCAGCTTCGTCACACTGGCCACGTGACCCGGAAGTGTCTGCGGACAGCCTGGCCCGCCTAGAGTCTGTCAAGACTGGACTGTATGGGCAGGGGTACCTTTACCTTTACCTTATTCAGTTATTATACTGTCACATTCACATGAAATGCTAAACCAAGAAACAAGCCATTCACTAGCCACATTTAATTGTGTGAATGAGGCTAGGGCTCATCAGCTCCCCCAGCTTCTTCTCTGGTATGGCCATGAGGAGATCAGAAGGTTCAGCTTCTGGTTTTGACTACCTGCAATTTGTTACATCGGAATTGGGAAAAACGAGCTTGCTGAAACAAACCATCTCCAATCCGTGGTTTGTGAATCTGGCTTTCATAGTCAAAATTAAGCACAGTATAGGGACCCCACTGGAGAAGGAAAAGGGAGCAGGTTGTTAACAGGAACAAGTCTTGTTCATGTGCATCTGAACCAGGCCACACTTTTCAAGCCTGATTTAGCTTGCACATTTGTTGGGAAGCTAAAATTGCAAAGGGGGTTGGCATTGAGTAGCACTCTATATAGAGGTGGCAGTATAAAAATACTGTAAGACAATGCAGACAACAACAAGTACATGGATTGAGGGTGCTTGAATCAAAAAAATGTAATTGTGGCGTCTTATGCCATTTTTCTATAATACAGACTTTTAAACCCCTACAAATAATAGACTTGAATGATATCATTTTATGTTGCATTTGAGCAGTTTTGATGTTCTTAAAATTATTGACTTGTGTTTTAATATTGTGTATTATTTATTCTTTTGTAAGCCACTCAAAAGCATGTTTTGATGAGTGGCCATTAATCTAGTAATAAAATAAAAAATATTTTTTCTTTCTCTAAAAGGGACAGAGATCCTGTTCATGTAATTTGGCTTTTCAGTCTTCCCTTCCCTTTGCATTCCCCCAAAATCTGTTCCTGGGGATTGGTGTGTGATATGATGCACATGGGGAGGGGAGTTGATATCCACATATACACATGTGTGGCCAGAAATGCAAGTTATGATCTTGGCTGTTCAAAATTTTAATTTTGACATACTACTATGGTGTCAGACTTTGAGCATTAGGTGAAATTTGCCATAAGAAGAGAGGTAGACTAACTTACTGTTACTAAATATATATTTTATTCCTTTTTAGATCACACAAATCCCACGAGTCCTTTACTTGTAAAATCACCTGATCTTGTAGAAGAACGTAAAATGAGTTCATCTGCAAAATTTGTAGGAGGAAATACAGTTGGCAAGTATCAATGTTTTCTTTCCTAGTAGGGTGTCAGCCTATTTCATTTCATTTCATTTCACTGCAAATAGTTAAATGACTGTAATGACTGTAGTACATTCAGCAGCTACTCTGGCCATCTATGTGCAGTGGGAAACACTTTAAAATGCACATTTATTTTGTGTTTGAAAAAGGATGTGAAGCATCCTTCAGAGTTGGGGATTGAGATGTCTTATTCTTTAACACACTCTAGCCACTCTGATGCCCTCTTAGACCTCTTTACACATACTTTAAGGATTGTGTCTAGTAGCTGCTAGCTAGTTGGAATCCATTCAGACCTATATAATTTCTCAGATCTTCAGTCAAAGTAGTGGAAATTGTAAAGTACATTTTTGCAGTGCAGACCCCTGGGTTAGTAGGTATTGTTGATTATTCCAGAGTAAAGGGATATGATCTAATATATGTGAAGAGGCCAGATCCATTGTAGGAAGATTCTGGTATGGAAACTTGTTTTGCTTATCAATTTTGTGTCACTTGTGACCAATATACCTTATTTATAGAAAAGTCACTTGTAAGTTTTATTCTGTAAGATTATTCTGTGGAATAATCAAAACATGATTAATCAACAAGCAATGTATGATTTTCTTTTTCTTATATCAGCAGATGGTTACAGCAGCTCAGATTCCTTTACTTCTGACCCAGAACATATTGGAAGCACTGTAACAAGACAACGGTAATTAGATCCTTAAATATGAATGATGTTAAAGTAGCAACTCCTTTCCAAGGGCTAAAGTACCCATCTCCTACTCCACAATTTGTCCCCCCAAACACACAGCCTGGTAATCTCTAAAAGAAATTCATAATTCTAGAAGGAGTCAATTTCCTGATTGGTCTTTTTGTGTGTGTTTGTGTTGACATAAGAGCTGCTGCGTCACTTCCTAAGTCAGGCATGCCCAAACTTGGCTCTCCAGATGTTTGGGACTACAACTCCCATCATCGCTAGCTAACAGGACCAGTGGTCAGGGATGATGAGAATTGTAGTCCCAAAACATCTGGAGGGCCAAGTTTGGCTATGCCTGTCCTAAGTGTTTATTTGGTGGTATATAGCCTCTTAACACAACTGTTTTTGTCTTGTGTCTTTTCCTGGCTCCAAGAATATATTCTCAAAGAATTTAAGCACTCCCGCAAGCTGTATTCACTTACCACCATTGTTTAACTGTCTATTTGTCAGTCATAGAATAAGATTTCCTTTCCTCCATTCTGCAGCCTGAAGTGAGGATGGGCAACATAAAGCCCTCAGGTCAGATCCATGATCCATAGGGTGCTATTAGAACATTGGAAATATGTGTGTGTGCTGTTTAGCAAACTTCTAGATTCCAGCATTGTGATGCAAACCTGTAAATTGCAAGGGCAGTGGAGCTGAGTTTTCCAGACTGCAGAAAGATCTAATGATATAAAACCATTTCCCGGTATTGCCACATGTACACATTCTTAAGTATTTATACAAGGATGACTGTATTCTTTCTATTCTTTTGGTGAAAAAGGAGCTTGTCTCATTTTAGAGTAGAAATTGTTCTCTGGAAACAATAGGCTATCCATTTTCAAGCTGGTTTGATAGATCCATGCAGAAAACAGGCCCTATAATTTGAACAAGGTGACTTCCCCAGTCTAAATAAAATAAAATAAAAATTCCTTCCAGTAGCACCTTAGAGACCAAGTAAGTCTGTTCTTGGTATGAACTTTCGTGTGCATGCACACTTCTTCAGATACACTGAAACAGGTCACCAGACCCTTATATATAGTGAGAGGGTGGGGATGGCTATTACTCAGAAGGGTGGTGGGAATGGGTGATTGGCTGATCGGTGTGGTAAACCTCTTGACGACTGTGACTGCAATTGGTCTTACAGGAAAAAGCAAGGGGTGAGATGGCTAAAAATAGCTTTATCACGGATAATGAGATCAGAATCCAATGTCTCTATTCGAACCAGATCTCTCCATGGTTTTAAGTTTGGTAATAAGTTGCAAATCAGCAACTTCCCTTTCCAGTCTATTTCTGAAATTCTTTTGTAATAAGACAGCTACTTTGAGATCTAGCTGATCTTAATCTACAAGTGCAGGTCTCTTCATTGTATCATGGCTGGCAGATCACAACTCAGTACTTTTCAGTTATCTTCAGTAGTTAAAGTTTAGATGTCCAGCTTCTTAAAGAGCAAATTTTACTGGGAAGGAAACAGTTGCTGTGTTCTGATGACTATATGGGACTCATGAACTACAGTTTGCAATAGAATTTCTGTAGTTCCATTGTTTTTCAGATCACATTCAGGGACGTCTCCCGACAATATAGCTCCTCCACCACCACCACCAAGGCCTCACCCTTCGCACTCAAGATCATCATCTTTAGATATGAACAGAACCTTCACTATTACTCCAGGTGGGCATGGTTCAGATTCTTTTATAAAGTCAGTTTATTTTATTCATTCTTAAATCAGGGTCACTTGGGTAGTTCTCCTTTCTGTTTAGAACAGTACTGAATGTTCATGATGTTGAGACAGTTGGGAGGAAAGGTTGTTTGTTTCTTTTCTTTTCTTTTTTTTAAAAAGATATTTATTGAAATTTTTAAACAATTAAACAGATTTCGCAGACATAAAAAGTACAAAAGAAAATACATAGAAATACAAAAGAAAGAAAAGAAAAACATAAAAATCCTGTTTCTAGGTTGTTTGTTTCAGTCATGTTTGCAATCTTGGGTGGAGGACGGTGTTAATATTTGTGTCCTAAAATATAATTATTAATGGGAACATGTTGCACAAGAGAAATTTTCACAATGCTTTTCAGCAGAAAGCCTACCTGAAGATTTAGATCTCTCTCCTGTCAGCTCCTGTCTTGCTTTGTTTGCAGGAATCATCTGGAGCTGCAGCCAGTTTGTTGAAGTGTGCCTTACTTTCTTCTTTCTGCTTGAGGCACGCCATCCTATACACGTTCACTCAGAAGTGAGACCCCTTGAGTTCAGTGGGGTTTACTGCTGAGTAAGCGTTCACAGGATTGCAGCCTGCGTGATCAAGATTACATAGGCTAATCTGTAGGAATTTTATGAGTCAAGAAACTTGCCCGAAGGCCTAGGTTTTGGAATGTGCTGAGCCCTTAAACCATGTAACAATTAAAATACAGCAGCAAGTGACTGCTGAAGCTTGACCCTGCTTACATCCAAACAACTGCTTGTTTTAAAGTACTTAGCCAAAAGTTGTTAACACAGATGAAAACATATTTAGTGTTCTCTTCTAAATATTACTGCCTTGTAGGTCAACAGCAAACTGGAGCGATTGCCTACCCCCCTGCAGTGCCTCCAAGACCTCCACCCACACAGGTTATTCTTCGATTTCTGTTGAAATTGTTAATTAATTGCATCTTTTCAGCGATGGTACCGATTTCTGTTAATAATACTGTAATAATCTCTTCATTGAATAGTTCCATCTCAGAACAGGGAAAAATGAAATGAAATAAATGTACAGGAAAACGATAATAAACAAAAACTACAGAATCCATAAAAATAAGTCCAATAAATATCCTGAACAATTCCATCATAAAACAGGGTAAGCTAAGCTGCAGTGAGGACAACTGTTAAAATTTTCAATTTCACCAAATATCTGGTTAAAGAAAATGGAACATCCAAGCATGTAAAATCACCTAATGACATTTTGGGATGAGGTGATTGGCAAAATTGACAAAATCATCCCCCAGCATATTACAAAGATCCCAGAATTAGCCTTACTGAATTTGTTTATAAACAAGAACCTGGAGCTGATCACAAACCTTTCTTTAAAAGGCTAGCTGCTGGTGACAGCATGTACGATCATCACTGCCTTTTGGAAATACCTTAAAGGAGCAAATTTAACATCTTGGTACAAGACATGGCAAATACCTCTCACTGAAAAATTAACAGATAAGTTGAGAATGGTGAGAGGAATTAAAGAGATACTTTTGTGAGAGAATGGTGGAAATTTATTGCTTTCACAAACATGCCAGAAAACAAAAGAAAGATATCGAGGGTATATACTAATTTATGGATATCATCATAATTAGATTTTATCTGTAATACTGTCAGTATTTTATGGGAATTGTCATCTATAGAACATAAGCAGGGGCCTCTCACTTGTTGAATTCTTAGTTTCTATTCATCTACATTCTGTCATGTTTTTATATTTCACAGGACATTATGTTCCAGGTATTCTGGAAAAAGGATTTTAATAATTACTTTAATAGTAATAAGAATTAAGCAATTAAATAACCTTCCCACCGCAGCTTGCATCTGGGGCACCCCTTCACTACCCCTTTGTGCGAGAGACAATGATGGCCTCACTCTGTGCCAACAGACTCTCTCACTCTGTGGCTTCTGAGCAGCTTAACAACTTTTACCCCTGTTCTCCACCCTACCCAAGTTGTCACACTGAGTGGCATGAATCATTGTCTACATGCACCCACAGCAATAAAATATATTTTAAAAATGTTTTTCTCTTCTATGTTTATATGGAAGAAAACAACTAGCAAAATAAACATATGTCACTTACATGGTGACAAATTATTCAGAATGTCTCCCCCTGTCATCTTATAAATATTTACCTTCATTCAAATATGCCTTGAATATTTAGGTCAGAAAAGAACTCTGTTTACTTGGTTAGTATCCAAGCAAACTTTCTTATCTGAGCGAGTTTTTACATTAGTAAACTTTTTAAAAGTACCAACATAATCTGTGGCATTGGTTCTCTTCCTGTAGGCTGGAGCTCATGTTCACCGTTCATCAGATGCTGAAGGTCTAATAGCACACACCAGTACCTCACCTCAGCAAATACCAGAACAGCCAAACTTCGCAGATTTTAGCCAGTTTGAGGTTTTTGCTGCATCAGGTGTAAATGAAGAAGAGGATGATGAAACTGAGAAACAACCAGAGGTTTTGCAGGTTAGCATAGACATTATATCTTCTGGCTATAGAGTGTGCATTTGGTCTCAGTTTAAGTATCTGATCTCATACTCTTTCCCAAACCTGAAGATTATTTGAAACATTGCTTGCTTGCCATGATGCATTTTTGAGTTATTTCTGTCTCTAGGTAGAAAAAACACCTGATTCTGCTGGGCCTCTTAGAGTTGCCAAAGGTGATGGAAGACTTGAAGACAAAACAGTTTCTAGTACGCCTGCAAATACGGTATGTAAAATGTGCAACACGAGAACAGGTATTTTCTGTGGTGGCTTCCCACTTGTGGAATGCTCACCTGGCACCTTCATTACATATCTTTAGGAACCAGGCAAAGACGTCTCTTTTCCCAAGCCTTTTACTAATAATATTCTTTAAATTGTTTTAATTAAAGTCTATGGCCTTTTAAACTGGGGGAGGGGTATTTGTTGTTGTGGCTGTAATGGTACGTATTTTTGTGGTTTTATTTTGTAAACTGCCCTGTGATCTTCAGATGAAGTATAGAAATTTAATTAATAGTGCTACTACTGATCATGGGTTTCAACCTCCATTTTACCTAAAAAGCACATGTTTCTTAAAGCAACTTGCATAGCAGCATGTTGTAGTGGCAAAATTTAAAAACTAAAATTGACTATAATGTTCCCATAGGGTCTTAACAGATGCTAGAGTTACCTGTAAAACTGGGATTGTTCTTCCTGTCATGGCTCAGTTCTTGAAAAGCAGTGGTTGCACAAAAGGTTTTGTATAATATTGCAGATTGCTGCTTACTGATGCCATTTTTATGATATATTACTGCTGCTTATTTTGCTGTGCTGAATTTTTTATGTGTAATTTTTTTATGCCTTGGGTAGAAAGGTTGGAAATAAATGAAAAAATATAAGAAGAGTCAATGCTGTAGATTAAATCTACTTTCACTGGCTGAATAAAGCAAAATTCAGTTGATAACCGACTTTCATATTCATTCAGTGCTTTTGCTGTTTGATAGATACATAACTGTCTGCAGCCAAAGGTATCTCTCACAATAATGCGTCACTTGCTGAATATGTGAACTAGCTCCATTGAAACAAGGGTCTGAGGTGATTAGAAACAAACTCTTTCTGTAATGGCTCAGCCACCATTGGTTAATGGTCATCATGCGAGGAGCAGGCATGTGTGCACTTTTGATTCTCACTATTGTGCTGGGTTGCAACTCCTATTCATGCTGTAGATTCCCCATCCATGGATGAAGCACACCAAAATCAATTTCCTTTGGACCCGAGCCTTCACAACACGATGGTTTTAGTTTGAAAGCTATGGAGATCCCTTACAGACTCTTTAAGTCTTTTCAGTACAGCCCAGTACAGAAGAAGAGGAACACAGTCCACACCATATGCTAGCCCTCATTCAATTTACTCTTCATTCTTCACAGCACCTTTGGGTGCAAGTCTGATTCCTGTACTTGTTTGGAAATAGAGGGGTTGAGCTAGCTGAAGAACTTTGACATTCTCATTGAAACTTAACATTGACCCATTTGTCACATGCTGGGTCAACTTAGCCACAAATGTGGGTTTTCCCACCACCACCCACTTTGTATTCATTCTGTTGCATTTTGGCAAAGATAAGTAAACTAAAGGGCAAAAACAGTTAAGTCGTCCTGTCAACAGAAGCCCTGTGCAAAGACTTGTGTTGCCCATTGGGGATTCTCTTTATCCTCCCCCCTGTGCCCTCCCAATTTTCTCTAGGGGGGTTGGGAGAACCTCAGAACAGCATGCTGAGAGAGAAGGGGGTTCATACTGTCTGAAAAGCCGATATGCTTGCATTGATGGAACAATCAGAAGAGTGGAATGTTAAATTCCTCCTAGCATATTGGCATTCCTTTGAAAGTTTTTACACTTTTAATGGCACACAGGCAGGATTGATATACCTTAGACTTTTTTCCCCACAAGTACCTTTGTTTTATGGGACGCGGGTGGCACTGTGGGTTAAACCACAGAGCCTAGGACTTGCCGATCAGAAGTTCGGAGGTTCGAATCCCAACAGTGGGGTGAGCTCCCGTTGCTCGGTCCCTGCTCCTGCCAACCTAGCAGTTTGAAAGCACGTCAAAGTGCAAGTAGGTAAATAGGTACCACTCTGGCGGGAAAGTAAACAGCGTTTCTGTGTGCTGCTCTGGTTTGCCAGAAGCGGTTTAGTCATGCTGGCCACATGACTCGGAAGCTATACGCCGGCTCCCTCAGCCAATAAAGCGAGATGAGCGCCGCAACCCCAGAGTCGGTCACGACTGGACCTAATGGTCAGGTCAGGGGTCCCTTTACCTTTTTACCTTTGTTTAAAAAAAAGGTATCTGGAGATACTGCTGATCCTCCCTTACAACTTAATGCCACTTTCGGATGGTTTGTTATGCATCCAGTGTCAATCCAAGACAGGCAGAGGGTAAAGTCGAAGAAAGCTTAACAAACTGTGTCAGGTATGCAGCTGACATTCATCTATAACCCAGATTAAATACACAGTTGAAAAGTTGTGGTTGTTTCTTCAATTACCCCAGATGGACAGAGTTTTACATCTGAATGCTGATGCCTTCAAATGTAACAGCATGCTTCCAGGCTATGGATTCCTCAGCTTCATATGCATGGTAGCCAGTTTAAGTATAACACTGAACATGCAGAATCCCAAATGGCCAGTGCTTGGAGGGTTTTTTTATTTTATTTTTTTGCAAGTAAATTTTTATTCAAAATTTGTAGAGAAAAAAAAAGAAAAAAGTACAAACACATACAAAAATAAACATTTTAACATGACTTGTTCATCCTATTTTCATGCTATACAAAAAGAAAAACGTACAATCATACCAACAAATAATATAAACCTTGGGCTCTACTTAGCCCTTGACTTCCCTTCACCCTTTTGGTAAGTATCAAATAAATCCCAGGTAGCGTAATTAGTTTATTAAAGCTTGGAGGTTTTTTTTATATACATTTAAAACAGGCCTAACCATTCTCTAGTGATGCTTCCAGGAGGCTTAAAATATCCCTACAAGTAACTGGCATCACATATCCTTACATATCTTAGTATACCTTCTTACAACACAATCCTATGCATGTTCACTCAGAACTACATTCCACCGTCTTCACTGGGACTTCTACTGTGGTAAGTGTTCATTGGTTGGGAACCTTGATTATGCTGTTAGTAGGTGATTAAAACTGGGGTTTTTAATTAACTAATCATTAGTAATGATTAAAACTGAGTGCTGGTGAAGTTTATTGTTGCATGTATTAAGACACCCTCTATAATCTTTCAGGGCAAAGGTACAACGCCTCTGGCACCGCCACCAAAGCCTATACGCAGAAGGCCAAAATCAGAAGATGAGCTGAGACCGGAAGCTGAGGAGCAAACACAGAAAACAGGTGTCATAGCTGCTGTTCTTGCTTCACAGCCATCTATTCCTAGGTAACCCAAGATGTGTATAAGTACCTCTGATAACAAGGCATTTTCATTTTAAATAGAAAATATAGCCATTAGTAGCAAAGTATCTATGATATTTGAACCATTGAAATGCTAAGTAAAGCCACTGTGAACAAACTTGAATCCTAAACACAGTATAGAGTTTTAGAAAACTGATGCACAGCGTTTTGCATTATGTTACAATCTGCAAGAAATGTCTTTCCATGCATTTATTAAAATTGCATCAAGAATCTAATTTCAATATTAGGTGTACAGTTCAGTCTGTCACACTCTTGTTGTAAACATGGCTACATGCACTTGACAATTTCATGGATTTTCACTAAGCAAAAGAATTCAGCATTTTGCAATGTTCATCAGAGACCCAAGGGGGACTAGTCAGGCTACTTTGCTGACCAAGGGCTTTGGATTTAATTCCTTATAAAGCTCCCTCTCCCTTCCCAAAGGGTGCTATTTATTGTTCTACTCCCAGGCTAGTCACCTTGTCCTTCTCTCTTCCCTACTAAATTGTATGCAATCAGTGAAGGCTGAGATTTCTGTATGCAGTGAGTATTTGATTTGACCTGGGAGGTGTTCTAAGGGAGTAATTTAAGTAGATGGAACTTTGCTGTATCATGAAAAGTGTGGTGCATTTTTGACTTGGAGTTTAAATCAGCCTCAGCTTCATCTTTGACCTGCAGTATTAACATTGGACAACATGTGCAGGGCCTAGCATCTCAGCACAGCTCTGCAAACTGTAGGAGGCGTATATTACAGATCTCCAAAAGATTCAAAGCTTCCTCTGAATCTGGTGACACCCCTTTTGTGTGCATGGCTGTTTTGGCTCAGAAATAAAATAGAATATTAAGCAAACTAAATAGATGGTTATGCATTGCACACAAATTGAGTATTAGCACTTTTTGTGAGGCCTGGGTCGCTTGGCAGAAAGAAATGTACAAATCTGGATACAAGCTTGAATTTGCAAGACAGCTTAATTCAGTTCAACCTGCGGTACAGGAAACATGCTAATTGATTCTAAACTAGTAAAGAAAGCCATGGACCTGCATAAAAGCATAGTCTTTGTATGCACTGCCTTAGTTTCAAATAGCTTTGAAACACAAGGAAACTTCAAAGGGAGTTTTGAGATGCAATGCAAGGGAAAACCTGGGAAGTGTCACTAGGTTCATGCAACGTTTGTTGTAGCTCTGTAGGCTGTGGCTACTTACAGGAAAGGATGCCAGAATTCACATTTTTATTAATTGACGTGCAACTAAATAATACATTAAAGAAACTAAGGCATTGAGTAAAGTAATTAACTGATTTCAGAACAACTTTCTTGAGCCATTTGTCTACAAATAATAAGCACTTTCTGAACGTTGTTTCATGAACTATCTCTTCAGATCGGTGGGAAAGGACAAGAAGGCTATTCAGGCATCAATCAGACGCAATAAAGAGACCAATACTGTTTTGGCCAGACTGAATAGTGAATTACAGCAGCAATTAAAGGTAAATGACATTTTAAAAAAAACTAAACACACCTTTTTTCTGCACCAGATCTTTTGATTGGTTACCTTTTGAAGGCTGTAATCTTCAACTTTTCCAAAGTAAAAAACCTTTTATCCCAGCTTTCAACATAGGCCATATTTCTGATCCCACCCCACCCCACTTTTTTGGCGATTCTGCAGCTTCCTTCATGAAGCAAAGGCAGGGTTTTTGTTTTGATTACTGATATGAGCCAAGTGTCTGCTATTTTAGTCTTCTTCCCCACCCCCCAGACACATGTGCACATTTCCCCCCTTAAAAACAGCAGAAAATAAGTTGATTTAGATTTAGAAGAATTCTCCATGGCTATTTATATAAAATTATTACATAGTGTTGAGGATGTAATAGAGTTTTAACGTATTACAAACATTTGTGCTAGCCTATAGTAAAGATTACTGTAACCATTCCAACTAAATGTATGTTTGTTTATCGTGGTATCTCTTCATTTGTTTTATATAAATGGCAAATCTTTCCTTTGTAGGATGTTCTTGAAGAGAGAATTTCGCTGGAAGTTCAACTGGAGCAGCTTCGACCCTTCTCTCACTTATAAGCCAATTGCCATTAACTGTGAATTAATTAACTCTGAAAGGGGAAATTGGGTAAAAGGCCTAATTAAAGACCCATATGTTCAGCTCAGTGCACTCTTAACATTTTTTTGTGATTGTTTTGTCCTCTGTCCACAGTTGTATTTAAGTAACTTTTATAATTTTAATACAAAGAATGGAATAATTGTTTCCTTGAATGTTCTATATATTGGCACTGCCAACCTTCCCATTTTGTTGGGAGGACACATTTTTAATTTGGAGCGAAGTTTGTACAGCTTCAATGGCCTAGATCCCAAACTGAACTTGATTACCTTATGAATTTTCTATATTTCATGTCAAAGATCATGACTAAAAAACATCCCAGATATCTACTTTTTAAACACAGAAGCACATGCTTTTAAACACCTTTCTTTTGATTGTGTAAGAGAAGGTTAACCAGCTGTGGTCATCAGTTTTTCCTTTTCCGAGTCGCATTTTGCAATCCATCTGAAATTTCAGGCAGCCATTTTGATTCATTTTGCGCCTTCCAAGTGCCACAAATACCTTTTTTTTGTTTTCAGACTACCTTGCCATACCAAATGCATTTGGTTGTCTTTTCCTCTTTATGTACTTTGTATGTGGCCACAGCTTGACATTTGTTTCAATGTTTCCATTCATGACTGTCATTTTTCAGCATGCACGTAAGTGCATACCTTCTGTGAAAGGATTGGGTGTTGATCTCTCTGCCATGCACATTTCCTGAACACCAACCGTAGTTGCATGCTTTGCACATTTACCCTTTTATTAACTGGCACATCCAACAGACTTTACTGTAACACACTATGGTCAATAAATGTGTCAGTACCTCAACTCTTCTTTCCCAGTCCCCTGAAAACTATTTTTGTTCCTCAGAAGGTTCGCTTCATCTCTCCAAGCCTTATTCTTCTGGCTTGCAGACAGGCTTCATTAACACAGTTTCCTGAGTGTATCCTGCTATTCAGGTTGATGTACTGTATTAGGATTTGTTGTATATTGTATAATACACACCTTTTGATCTCATATGTAAATTTGCATTAATGCTGACTAACAGCAGATATTCTATTTAATGGCTTATTCTGGCTGTGGGATCATAGATGTTAAACTGCATGGATGTATCTCAGCAGAATCAGAACTAGCAATTGTGTGATTTTTACACCAATAAAACAGCACAATATTTTAACTTGGGTGAATCCTTTTAGTTTGGCTTAACACACTGAATTAGGTTGCTTTTCATGAGCCTGCAAATAGGATTTTGCACTGAGTATTTGGTTGTGAAGAAACCATAATGCTAAGACTACTTTGGCCACCATGTTGGCCAATTGGCTTGCCCAGCCAGCAGAACAAACTTAACACTCACACAACAGGATTTCTCCCCTTCCCCTCCAGAGTAGATTTTGGTGGTGTATGGAGCTGAGTAGAAAGGGAAGTCCACTCATGTGCTACGGGAGATTTATCACCCTAAATCAAACATTAGGAATAAGTCAAATACAAAATTCATGGTATGGGTCAAAGCAGGAAAGAGACTCAAAGCAAAGGGTGAGAAAGAATAAACGTTTGTAACTGCATGCATTAATAGACATCTAACAACACACTAACAATTTCTATCGACTGTACAGCAAGAAGAGATACTAAGTCACAGCAAATGTGCTTTACTGTAGGCAGGGGCAGGGAACTAGGTCTAGCCATCTGGATCTCTGGCTTCCCCCATGCTACAAGCCTAAACAGGGTTTGAAGTTTCCACCAATCATCTGATCAGTGCTGACTTCAAGCTCCACTTTCTGCAAGGGGCAGCTACACAGCTGATCCCAGCAGCTTTGAAGTCATCACCTGTCACCTTTGTTTTCTACTGATGCACTACTATCTACAAAATTCTCAATGGGGGGAACTCAGTAGCACAACCAATCCCAGCTGGCTTGCTCTCGGCAAGCTTCCCTTACCAAGATGCAATCAGGAGTGCACTGTTAAGGCTCCGGATTGTGTGTTGGCAGTTTTGTGTCCATTTGGCCCTCACCAGACATCACCCATGACATGAAGTATCAGGGAAACAGCCTCACTGGCCAAATGAGGCCCTTGGTCAGCCTGATTTCCCCATGTCTGTTGTAGACACTGAACGGTTACCTTTTTCTTTTGGGAGCTGCATGACAGTTACAAGCGGCAGGAAGGTGAGGTAGTAAATAAAGCTGGGAAATTTTAAGAACAATTTACATTATCTTCAATATTGCAGATAATTGCCCTTTGCAGTGCAGAAAGCCATGTAAACTTGTCATGGTCCTCTGTAGAACAAATCATTTGACACCTGGGACTTTGCAGAAGAAAAGCATTCTTGATATCTGTAATAATAATAATAATAATAATAATAATAATAATAATAATAATAATAATCTGATTTCTGAAAGATTATAAATGAGGATCAGTTTTCAAGCTAAGACAGGAGATCATGTAGCAATATGTGCAGTGGTGAAAGTTTGACCCATTTATGGTGTTCCATGCATTGCATTCCCTACAGAAATGGTGACCTGTAAAGCAGGCCTTGTTTCCTTTCAGTAACACCTTTCTTATCCCACTACTCAATTAGTATTGCACTTTTCCTCATCCCTGGTTTTAGTCTGCATGCAGATACTGAAAATGAGAAGTTTGTACAAAGTGGTTTGTTTTTCAAAGTGAATCATTCATTGACCAGCAAATGCATCTTTCCACTGCAGCGAATAATGTGGAGATTTACAGCATTCTGTGTTATTTCTGACAGGCATTGCTATGTTACCTGTGTTAACACAGTTTGTATTCTTGCATTGCCCTGAGTTCTTCTGATGGAAGGGTAATTCGCCAGAGGCTCCTGGAGGGCACAGAGCACCTTTGGAATGGAGACCCCTACCATAGTCCACAGGCAGAGCCATGCAAACTTCCTTCCTCCTGCAGGAGGAGCCAACACCATCTCTCAGACCAACTGTACCAGTGAGCAAGGGTCTGTTCACTTATTAAGAAAAAATTAAGCCCCTAATCGTTTTGCTAGCCCCTTCTGTCCTTTAAATATAGGGATTACTGGGGCCGCTCACCATCCGTTAGAATGGCAATAGCCTGTCCTTGCACAGAGTTTTGAGAAGTTTGCCTGGAGCAGCTGCTTCCACAGATAACTGCTGATTTCAAGGCATTCAGAAAGGTTGTTGTCTATACTTCTTGGTATAATAGTTCTTTCCCCTTGGATCTAAGGATACTGAGCAGCTATCTTTCCTAAACATGCATTCGGATTGTGGACCTCACCATGCAACATTCTTAGGTATTTATTTTCTTGGGTTTAAAGTAAGCAAGCACTTGAAAAGCTTTAAGACAGTAATGGAGACTTTCCAGCAAAGGCATTCTGGAGCTTCTGTAGATCTCCTAGAAGCATATGATAGATTTTTTCCGTCTCCAGAAGCTCTGCAGAAAACTAGGATGGATTTCTGAGGGCAACTGTCATTAACACAAGCTCCTATTGCAGAATTCATCTGCTGTTAGCCAATCAGCTTTGGCAGAAAAAAATATCATCTCATCTACACTTGATACACATTAACCTCCATTTCCCTAACTATTGCAACTGGTTTTAATTTTAACAGAAGCTCAAGAATATCCAGGTGACCCTGCAATGCTAGCTAAGTATTTGGTATGAAGAGTCATTTTGTTACAATATTACAATTTTAATTGGAAATACATTTTTTTTAAATATCCTGACAGATTTTGTGCTGTGTTTATATCATTTTAGGGTAGGAGAAAACTCACATTTGGAATCTGGAATATCTTCAACCAGGAGTTGATGAAGTGTTACCACTGCCAAGAATTGGTGAGTAACATGTGAGATGCGTTCGAATGGTTTGTAAGAGATGCTGCGCTGTGAGATAACAAGTATATCGTTGAAAAGGAAGAGGCTAAGATCATGGGTGTGCTCATACAGCCTGCCAAAATTGAAAACAAAGGATTAGTCTTCAATGTTAGACTTCAGAGAAACGAACACAGATATTAATCAGTAGTATATTAAGCTTTTGAAAACGTTTAATGAAAAAAAAAGAAGAAAATCAGTAACCCTGTACTTGTTAAAGTGTAACTCTTAATACAGTGTGCTTATTTTAGTCTCAAGCTAATTTTTCTGCTAATTTTTCAGTTTTAAGCATTAGAACTTGTCCTGCAACACATTCCTGAAAGTAATGGCTCTTTCTTAGGGGATCGATCAATCAATAAGCCAATGGCTAATAAAAATATATTTTTTTTCTGTTAGAAAGAATGATCTCTGGGCCACTGATACAATTAAAGCAATACCCAGAGGTAATTAGAAGGCATTAACCACAGAGTGTCCTGTCCCACCCAAAAGCTTAGACTTGACTGCCGGTTAGTTCATCATCATTAGCACTGTTCATTTCTAAGGAAAGAGTTCACCCAATTCTGTGCAAAGAAAGAAAGAAATCATTGCATCTAAGTGGTAGGTTCTCCTTTATTAACTGAAGAATTCATGTGCAAACAATTCATAAACATAACAGTCCTCAGCTACAAATAATAAACTATGCAAAACAGATTTAGCAACCAGTCATTGAAAGGCATCCCTCATTTTTCTTCCTCTACCCTCCTATTATTTTATCTGTCTATTTACCTGAATGGCATATGGACTCTCTCTGAGCAGCAGTTTAGCTGGGCTACATCTTGCATCGCAATTAGATACCTATTGGCTTTCAGTAACTTCTGTGGATTAAACATGAAAAGATTTAAAAATATTTGGATAAATTTTGATTATTTTTGTTTAGTTGTCCTCGGCTGCTGATGTGTGTTAAATCACACACTTCTGTTAAACATCGGGAGGAAGGTCATACATCTCCCTTTACCCCAATGATGTGCTTTGTATCCACAAAAGCACACAGTTTCACAGACAAAAATTCCCTATGCAGCATATTCTATCTCCTAGATTCAGCTCTTCCCAAATGCATTTGAGTTCACTATGCCATAGCCATGTGTTCTTTTAATACTTATCTTGTGCTTTATTTTTGAGGAAACTACTACTTTTACAAAGCAGTTACTTTTCCTTTGTTATTCACGAGCACAACCTACTCCATGGCAAATTATTCTGCCTTTATCACACAAATACATGCATTTCCTCTATATCACACTACGTTTGTCTATACAAAGTACTTACAGGACATCCTTGGATACGTCTTTGTGTAGTTAATATCTGATCATCTCTGCCAACATTCAGTTTTAGCTAGAAATTTAGTATGGTAAACATAAGGTGAGTTAGCTTCTCAAGGATGAGGATGAAAGGAGAGATCTAATCTGTAACGCTCTTATCCAAACGTCCTTCAAGGGCGCTCCCATAGGTAGTTCCCCATTTGCAAAATGCCCTCACTGGTGAGATGTGTCTTGTCTTACTCATCATTAACTTTCTGGAGGAACTTTTTTAAAAAATAAATGTTTACTCAGGCATTTGATGGCTGAAAGATGCTTTTCCTGGCAACCTTGAAGTAATTAGTTGTGAGGGTGTGTGGATGTTTTTAATTGTATTATTTACGATTTTGGTGTTTGCTGCCCTGAGCCTCTCTGGGAGGGAGGACAGGATAAAAAAACCTCCAACATATCCTATATTCCTATTTGCAACATTTAAGGTGGAGAGAGGAAATTTACGTCCTCAAGACTCCAAGACCCAGCAGCTCCAGCAGCATCTGGAGGAGCCACAAGTTCCCCATCTATGCCGGCTGCCTTCATTACATATCTTTAGGTGCCAGATGAAAAAAACCCTCTATAACCAGGCCTTGGGATGAATTCTATGGCCTTTTAAATGTGTTTGTGGGAGGGGGTTATTGGTTTGTTTTGGTCCTTGTTTTATTATGTATTTTGTGTTCTCATTTTGTATTTTTATGTTGTGAACTGCCCTGTGATATTTGAATAAGGGGTGGTATAATAATAATAATAATCCAAAATCAAAATCAAAACTTGAATTATGTTGGCTCTCCCCAATCTCAACTTGCTACTGAGTGCCTTAGTGATCCCTGCAAGATCGTCATGCTAAAACAAATGTAGTAGACAAACCTGATCTAAGTAATCCTTGAACTGTTTCATTTGCTTAATTGCAGGAGTCAGCTCTTCACGGTCAGTGTGTTCTGGAGGAGTGTGAAGCCTCAGAGCATACAGGAGCGTGACGTACTCTTCAATCCTCTTAGATGGGCACAACAGAAATTCTTGGAGGCTACGTGTTACATAGATGCACTTAATCCATGCTTTAATTAGAAAAGTAGCAAATTGCATTGCAAGTCCCAAGACCAACAAAGGTATGTCAAGCCATATCTTAGGGGCCTAGTGTAGCAGGTAAGACATAGGTTCTGTGGGTAGGAGGTTCACAAGTCCAGGAAGTAAGCAGTTTGCCTGTTCTCGATGAGGTTGCACTCTTTTTGAAGGGACAGTTATGTTGAAGAAATGGGTGGCAGGGAACCCTTAGGCCAAGGGGTAAAATGCAGCCCTCTAGTCCTCCCTATCGGGCACTCAAAACTCTCCTCAGGCCATGTCCTTCATGCGCCCTGCTTCACACCCTCAGTGTTTTTGCCTGGCTGGAATGTACCTTTAAACACTAAGATAATGCCTCTTTGCTTATCTAGGTAGAGAATAGAGACAAGTGTGTACATAGTAACTAGCCTACTGCACAAAGGTAAAATGTACATATGTTGCTCTGCCCATTTTTGCCTCTAGCATATACTAAACACCCATGCTTTGGCAGCGTCCTCCTTCCTATTTTAAACCACAAGACTTTACCTTCTCATAGTAGTAGCAACAGTCTTGTCATGTCTCTTCAGAAAGGCACGGAATACTGGAATAGTCTCCCTGCACTGTGAAAGCAAAAGGTTTTGACCATCAGTGTGATGTAATCCATAAAACTATGGACCAAATAAGGAGCAAACAGCAGCATTTCCATAACCCAGTTCTGTGGGCTGCTGTGGCTCACCTTGTCCTTTGCCTCCAGCACTGAGGCAGACTTGAACCTTAGACTCCGGCTCACAATGGTGTCAGCATCTGGCAAGTAGCTGCTCAGTAAATATGGGCAGCCCAAAGACATTTTCGTAAGGCTGCGAAGCTGCAGACACCTCTTGTGCTGTGGGGTTTAGTCAATGCTAGTTTTACACAACGCAGACCCACTGAGATTAATAATAATAATAATAATAATAAATTTTATTTATATCCCGCCCTCCCCAGCCGAGCCGGGCTCAGGGCGGCTAACAACAGTCAAATAACAATCAAATAATAGCACATTCTAAAAATATTTCGTTATAAAAATTAGTTAAAATCAAATTGATGGCAACCGATTAAACAAAATTCTGTGCAGGTTGCCGGAGGAGGGAGTCAGGCTGCGCCCTGACCAAAAGCTTGGCGGAGATTAATGGACAAGCCTAATTTAGGCAAGTTAGAATGCAGTTGGGTACAACACTTAGTTTCCCTTTCAATATTGAAAGTTGAGGCTGGTGAAGCCCTTTCCCACGATGCACCTTGAACTGTTGTGACACAAATCCTCGGGAGGATAGGGCTCTGAGATGCCAGATTGACAAGGCTGAGTGGGAAGGGAACTTCCAAATTACATGCTTTGTGCACAGATTACTGGGCTATTGCACTCCAGTATTCCCAACCCCATTATATCATACAGTAGAAGAACACAGCCTAGGATCATCATGGAAATTGCATCATGTTAAGACTATCTACAGGGCATGGTGGGCAGAAAGCAGTGAAACAAATACAGGCATGTAATCCAGTTTGCATAAGGTAACTATTATTTTCCTGATTGCATCTAATTTTTAATGATGGAAAATATACCAATTAATATAAAAATAAAAACTAAAATCACAGTAAAACAGGACTTACTCAAAATTCAGATCTCATTAATTTCTAATAAACAAACATTCTTATAACTGATTACTTGCTTACAGATCTAAGCTTTACTTTTTCTTTTAACAGAATATAGCATAAATATACTTTTCCAAAGATATTTAAATGCACTTTAATATTTAGTTACTATTTGTTGTATGCTGCTTGGGATAGGGAGAGAAGTGAGCATGGGAATTAAAAAAATAAATGTTACAGTGGAAGGAGTGTCTGACTTAGAGTCATGAGAGTTTGGTGTGTTCTTACCTTGTCTATAGTTTTCAGAATTACTGCATAATTGTTGAAGAAGTTTGTGTATGTTTGAAGTTGCTGGCAAAATTGAATGAACAGGTCTCCTAATTTTTGGGCTGGGTTCCATTCATTAAGTCTTTGTGTTAACTCATCTGAAAACCACCTGTGTGAAACAGACAGAAGGGTGTTTCTCTCTTCCTATCAGGTTCCAGGCAAGTTCCAACAGATAGTGATGATGACAACATGTTTTCCTGCAAGCCAAGCGACATACAGATCAAGGCTGCAAAGTTAATGTGAAGTTATGCTGTTGTCTGGTCCACCCTAGGCATCCGGCATGAGTAACTTACTATATAGGTATGTTCTGTGGTAAGCTGGCCATCCATAACATCTTCCACCCACAACCACTGAGAAGAATTTCAGCAGACAATCAGAAATATGGGGAACAAGGTGAATGAATAGGATTTACATCACCACTTTACAAGCTAAAAAGCCCTTCTAAAAGTTCGATCCTATGCATGTATACTTAAGCATTCATTCCAATGTTTTAAATTGCTTCCTGACCTCCTAAGTGGTTACAATCAGATCTTGGTGGCCTAAAGTCTCATCATACCCTGCCTGGGGTTAATGAAAATTAGAATCCAGCAAGAAAGACATGGAAAGCATAAGGGTCTTTACTCGCTTGGTTACATCAATACTGTCACATGCGGTGGCGCCATTTAGTCACTTCTGATAATATTTCTGTGTACAGTTCTGTGTTTGATTTTTGGGGAGCCTTCTGCATTAAATCAGCTGTAATAAACACACGTCCTCCTATAAACCCTCAACACATTTGATATCTTGCCTAACCAGCCATTTGTTAAGTCTTTAAATGTTCCAGGCAGACGCCTCTAGGAAATAAGTTACATCATATGTATAAACTGAGTCCTTGCCAATAGAAACTTGTCTAAGGGTGCAATTTTCCACTGGGCCACGGGAAGCACAATCAAGGAGATGCCAGTACAACGGGGACACGTGAGGTTGTTCTCACACTATCTTAGCAATGTTCTCATATACAGTGGTACCTCGGGTTAAGTACTTAATTCGTTCCAGAGTCCGTACTTAACCTGAAACTGTTCTTAACCTGAAGCACCACTTTAGCTAATGGGGCCTCCTGCTGCCGCCGCGCCACCAGAGCACGATTTCTGTTCTCATCCTGAAGCAAAGTTCTTAACCTGAAGTACTATTTCTGGGTTAGCGGAGTCTGTAACCTGAAGCGTATGTAACCTGAGGTACCACTGTAGTCTTATGCCTACAGCCATGTCCATCCTACAGATCCAAAGGTGGCTTACTGGGGTCTCTCCAGATGTGGATGGAGTACAATTACCATCAGAGGTGCCACCGTCTCTGGAAGATTGAGGGGACCAGACACAAGGTTCTGACATTACACGGGGGGGGGGGCTCTAAACATTGAGGGGGGGGACACAGTGCCTCAGCCCCCAGGAACTGGCATCCTGGATTACCACCATCCCTGACCACTGGCTATGCTGATGAAAGTAGGAATCTATCAATATCATCAGATGGTTAGGGAGTGGTGCTGATAACGCTAAGGTTGCCAGTCTGATCCCCGTATGGCAGAGGTTTTCAACCTTTTTGGGTCCACGGTTTCCTTGACATTCTTTCTGCGGCACCCCTGTACAGCTCAGGAGCCCAGTTATGTTATCCCTTGCCTGCAGAGCTGGCAGCCTCTCACCCTTTTTCAAACACCCTCCCTTGTGGAGTGTTCCCTCAGCCTCCTCTCCGCTCCCCTCTCCTTGGGAATCCTCTGGGCAGCTGCTGCTGTCCCTGGTCTCTGAGCTGCTCCCCCTGCCCCCAAAGAGAGGTGCCTTCTCACACTGCCCCACAGGGGCCTGGGAGGCACCCCCTGGCCAGCCCTAGAGGCACCATTTGCCTGGAGAGCTTGTAACCAGAGCTGCTGCAACAAACAGCTGTGCAAGCCTTTGGGAGGCAGAGACGTGAGAGGGAATCAGAGGAGGGAGGAAGGAAAGAAAGAGGGACAGAGGCCAGTGTTGCCTGAAGCACCCCTGACCATCATTCAAGGCACCCCAGGGTGCTACAGTACACTGGTTGAAAACCACTGCCATGTGGGACAACTGCATATTCCTGCATTACAGAGGGCTGGATTAGATGATCCTCAGGGTCCCTTCCAAATCTACAATTCTATAATCATCTGAAGAAGCCACAGGTTCCCCAGTCTTGGCTTTTTCTCTCTTTTTTGGTATAAAGTTTTGTATTACTATTTTATTTTATAATGTATACAACAAAACGGACATCATCATAATAACCACAGACAAAAATTCAAAGGTGAAAATATACATGTAGAATGAGTAGTTTGCACACCAGCTAAAATACTGAAGTCCAAGTAAAGACTGTCAGCTTTATCAGATCATCAAGTATAGTTCCAGATTTGCAAGGCTTATGATGACCCCAGTCTTGTTTTTAGCTAAATAACATTAGTTCCTGTACTGAATGAAGCTCACAGCCTCTTATGGCTGCTTTTCTCTTGTTGATAATAATGAAATTCTGTTAAATGTGTCTACATGTATGTCTGGTCACAGGTATATTAAATGATCCATGTCTAATAATTTCAGAAATACTGCATCCCAAATCCCAATCATGTCTACTTTGTTTAGAATTCAGGCCTTAAGTGTTGGGATTTTTTTTTAAAGAATCTAAATGTGCTTCAGAACAATCAGTGAAACTTAATGTGCTTCAGAACAATTAGTGAAACTTACCTATTCAGTTGTAGGATGTTCAAGATATCAGAGAAGATGGTCTGAACATTGGCATAGCTTAGGATGATTCGATGTGAGGCCAGCGCGGCCTTTAGTGGTTTAACATAAACATCTCGTACAATTTCCAGCATGTTCACATAGTTCCTCTCACTTAAGAGAAGTTCTCTGGCCAAGCTTTTGCGCTTCTCTGCTATCTCTTTATCAAGTTTGCTGGTCTGAAAGCCCAAGATACATTAGAAACAAATCAGTAACACTTTTTAAAGGAGTTTTGTTTTGTTTCAGTAGCTGGGATATGATCTGAGTATATTTAAAAGTTTTGATTATAATTTTCTAAGGGATCCCAGTTTGTTATTAAGGTAAGCTAAATATATAAATAAGCAAGCAAGCAAGCAGAGAAGACCATAAAGGTTTGTGTTACCTGAAAAGCTTCTTAGTCTGTAGCTCTATAGCCATTCCCCTGGAAACAAGCCCCATGAACTCGATGCAGCTTACTTCTAAGTAATGTATAAGACTGCGCTGTTACTTTGTTCTCACAGGTAATATCATTAAATATTCTTATGCTGCTACATAGATTTATTCTGAGAATATAAACTGAAGCTATTCTCAAACAGATTCAGAAATACACTTGCTTTATAGCTATAGAAATAGGCTTCATTTGTATTGCACCAGCTAAACAGCAGCCATTGCAGCTGTAAGTTTCTGTACTCAAAGGTCACTCATCACTCATCATCACTTAGCACAGAACCTAAGTGGGAACACTTTTTTTAAATATAAAATTATACACTGTCTTTCTCCCAGTCGTGAGATATGAGGAGTTAATAACATATATTAAAATAAAACATAGAAAAATGCTATGAACATCATTGCACACATGAACTCAAACTACTTTATATGCATTGCTTCACTTATCCTAGAGCAAGCTGTTCAATCCTGTCCAAGAATAGTGTTCCAAAACAAAACGAGAAAGTATTAGAAGAACTATGGAAGTTGCCCAAAGCTAACAAGCGGCTCTTTTGTACCTTAACTGACACACCAAGGCTTGCTTCTGGATTGCTTTCGGTTGTCAGAACCTGGCTTTTGAGTTCTTCCTTTTTATTATATTTCCTCATCAGGAAGCGTGATAGAAATTCAAAAGGATTTTCCTAAGAAATCATAAAAGGTTAACGTATGGCAGTATGCATGCCACCCCTTTCCCAAGCATAGACAATCAATGGTCATATCAGCTAATAAGAGATAAACTGTAGTCCGTATATCTCTTTTAAATTAAATTAGATTTGCATAGTCCCATAGCAATAAATGGAGGCTGCACAACAACAGTATTTCATGGCCTGGTCTGATAAAGCAGTCTCCTGTGCTTCAGTTAATAGTCAAGAGGCTTTTTCAGTTCAGGAAACACTCAGGAGGCGAGTGCCTCAAAATGGAAAGGAAAAACAGACACCCACACACCATCCTCAGCTATCTCTCAACAATAAGTTCAGTTCAACCCCACGCCCCACAAAAATTTAAAGAAATTCTACAGTGCCCCAAGAAAGAACCAGAAAATTGAAACTCACTTCTGCAGGGGAATAAAAGTTTTGAGAAACTGAAGGCCAGGTTTCAGCACAGCTAATAAAAGTTTCTAAAAAGAGGAGACCTCTTATCCATAAGCCTGCCAATTAGGGTCTTGGCAATGAGAATATTCTCTGCCTCCCACCAATGTTACAGTCCATTAAATTGGCTTAAATACAGCACAATAGCCTCTGGAATGGCAAGCTTCAAAAATCAAAACTGAGGGCACAACCATTATACTTAAATAGAATAAGCTTATCTTACATCATTTCCTCTTGAGAGTTCAACTAATCCTTCAACCAAAACCTCGGCTATTCTTTGCTTTTCTTGAACATCTGACCAGCTCACAGCATCAAACATAATTTGACCTGCACATAAATAGTTACACATTAGTCACTTTTAAGATGCAACAGACGTGCCATTAAAGATGGAGTCAATTTTATTTCATCTATTTATTTTGGACAGCTAAGGGGGATCCACAGCAAACTAGATTATCTGATGAGGTGTAGCATGCAATTGACAGCAAGGCCGACACAACTGCTCTGGCTAATCATCAGTTCCAAGGCATCAGCTCGCTCCTCAAATGCATTATGGCATTGGGGTTGCAGCTGATCATATGCTAGCCAGAGCTTTCCACATGGCCTAATTGCTGGTGGATCCCACCATGAAGTGATGCTAACCTTTCTTAGGTGAAATTGATTATCTTTCACTTTAGTACCCAAGGAATGAATATGACTACAGCCAGCTTTGCACTAGTCAATCAAATAGCAGGAGTAGGTCAGGACCTTCAAGAACTTACAAGACTTAAATTCCACAAACTTCAGGAACACCCAGTGTATTCAGGCAAATTATGCTGCTGTGCAGTCCTACATACAAGTAGGGGTCAATGACACAGTAAGTACACAAACTTACTTCAGCAAACAAGCCATGTGTCTTTATGCAGCAGAGGAAAAACACTGGATTGCTTTTGTCCTCAAACAGATTACACTAAACCCTGCTGCTAAGGAGGGACATCTCTCATAATTTCTCATTAATCTATTTGACCGACTTGAGCATATTTAGGAATGTAAGCAAGGTAACAAGAAACCTAAACATTTTGGCTGCCTTACTGACTCCACCTGATTATATGATACTGTATTTTGGTTAACAAAAAACCAAGAGTCAGCAGATGTGGATTAGTATCTTTGAACAAAAGGGTTTTTCCATCCTCTTGAGTGGACATTGCAGCCAAACATATAAGATGCATTTTAGGCTTAAGCATCTCACTTATAAGCAGTGCACACAGGCAAGTTTCCTCCGAACAGAGGAAAATATATCATCCAGGCTAACCATGATCTAGGCCATAGCTGTCAACCTTCCCTTTTTTTTTTGCAGGAAATTCCCTTATTCCAGCGCCGTTTCCCGCTGCTTCCCACTGCTATCCCACTGCTATTATTAGATATCCCGTCGACTGTCCCTGGGACAGGTGAGGCTGCTGATCCCTTATTTCCGAGGCTGCTGATCCCTTATTTTCAAATCTGAAAGTTGACAGCTATGATCTAGGCTAACCACAAATACAAGCTCATTGTTCATGATTGGGACTTGACCGAATGGGACCACCATGAAAATTACACAGACGCTCCTCATACTTTGCTGTGTGCACATGAATTCTGTACTTGAGAACAGAACATCAAATAAGAATTGAGCCATACATATATTATGGAATAGGAAGTGATCCTCAGCAGTCTCATAAAAATGCTGAATTTCAGGTGCATAGTATAACCCTTTGCAATAATTCTAATATTTCTAATTTAAAAGTTACTTTGAAGGCAACAGAGAGAGAATTTACCAAGAATCTTGCCAGTCATGTTCTTCTGCAAATCACAAAAATAGGGTCTCAGGTTTTTCCTGACAGCCTTCAGTGCATCTTCCAGCAATTCTGTGAATCTTAGCCACAATTGCAGTTTTGCTTCAGTGAAGTAGATGGATGGGGGAGGAGGACTATCTTTCTGGTTTCCCAACCACTCACTGAGAACTATAACGACACAGCAAGTTATTCCCCATTCTTTGGGTTACTCTGCCACAGATTTCATATTTTTTTTCTCTAGCAGGGAGTATAATGAGAACACAATTAGCCTCAGTTTTACAAGATAAAACCAGCTGTGTTAATGATACTCAACTGGACTTTTAAATCCCACAGATTTGTACAAACTAGAGCAGGGGCAGTCAGCATGGTGCCTTCCAGATGTTGTTAAGACTCCAACCCACATCAGCTCCGGTCAGCATTGCCAATGGGATGGCGGAAGCTGGAGTCCAGCAAAATCTGGAGGACACCATATTAGCTATATCTTAGAGGAACAGATTAGTCAATATGTCTGCTTTTTGTGAGCACAATGTATTTATCCAATATATTTAAGAATATAAACAGCTGCTAATTGTGTTTGAAAATCACACCAATGCTGCATATACATTAAAATGGTGGCCCAATGTCTCTTCTCTCCAGTCCCCACTAAATCAGTTGTTGAGATACTCACCACTATAAATACAGTACTTGGCCAAGTGTCTAAACAGAGTTTTATCAATAGATGGGAGAGATACACAGCCATTGCTTTTATATGCAGCATTTTTATTATAATACAATGTATGCTTTACACACAAGTTATTTCTGAAATGCCATTACTTAACAAGCAATAACAAGCAATTTAATGGCCTCCTTTAAATATGTGTGTGTGTGCCTAATATCATGTAAGGGAGAGGTGGTGGGTATTTACAACCATAGTCTAAATATATATCAATTTGCCTTCTGCCAAGTCAGAGCATAGGTGCATTTAGCCGTGCCATGCCTAATTGTGATTTACCCACAATGTGCAAACTCTCAGTGGCCTCACCCTCCTAAAACCAAGGCAACATTGCTCCTTGCAAGAATCTCTGGCGGTGGAGATTACAAATGCATTTAAAAGTTCGCCCATCCTTGCTTATGATGGGATGCCAGCATTTCTGCTACAGCCTCTGCTTGTGGCCAAGTGACCACAGGGGGGATAGGATTGGCCCTAACATATCTAAAATGTGCATTGAAATCAGATACTTTAGGCAAACTCTGCATATGTATAGTAGTTTTCACTTACTGTGTTGATATGATCCGGTTGCTATTCCTGCAGGAGTTCGGAAAAACAGTCCAGTTAGATGAGACAGCTGGGAAAGGACCTCCATTCCTGCCTCTGCAAAATTACATATTTCATATTGGTCATGTAATATTCAAACATTTTAAAATTGCTTTTTGGCTCCAACCAGCACCCCAGGGTGGTTTACAACACTAAACTTCAATATATTAACAATGAAGAGTTGGATCTAGACTTCATCTTCCGCAGATGGAAAGCCTCCTGTCCACTGAAGGCTTCTATTCTATCGCAGACATCACTCTGTCAGAAAATGGAGGCGATCTTCACAAGCGCTTCTACCCAACCCACAATACAATACAATCTCCCATCCCAGGAGATGTCAATGCAGGAGATGTCAATGATTGCTACAGAGGGCAAGGGGAAATCAGCAAAAGTCACCTCCATGGGTAAAAATCTACCCATTTATCAGTCAGTAGTCAAGAAGTTGATTGTTAAAACTTACTCCAATATCAGTCTACATTGCCTAGTTGAAGAAGTGAGGCAAGATAGATTCATTGACCATTTACAGTTTTCTTAATTAACACTGCTGCTATTACATTCAGGACATTATTTCTTCAAGTAAAATGGAGAACTGGGTTGCTGCCTCACTCCCCACTGGAGAATACACTTAAGGGACCTTGGGATGCTGTTTCAAAGTCTTGGCCAACTTAGGAGATGACACACCAGTAACACACCCAAGTATATCAGTTTGCGTCATGGTGGACAGGAGGTTCCTGCCACTCCCGTCTATGTTATTCCTTTACACAAGCTGGGAAAGTATCAGCCTGCATTTAGGCCAGCCAATGTCTAGATCCTCATTGTCAAACTTTCTGAGCTGTAACCAACAAATACTTCAGCCATTTTAACTGCCAATTAATCCTACACATAGTTCTTGCTCCTACTCCGTGTGGTGGGAACAAATAATGCTGTGGCCACTAAATGAATATAATTATATGGATGTCAGAGAATTGGGTTTTCCTATTGACTAGACTTTTCATAAGTAACATAGAAGGACCAACCATTGCCACCAACAGAACTAACCTGAAGCTGCCAGAGGGACAAAGATGTCTATATAACCACCTTCCTGATGCATCACACAGCTTCTTAACTTTGCCCAAAATTCTTTCACCTCAGGTTTAAGAAGGTTCTTGGTACTGACGCTACAGCCTTAAAGAAATTAAATAAGTCAGCAAAGCGAACTATCCGTTAGGATTTTTTTAAAACACATCTATAATGTAATGTTATATATATCATGCAAAACATATCTCACCATTTTTGTTCACTTTTATAAACCTGCGAAAACCTTTTTAAGGTTTAATCAAGTCTATGTGGTCATATAAATCAGTCATGTATATTTTTTAATTCTGTTGAATTGCATTTTATTGATATTTTACTGTTTTATGCACACCACTTGGGACTTGCTGTTTTTATTAAGCAGTTTGTTTTTTAAAATAAATAAATAGCATACCAATAGTATCAACAAATACCTCGTATCATACATAAATACATCATAGATCATGCCATAAACAGTAAATATTACTTAATAATGAGGCACCAACCTTTTTGCAAGTTGGATAAACTGTTGTGGGCACCACACACAAATGGCAATGTGCATGTATTCTATTGCTTACAACACAATGCTTCTTGCAAGCCTCGTTTCAGTGGGGGAAGGGAGCCCTGAAGATACCAACCAATGAAGACCTCTGTGGGCAGATCTGTGCTAATGGGCAGAGTGTTGACAAGACTTATATATAACCAATAAATATAAAAGCAGCAAAGTGTATAGATAACAACCGTATTCCTATAATGACATCTTATTAAATGTATACATTGGTAAAATCTTGACCTGGAGGGCATTTGCAGGGGTGAAGTGCCAGTATTAATCATGTGAACTGTTCAGACTTCTCCTTTAACAGTTGTATTTCATATAGCACTAGCCACCTTCTCTCTGAAGGAACTATATTCTGCGAAAATCATTCTGCACATTCAGAACCATGTGCAGGTCAGACTTTCTTCACTGACTACAACATGTCTCAAAGCAGGCTCCTACTGCTAAAGGCTTATTAGAGGAAAGGAAACTTGCCAATTTCATTGATTTTCTCCCTGCAATATTGCTCTGCAATACCAAATGTGATATGCTCAGTTCAAGTGTTGAACTACTTTAAGTGAATCCCACCTTGAAGCAGGTTAATCCCTCTGGAGTCTCCATCAGTAATAATCCCAATACTCTTTGCCGTTTGGCCATCCAAGGCCTTTCCTACATAATAAAGGAGGCTTTCCAAGGTTGTGCCACTATGATCATATACTATAGGAATCACTCCAGGCTTAATACTGTCCACAATCATCTAAAATAAGAATAAAGAAACATAATACAGAATAGAAAAGTAGCAGAAAAAGTGGAAAACATTGATGGAAATTGGTCTTTGAGAATTATACTAATGTTAAGGTACTGGGCTATTCTTGCATTATGCTATGTTTAAAAAACCCTGTTCCTGGTTATTTGAATATTGCGTTACTATTTTATGACTAAGCATTAGAGGAATTTAAATGATATTCAAAATATTATTCAGATTTTATGAATTGTTCAAAACTACTGTTTTACAAAGTCCTAACTTCACTTGCTGTAAATAAGACCATGAGAATACCTCATAAGCAGGAATATGGGATGATATCAAGAGAAGACGTAGCTGAGGGGAATGTGTTTCATTAGGGTCCTTTTGTAAAACAGTCCGATGAAGTCTGTGAGGTAAGACAAGATCAGAGCAGCTGCCAGCAGCGTTCTTTCTATAAGAATACAAGTGAAACTTAAGGTTCAAGTGACATAAAGAATTACTGGTTTTTAATAATAAATACACAGAATGAAAACATGAGATTACAGTACATATGCTAGACAGCCATGCAGACTGGTTGCAGAGGGAATAAGAAGGCACAAAGACCCATTGCCACCCTACATTTTAACAAGCCCTCAGTAGGACCACAACACACACACATTTTGGGGTCTGGCCTTCCTCAAATTTCTTACTTACAATTGCCTCTCAAATGTAAACACAGTCAAAAACTCATCAATACACCCCTATCCAGGCAAGACAACAATATATGCATTTAGTTCGCATTTTGGGTTGCACGAACAGCTAATTGCTGAATTAATTTGTGCCACATGATTGGGACTTTTCTATTCTTAACATGTGATACCCCCCCCCTTTTAAACATTTTTCTTTATTCAGTTTCAATATGAACATAGATACAGATTATGTGAAATTATTTTTAAAAACTGTGCCTTAAAACAGATATTCTGAAATCTCGAATCCTGCTTACCTTTTTGGAAGTGTCTCAGCTTCCAGACCAATGCATGGCACAGATTTAGCATCTGCAGAAATATGTTTGAAGAGCATTTCCTTCGGGGAAGGTGTTCCATTCTAAAATCATTGAGAGAAAATATTAAATGAGAAAGAGGTGGTGTGGTGGTGGTGGTGGTACCCAGTTTAAGCATCAGGCTTCCATCCTCCATCATGGGTGATGAACATTCTGTTTATCAGGTACCTCCCCATTCTTTCTGCCAGTTCAGATCCCATCAGTGTCTATGGGAAGCTGGGATTCTCTCTCCCACCCCAAGTGTATCACTTTACACTTAAAAACTGCAATTGGATCTTTCTGCAGTTTCTTTTTCAAGTACATGCAGCCGCAGAGGGATGCCAATTGGGTCAACAATTATTCTGCAGCAACATTGAACCTGGTTTTGGTGTTTTTATTGGAGACTCCCTTTTCCAACTCTGCAGTCAAGCTTGAAACTGACTGAGGAGATTCAGGAAAGTTAGTTTCTCTCAGTCTAACCAGCCAGGATTGCTAAGAGGTTGAAATCAAATAAGTATATATTATAATCTTCCCCTGACTGTGGTGTCTGTAGTCATATCAATTACTGAATCACAGAATTCTATGATTCTCTCATAGAATCGAATAAGAGGCCTTGTTAAAAGAAAAACAAAACCCCTGTATGCTAAACTGGGTTCCTCAAAGCTGTAATTTGAATAGGATATCAAGCAATGCTTTGTGGTCATGGTAGTCACAAAGGGGGAAATAATGTGAAATATTTGTGTTGTTGTTTAGTCGTTTAGTCGTGTCCAACTCGTCGTGACCCCATGGACCAGAGCACGCCAGGCACCTCTGTCCTCCACTACCTCCCGCAGTTTGGTCAAACTCATGCTGGTAACCTCAAAAACGCTATCCAACCATCTCGTCCTCTGTCGCCCCCTTCTCCTTGTGCCCTCCATCTTTCCCAGCATCAGCGTCTTCTCCAGGGAGTCTTCTCTTCTCATGAGGTGGCCAAAGTACTTGAGCCTCAGCTTCACGATCTGTCCTTCCAGTGAGCACTCAGGTCTGATTTCCTTAAGAATGGATGCATTTGATCTTCTTGCCGTCCATGGGACTCTCAAGAGTCTTCTCCAGCACCATAATTCAAAAGCATCAATTCTTCGGCGATCAGCCTTCTTTATGGTCCAGCTCTCACTTCCATACATCACTACTGGGAAGACCATGGCTTTAACTATACGGACCTTTGTTGGCAAGGTGACATCTCTACTTCTCAAGATGCTGTCTAGGCCTGTCATTGCCCTTCTCCCAAGAAGCAGGCGTCTTTTAATTTCGTGGCTGCTGTCACCATCTGCAGTGATCATGGCGCCCAAGAAAGTAAAATCTCTCACTGCCTCCATTTCTTCCCCTTCTATTTGCCAGGAGGTGATGGGACCAGTGGCCATGATCTTCGTTTTTTTGATGTTGAGCTTCAGACCATATTTTGCGCTCTCCTCTTTCACCCTCATTAAAAGGTTCTTTAATTCCTCCTCACTTTCTGCCATCAAGGTTGTGTCATCTGCATATCTGAGGTTGTTGATATTTCTTCCGGCAATCTTAATTCCAGCTTGGGATTCATCCAGCCCAGCCTTTCGCATGATGTATTCTGCATATAAATTAAATAAGCAGGGAGACAAAATACAGCCTTGTCGTACTCCTTTCCCAATTTTGAACCAATCAGTTGTTCCATATCCAGTTCTAACTGTAGCTTCTTGTCCCACATAGAGATTTCTCAGGAGACAGATGAGGTGATCAGGCACTCCCATTTCTTTAAGAACTTGCCATAGTTTGCTGTGGTCGACACAGTCAAAGGCTTTTGCATAGTCAATGAAGCAGAAGTAGATGTCTTTCTGGAACTCTCTAGCTTTCTCCATAATCCAGCGCATGTTTGCAATTTGGTCTCTGGTTCCTCTGCCTCTTCTAAATCCAGCTTGCACTTCTGGGAGTTCTCGATTCACATACTGCTTGAGCCTTCCTTGTAGAATTTTAAGCATAACCTTGCTAGCGTGTGAAATGAGTGCAATTGTGCGGTAGTTGGAGCATTCTTTGGCACTGCCCTTCTTTGGGATTGGGATGTAGACTGATCTTCTCCAATCTTCTGGCCACTGCTGAGTTTTCCAAATTTGCTGGCATATTGAGTGTAGCACCTTAACAGCATCATCTTTTAAAATTTTAAATAGTTCAGCTGGAATACCATCACTTCCACTGGCCTTGTTATTTGCAGTGCTTTCTAAGGCCCATTTGACTTCACTTTCCAGGATGTCTGGCTCAAGGTCAGCAACCACACTACCTAGGGTGTACGAGGCATCCATTTCTTTCTGGTATAGTTCCTCTGTGTATTCTTGCCACCTCTTCTTGATGTCTTCTGCTTCTGTTAGGTCCTTTCCACTTTTGTCTTTTATTATGGTAATCTTTGTACGAAATGTTCCTTTCATATCTCCAATTTTCTTGAACAGATCTCTGGTTCTTCCCATTCTGTTGTTTTCCTCTATTTGTTTGCATTGCTCGTTTAAGAAGGCCTTCTTGTCTCTCCTTGCTGTTCTTTGGAAATCTGCATTCAATTTCCTGTATCTTTCACAATCTCCCTCGCATTTTGCTTGCCTTCTCTCCTCTGCTATTTGTAAGGCCTCGTTGGACAGCCACTTTGCTTTCTTGCATTTCCTTTTCATTGGGATGGTTTTCGTTGCTGCCTCCTGTACAATGTTACGAGCCTCCATCCATAGTTCTTCAGGCACTCTGTCCACCAAATCTAAATCCTTAAACCTGTTCGTCACTTCCACTGTGTATTCATAAGGGATTTGACTTAGATTGTATCTTACCGGCCCAGTGGTTTTTCCTACTTTCTTCAGTTTAAGCTTGAATTTTGCTATAAGAAGCTGATGATCTGAGCCACAGTCAGCTCCAGGTCTTGTTTTTGCTGACTGTATAGAGCTTCTCCATCTTTGGCTGCAGAGAATATAATCAATCTGATTTCGATGCTGCCCATCTGGTGATGTCCATGTGTAGAGTCGTCTCTTGTGTTGTTGGAAAAGCGTGTTTGTGATGACCAGCTTGTTCTCTTGACAGAACTCTATTAGCCTTTGCCCTGCTTCGTTTTGATCTCCAAGGCCAAACTTGCCAGTTGTTCCTTTTATCTCTTGATTCCCTACTTTAGCATTCCAGTCCCCTATAATGAGAAGAACATCCTTCTTTGGTATCACTTCTATAAGGTGTTGTAAGTCTTCATAGAATTGGTCAATTTCAGATTCTTCAGCACCAGTAGTTGGTGCATAAACTTGGATTACTGTGATTTTAAAAGGTCTGCCTTGGATTCGTATCGAGATCATTCTATCATTTTTGAGATTGCATCCCAGTACATCTTTCGCCACTCTTTTGTTGACTATGAGGGCCACTCCATTTCTTTTACGGGTTTCTTGCCCACAGTAGTAGATGTGATGGTCATCCGAACTGAATTCGCCCATTCCCGTCCATTTTAGTTCACTGATGCCCAGGATGTCAATATTTATTCTTGCCATCTCATTTTTGACCACCTCCAACTTACCCAGGTTCATGGTTCTTACATTCCAGGTTCCTATGCAATATTTTTCTTTACAGCATTGGACTTTCCTTTCGCTTCCAGGCATATCCGCAACTGAGCATCCTTTCGGCTTTGGCCCAGCCGCTTCATCAGCTCTGGATCTACTTGTACTTGTCCTCCGCTCTTCCCCAGTAGCATGTTGGATGCCTTCCGACCTGAGGGGCTCATCTTCCAGCGTCATAACTTTTATATGCCTGTTGTCTTTGTCCATGGAGTTTTCTTGGCAAGGATACTGGAGTGGCTTGCCGGTTCCTCCTCCAGGTGGATCACGTTTGGTCGAAACTCTCCACTATGACCTGTTCATCTTGTGCGCCCTGCTCGGCATAGTTCATAGCTTCTCTGAGTTCTTCAAGCCCCTTCGCCACGGCAAGGCAGTGATCCATGAAGGGGGAAAATATTTACAGTCTCCAATTTATTGGGGAAGTGGTATTGGAATTTAATTGCAGAGACAACTCTTTTTTTTTTAAATCATACATTCTAGATTTGCAACCTGTAAATACATTGGTACCTCAGGTTAAGAACTTAATTCATTCTGGAGGTCCGTTCTTAACCTGAAACTGTTCTTAACCTGAAACACCACTTTAGCTAATAGGGCCTCCTGCTGCCGCCGTGCTGCCACCGCGTGATTTCTGTTCTCAACCTGAAGCAAAGTTCTTAACCCGAGGTACTATTTCTGGATTAGCGGAGTCTGTAACCTGAAGCGTCTGTAACCTGAAGTGCCTGTAACCCGAGGTACCACTGTATACATATTAGAGATACTGCCATGCTTTGAAAATTAAAAGGAAGGAAATTCTGCTTCTCAGATTCCAGGAGCTAACTTGTGAAGAAGAAAAGGTACTTTGTAGAAGCTCAGGGGGGTTTTTTTTTGGGGGGGTGTTTCTGGGCAAGATGCTATTACTGGTCTGCCCTCCTTTTGTCAACCCACCTCTTTCATGCTGCCTGGACTCTTGCTCTGGGTTAAATCAGCACAGATTCCTCCCAAAGGGGGGAAGGGCAAATCGAGCTGCTCACTCAATGAGGGCAGATAAACAGGCAGTGTCAGCAAGGAGGAAGGGCAGGAGGCCTGGGGCTTGGCTGGTGCCTCCACCACTGGCCTTCCTGAAATGCATTCTTCACCTATTCAAGCACTGAGCCTCATTCATGAGAACTGACAGAGACAAGACTCAAGTCATGTGTCCCTGAAACAGAAACAACAATAGCAACACATGATGGAACAATAAATACCTTCATCAGAAACAATGCTGCTGCTGATCTAACTCGGTCATGGACAGTCTGGGGCAACTTTGGTTGAAATCCAGATCTGTAAAATCCCGAGTTCCAAGGTGGACGAGCTTTGATTAATTCCTCTGAAAAGGACCATTGGGCAATGCTGTTTAATCCCAGATGTTTCAAAAGGCACAGAATATTCTGAAAGCTCCCTGTGTACATTTCCCCAATTACTGGATGATTTCAATTGGTTCAAAAAGTTTTTATGTAGCTGGGTATAGATTGTAGCTAAGCTAACCTGAGTTGCTGCACACATTACAGACCTGAATAGAAGGTATGTACATGCTTGAATCCATGCGCCAACCTCATGTCACAAGCACATGCTTGTGTTTTTTCACTTCATATACCTGTAGCATATATGTATGTCAGAAAATCACATCTAACAAAACGAAAATCCCACATGTTCTCATATTTAATTTTCATATGAAAAGTATAACAAATAAAGCATACTATTTATTAAATTATTCCTTCAAATTTTTTTTTGCTGTAATTGTTCTGACCATTTGCTCCACTGTTTAATCACTGCTTAGAAGGAACACCATTGTGGTTCAGGTACACCATTAAAAAACTAAGGGTTGTAGCCAACAGTTGCATGAGTGGAAGGCAGCTTTTGGAAGTCCTCTTGTCCTTCCTGTCTTTCCTGCTGTAGCCCTTCCCAGGGGGTCAAGAGGACCTGCTAAACATTGTAGGTCTGCAGAACAATTGTCCAAAACTGGATGGAGAAATATCACAGCAGAAGCTTTTCAGAGGAATGGGGATTGCCACTCATGCAACCATTGGATGTTACTCTAAAGGACAATCTGACACCATCTACCCTGCAAGTCCCATTGAAGATAATGAGACCTGGTTGAGAATGCACCCACGCTCTTGTGCACAAGCCTTATTCATCACTGTGGTGCTCTAACTTTCTTAGCACTTTGCTGCATGCGTCAAGAAACAAGATCCATCACACAACCAAACATTCACTGCTTTCTTGTGTAATATATTATTTTGCTGGTTTGCTTTGTTTTTTAAAAACCTATTAGTCCTTGGAGGATAGTTTATGATGCAATCTTATTCATGTCTACTGAGAAGTAAGTCCCATTAACTGAATCAAGTCACAATTTCATCCAACTTACTTTTGCATACAGTCAATCTCTCTCTCATAATTTTCCGCAGACATCTTTCACGTAGTTTTTCTTTTTGGTCTTCATTTTCTGGTTTAGGTTCACTCAGTGTTCCATAAGACCCAGCAACTTCCCTCGGAGTTAAGTAATCCAGGTCAGCTGCACAAGCAATATAATGTTGTTTCCAAGCACTATACTCATTTTTTTCAGGAAAGTATGGTAGAAACCATCCAAACATAATGCATTTCGGCATCCACAGACAATCCTTTTGAGTAGGGAAGTAAAAAACAGAGGCTTGTTTTCCAAAGGAAAATGTTGTCTAAACATCCAAGAATCTTAAAGTGTGGCTTATTTAAAAGTGCGTTAAATCCACTTTTCAGGGCGCACAGCCCCCACAAGGTGATTTTCAATATTAAAATACTCTCACATACAAAAAAAGAGAAGCAGCTGAAGATTTTTTTTCCCAAGTAAGCACAATTCAGCCAAATGCTACCTTGACTAAGCACATCTTCAGAGTTTATTCTTAAGTCCAGGATCATACAGAGAAGTCCTATCTCTCCAGGGACTACACCACGTAGGGAGCCTACATGAGAAGAAGCAGGCTCCCCAAGTGGGGCAATTTCCCAACTTGCAGAGGGCAACAATGATAGGGGTCAGAGATCTAGCATGCTCATCCCCACAGCCCTCCCTCACTTGTGCAATATGCCAGGTGTCCTAAATGCCCGAAGAGGACTACAGTGTTCTTGCACCAAATGCAAAATGTAGTTTTGGCTCTGGTGAAGATCATATATACCAAGGATGAGGGCCACATTCCCTTCTGTGCAACTGTTTGGAGGCCACATGGAAGAGGGCAGGGCAATGGATGTAAATGTTATCTTTGTACAGTAGGCTAGTTTCTCCAAACACTTCTCTATCCTTGAAGCAAGAAAAAGGCATTCACGTAGGTTAAGGACACATCGTAGCCAGGCAAAAAACAGGCAAAGAGGATGCAAAAGGGATGGCCAGGGAAGAGAGAGTGGCCAGGCAGAGTGCATGTATGGCGAGAGTCCCAGGCTTGGAGAGTCACATTTGGCCACCAGGCCTGAGGTTCCCCCCAGTTGAGATACAGACCCAAAGTTTACCTGTTCACTTAAAAACTTCCAATGCCAGCTGACTTGGGCCGCTGCACAAAGGTCCTTAGCGTTGAGAAAGGAGAATATGTACAAAGATATGAAACGTGGCAATACAGTGGTGAAATCCACTTTGGTCACTGGGATATTCTCTACAAACCATCTTTCAGCAAACCTGTGAAACAGGACAAGCCTAAGTGGGTGGTTATTAATACCCTCTGCTGAGGTTCTAATTACCACCTTTCAGGAACTATGGAAAGATTCAGAAGAATTATTGCCAGGCGACTCAGAAGAATATAAATGTGATATTGGCCATGTTTGTGTGGCATAGTAAGCCAAATTAAGCCAGACAACATCATAAGGCAAAGCAAATTTGTGCACCAAGGTGGAAAAGGATCGAAGTAGGAACAAAGCAGCTACAAGCTCCTCTTCAGGAAACTACATTTTACAGTGGTCCCAGTAAGTCATAGTTTGGCTTACTGTGTGTGTCATGCACACTTGGATTTGGACTGGATTCTGATGTTGGGTGAAACTGGTTTTCAGTAACTCTGGTTAAGAAGACATAGCAGTGTCTGAACTTCCAGACATAACAGGCAAAGCATAGTTTTGATTTCTCTTGTCTGCTCAGCACTTAGTTTCATAAGTTGCTTTCCATCTCTACAATGCTGCAGCCTCTTGAGGCAGAGCAATCACCTTAACTGTGGTTTGTCAATGGTCTCTGAATTGACACAACACCAATCCACAGTTAGCACAAGCTGTAATTTACAAACTAACTTCAACACAGTGGTTTCAGGTTCTGGTTTGTTGTCTACAAATAAACCATGGATTGCGGGCAAGTTTGGGTTCAGACATAAAAGCAAACTACAGTTTGAAGTTATGTCTCAACCCAGTCATTGCGGGTCACTGCAAAAACTTTCTAGGTATTTATGACACATACACCCCACTGTTCCCTTGAGAAGCTCAAAGCAGCTTCACTACATGCTTGTGGCTTTCTAAATTTAAGGCTGCTTCACAAGTTACAAATTCACAGAAGACCATTTCTGGAAGAATGAGCACTACTGTATCAAGCTTCATGGCCAAAGCCAAATGCAAGCTTTGGACTCCTGTTTATTCTAATCTTATAGAGAGGAGGGATTTCTAGCCTGCCAAATGATGCTGAACTACAAACTTGCATCATCCCTTATTATTGGTGTTGCTTGGCTGAGGCTGATAGGAGTTGGAGTAAAGTTTCCCCAGCCCAGTCTTAGCAGCAGTTTTTCTGTCATGCAAAAAGAAAAGAAAAAGGTCCCATGTACTGGCCATCGTTATATCTCAATTCTCATATTTTACTGGCCATGTGAGAGAGACAGATTTCTCAAAGCATTAACAGAAATAAATAGGCATTTTGCATTGTTTAAGAAGGCTGCTGTGCTTTATTGCAAAATTGTTATAAACACAAAGGTTGTTCTCTGTCAAAATGCCTTTCACCAGGCAGTTCTGCTGTTGTAATACATAGGCCTTAATTTTAAGTACCCATCTTGCAAGAACACAATGTGGTCTCAGCTCCTGCATTTGGATGCGTACGGGTAAGTGTTTCGCTTTCTGTGAACACCGGACAATGATGGCATTGGAGTCAGCCTGGCTTGAGTTAAAGATCCATTTTGCCGGAGGTGTTCTGTGGAGCCTATTTTTTCTTTTCACAAAACGCAGCCTGGGAAACAACTTGTGGCTCACTTACTTCAGTTGTGACTTATTGCACTTGATCAATATGCCATGGAGAAACTGCTTGCGCTGCTTGTCCGTCCACAGGTCAAACCAGTGACTTATCAGTCTGACTCTTTCCTGAAAGAGCTGGGGGGGAAATCACAGGATTCTCTCAAAGGGCAGCTCCCATCATCACACAGTGTTTTCCTTGGCACTCATCTTTCACACCCTGACTTAAAGTCATCTTTTGTAAACTTCCCTTTCACTGGGGATTTCTAGGAAGTGCAACTCTGTGGCAAGAAAGCACCATTATGAAATCACGTCAGTGTTACTGTCCCATTGCTTTGAACTCAAGGAGCATTCAGTCTCTTTTCTGAGGGAAGAAGAATGAGCCCGATCTAATTTGGACATTAAACATCTTTCCTTTGAGAGTGTGCCTGCAACTGCCACATAGACACAAAGAAAGAGAAAATCAAATAGGCCTTTGTGTGGAGGTGATTGGGGGACTGGTGCAATTCCCAAAACAGGGCTCTCTTTCCCTCCAAAATGGAATGTATGAAATAAGGTACCAGAAAATACATATTGAAGCATCTTAAAGACTGGCAGATTTATTACTACATAATCTGTCATGGACTACTACTACTAATTTATTATTTATACCCCACTCATCTGACTGGGTTTCCTCAGCCACTCTGGGCAGCTTCCAACAAAAACACAGCAAAACATAAAACATTTAAAACTTCCCAATTCAGGGTTGCCTTCAGATGTCTTTTAAAAGTTTTATCTCCTTGATATCTGAGGGGAGAGTGCCACTACCAAAAAGGCCCTCTGGCTGGTTCCCTGTAACCTCGCAGTGAGGGAACCAGAAGAAGACCCTCGGAGCTGGACCTCAGTGTCTGGGCTGAACAATGGGGGGTGGAGATGCTCCTTCAGGTATACTGGGCCGAGGCAGTTAAGGGCTTTAAAGGTCAGCACCAACACTCTGAATTGTGCTTGGAAATGTATTGGGAGCCAGTGTAGTTCTTTTAGGTCTCTTGGGCATGTGCTGCTTCAAAACGTTTAGCCTACCACAACAAAAAACGTTTTGGGAACTCTCAGCATTTTCAGTTACATATTTTAAAATCACTTCCCATTGTTTTTGCTCACTTCCTAAACTAGGTCCATCACCAACTGTCAGCCGAACCTACATCGCATGATTATTGTTGGCAACTGGCTAAAATGCTTTAAAATGTTTTAAATGGTTCTAATTTTGGTTCCTCTGTTTCATTTTTGTTGGGTTGGTGTTAGTTAAATGTTTAGTTGGGGTTGGCGGTTACTTTACTTTGGGTATACAGTGGTACATCGGGTTAAGAACTTAATTCGTTCTGGAGGTCCGTTCTTAACCTGAAACTGTTCTTAACTTGAGGTACCACTTTAGCTAATGGGGCCTCCTTCTGTCACCGCGCCATTTCTGTTCTCATCCTGAAGCAAATTTCTTAACCCGAGGTACTATTTCTGGGTTAGCGGAGTCTGGAACCTGAAGCATCTGTAACTTGAAGCATCTGTAACCTAAAGTGTCTGTAACCCGAGGTACTACTGTAACTGTAAAATGTTTATTATTGTTATTGTTATTGGTTTTGATTTATTGGTTTGTTTGTTGCTTGTATAGGATATCTTGTTTTTTAATGTTTGATGTTTTGTTGTGCTTTATATGTTGTAAGCCGCCCAGAGTGGCTGGGGAAACCCAGCTGGATGGATGGAATATAAGTTTTAAAAATATAAATAAAAAATTATTGTTGTTGTTGCAAAGAGACAGAAGGAGGCATAAAATGGCTGCAAAACGGGACTTAGTATTTCTATCCCCTTTAAAGGGGTTAAAGAACATGTAAAAACCTGTAGTTGGCAGGACTTTGTTTCTCTGTGGGTGTGGAGGTTACTATTTTGACCCATTCTGAGACACAAAGAGTGAAACATTGGGTGGAGACAAAAGAGCCAAGGACTTGCTCCCAAGGGAGGTTTCTGGCAAATCCTCCTTCTATATGTTTGCATTGTACAGGCAGAAGTGTGGGGGGGGGGCGGCTATTTGGTGCAGCCCATTCACCTATGAATACATCACTGATGGAAGTTCCAATAGAAATGTCTGAGCAGATGAGGCTGCCGTAGAGACTTAACTTGCACCCATTGGGACCTTTTCTCACTGTAGGTGGATGTCTGTGGGAAAGGCCTTTATTTCTTTTATCTGTTCTCAGTAACAATTATAGCAAGTTGATTATACGTTACGATGTAGATACCACTTTTCAAAGATGCCTCAGATAGTCCTGACCTGCAGCGGGCATCATTGTTGACATTTCATAACTTAGCAAGTGCTGTGATATTGCACTTAGTGAGTGAGGATAGGTTTAGGCAAGGCCAAGGATTAGCGGTCAGAACTCCTGTCACTCCAGAATTTGAAGGCATCAGCTGGCAGGCACACCTCTGCAGCAATGACATCAATATATATCTGAAAACATGTAAGTCCTTCCTACTCAAATTATGAAAGTATGAATCAATATGCAAGGGTGTGTGTGTGTGTGTAAGCTTTAGGAGTACAATGAAGGCCGAAAGCACAACGATTAAATGAATTATGTGTGACTGCAGCTCACCTGATTGTTAAGAGATTTGTTTTCAATAGGTGTCCAAGTACTGAACCGTGTCTTCAAAATTTCTGTAGTCTGATTTTGATCCAGGCTCTTTGTGCCTCCTGCAAGCAACCCTAAGCTTTCCAAATGCCATTCTTTAACACTGTGTGATGCATGTATTGTGTCAGCTGTGGTCATTGTAGATCTTCCGTGGCTAATAGCGCTGCAGCTACACACTTCATACAGCCATGCTTAAAGGCCTAGAAACAGAAGAGAGACTCTTCTTCCTGGAAAATAAACTCTGGGTTTAGAATTTCATTGAATATGTATCTGAGTCACATCAGCCTTGGGGGCCACAACTCTTTATTGTTTTTTTCCTGAAAGAGACCAAGACTACTGCAATCCTAACCTCACTTGCCTGGGACTAAATCCCACTGAATTCAACAAAACTTACTTCTCAGTAGACATGGTTGGGATGGTGCTGTAACATGGCTACCCCTCTGGAAATCATTAAAACATGTTGCTCATTAAAAGGAGGTACCAGGCATTGATTAAAATGGGGCAAAAATATAACAAGATGGTGGTTTAAAACCCTCTTTTTTAAAGCTTGAAATTGTTTTCCGTTTGTTTCCATAGCAAACATGTATTTTACTTCTATGAAGAATTTAATATTCCATACAGTTCCTTATACTGTGTCAGTCTCTGTTTCCCGCTATCCTCTGTTTTGTTGTCTTAGTCGAGAATCTGGTTTGCATGCAAAATGTCCCAGGTTCAATCCCTGGCATCTGGGTAGGGTTGGGAAAGATTCCCGCCTCAAATAGTAGAGAACCACTGCCAATCAGTGTAGACAATACTAAACTAGATGGACCAATGGTCTGACTCAGTGTAAGAACGCTTCACTTGTTTCTAGAACATGGCAGAGATGTGCTAGATTTTTAACCTGCCAAAATTCATGCTTCAGCACCCACAATCAATCTCTCGGCTCCGTCATTATTCCCATTGAGCTGCTCACATTTTCCTCCTTAGCCATGTTACAAATTAATCCTTTGTGCACCACTCTATTAGTGGCACATACTTTATTTTTTTCCTTTTTACTTCTGGAGCCTGCCATGTTTCATAGGTTTACTGCAGGATGAGAATATCAACTCCTGCAGTTTTTAAAACACAACCAAACAGAACAAAATCTTGTCTATTTTACCACCTCCACCCTATAAAGAAAAACAGGGAACAAGAACAGTATTTACCTCAGTAGAATATCGTTTCTGGCCCGTGAAGAAGCCACTAGAGACCTGCCGTATGAAATGCAAAACTGCTGCAGGATTGGCTGAAGGTCAGTACTTCCTTACATCTCCATAGGAACCAAAGTACACAACACAAGGAACTTTGGGCTTACAGCCAAGAGAACTGAAACAGGACCAAAGGAGAAAGTTTCTTTTATCGTTCTGGGCTAATTCTGACTCGACTTACACTGGCATAGTCAGTTGAGCTGTCAGCTTACATTTCTTAGGATGTCACCTTTACGTCTGGAAGGACTCCAATGCATTTCACAGAAATCAGCCAGCAGAAATCAGCAACTACACACACAATAATCATAGACTATCTAGCAGGGGTGTTAGAAGAATGACTAATTGATGTGAAGATCTTTTGACTACAATGCATCTACATTTAAGTCACCTTTTCCTTGCTTCTGAAGAAAAAATAGATGTATATAAAAAGAAACTCCTTTTTATCTGGTGCATCATTTCCATAGCTTAACTGAAATTTGTTGGCCTGTCAGAACCTTTGGTACACTACATTAAAAAAACCAACACCACAGAGTTTTATTCAAAAGTGATTGTATAGGTTTTCTTCTGTTTTTGTATTTTGATATTCTGCAGTTTTGATGAAGGTTAAGAGTTGAAAAAGAATGAATGTCTCAAAACAAGTTTCAGATCTTCATGGCAGAACTTTATTTACATCTTGCTCCTGGTGTTGCTGAGTGCTTCTTACTGGAATTATTAGTTCCTCATGTTAGCTGTTGTTCTTGGACTAACTTAATCAATTTTGTGGCTGTGTTTTCATATTTTATTGCTTGAGTTCTTCTTTGAAAAAGGTGTGAAAAAAGCTTTTTAAAACAAAGAACCCAAATGATCTTCAGATTCAGGGAGTAAAAACCAACCATGGGCTAAACAAACTCCTTTAGCAACAGATTTGGAAAATAAAACAAGAATTTAAAAGCAAACTGTATATCATGGACTGGCTGGGCGCAGTGATAAGAGGCACCTGCTGGGGAACCCCCAAGGGAACCCCCAGGAGGAGAAGGCTCAGAGCCAGGGGATTGGCAGTGGGAGAACAATGAGTTGTCAGAGGAGGGGGGACTCAGGAGAGGGGGTGTTCGAAGCTGGAGTGGCAACAGGGTTTAGTAAGCAAGAAGAATCTGTGGCAGAGTACAGTTCAGACTTTGAGGCTGAAGCAGAAGCTGGAGAGGAAGGGAGTCAAGAGGCTGCTGAAGAATCCAGGGAGTCTCCCCATCCTGCTGTGACCAGCTCCCCTTCCCTGTGTCTCCAAGAAGGCACAGAGAAATGAAAAGTACAGAACAGAGTTTAGTCATGTGCAGACGTGGTTTGAAACTGTGCAGGAAAAACCCAGAAGAGAAGCCTTAGAGAAGGGTGGGAAGGAAGAGACCTTTAGTCCTTGCAACTGTGTCATCGGGGCAAGACCTCCTAGGAAGAGACTGCTAGGCCTGAACTTGAATAAAGTTTTAACTTCACTGGCCTTGGGTGATTTATTGTTTTTTGTTGATCTACGCCTGACTCAAGCCCTGATACTGCAGTATAATACCTCCCCTTGCCCCCCACCAAAATAAGCCACACTTAAAGAACCTCTCTGTGGTAGACATATAAATTGTTACTGTAGAGAAAAACACTAGCAATCTTTAGAATCATTTTATTGCCGAAATAAATTAAACACTCATTTAACAGCATCACCCGCAAAAAGAAACACAGGAACGTCTCGGCTGATTGTCTGCACCGTGGGAAAGCAACAGGAACACCATGCTCCATTATTAATTTAATCAAAGTTGAACATATTATATTAAAAATCATACTTATATAGAACTCAAAATCATCCGAACACTCAGCATAAAAATGCATTTTCAAGTTTTTCAAACACTTCACGGTCGATAAGGCAGTAATACAAAGCATAGCAGCAAGACATGGTCATCCTGTGCCCTAGATTCCAACCCTGACAGATATGCAGAACTCGCATCTGCTAAGAGGAATGTGTGAATATGTTCACTTGCATATAAATACTTTGCTGCAGAAGCAAGAAAGAGAGTCCACTGGAAATGAAATAAGACACCCTGGGTTTCCGACACACAAAGACAAGGTGCATTTTAGCTTGTGCTGGTATTCGGAACATCTTGAACATCTGCTAAATGAAGTTTTTGTCTGAAACAAGCAAGTTAAGGAACTGCATCTTACAGGATTGAACTATAAAAACATCAATTTTTCCTAGTATTATGTGTACTTTGAAAACAGCAATGTTTAAGGTAATAGCAAGAAAAGCAGAGTATTATTAAGAAGCCACAGGAACATAGGAGAATATGTTTCATGGGTTTGTTAATCTAACACAACCTAAAATAAAAGCCTTAAAATAAAAAATTGCTTGTGGAGTCAAATTGATGTCAAATTGTTTAACCTGGATTCATCATTACAATTTGCTTACGAACTAAGGTGTACAATTTGGACAATTAACACTTGCTTCATCAGCATAGGCCATTTCACAAAAAGGATACATAGAGGAATTCAGTTCTTCCAGCTACAATGCAAAAAAACAGAGAATCAGCATGATAGTGATAAATTAGCCAAGCAATCAAGTTTCAGTTAATTAGATCCAGTGTGTCTCTTCTGCAAGTGGGAGGGCTCCTTCCATTCACAGAAAGGACTGAGATCCAATGGAGCCTTTCACTAGAGGAAGGCTGATTATACCAATGATATGAAAGGAGGTGCCCGGGACCCAAGGGCTTTATAGATGCCAATCAGCACTTTGCCCAAAAGCATTTTGGTAACCAGGACAGATGCTTGTTCTGGTTCACTGCAAAACTAAATTCAGGTTTACCCTAATTATTGTACCATTTTCAGAATTCTTCTGGTTGCCCAAGTTTAGGCTTAGACAGCAGTGGAATTAGCCAGCTTCAGAGTTCTATTCAGTCAAGCATGGAAGTACAGTGCTTAAGAAAACTAATCTTAGCATCTATAGATGTGGTTCTTATTGTTACAAGAACTTCCATTTAGCTCTTCCCAATTTCTGAATACAGATGTGACTGTGTAGACCAACTCCTCGTTGTTTATACTTACATCTGACAGCAGTCTATCAAGATTGGAGTCACTAGCTACTTTTCTCTTATCTTCAGGAAGTTCTTCCAACTCCCCATAAAGCTCTAGATTCAAGCGGGCCAGCTTCTCCTGCATTCCTCTTACATGTTCCATTTGCTCTATGGAACATTCATTTCCTGAAACAATCAGAATGCAGAAATATCAAAACAAAGTTCTGACAAAGGTAAAGGAATAGATCATCTCTTCTACTTATTCCAATACAGTTGTACCTTGTTTGCCGAATGCCTTGGAACTCGTACGTTTCAGTCCCGAACTATCAAAAAGCAGAAGTGAGTGTTCCGGTTTTTGAACAATTTTTGGAAGCTAAACGTCATGCAGCCAATCAGAAGCCATGCTTTGGTTTCCGAACGTTTTGGAAGTCAAATGGACTTCCGGAACGGATTCCGAACGTTTTGGAAGTCAAATGAACTTCCGGAACGGATTCCGTTCGACTTCCAAGGTTCGACTGTATAAAAGAATTAGAAGATTTACACTGGCAAAAGTATGCAGCATAAGACAATACATTATAGCTCTACAGTACAGTATGCACACCTCTGGTTGTGTGTCTTTCAGGATGCGAACGCGGCAAACCTGTAAGTATTTTCCTGGTTTCACCGCGCACACATGCGCAGAAGCGCTAAACTGCGCCGCGTGCATGTGCGGAAGTGGCACCTTTGGTTGTAAATTCCTCGGGATGCGGCCGGACTTCAAGAACAGATCCCGTTCGCAACCGGAGGTACCACTGTACTTCGAAGTCTGGCAATAGTACCATGATCTGCCCCCTCTGCTACAGATAGCCAGATTTAGAGAGAGAGATGGTTTAGTGAAACACCACATAAGTTTTAAGACACTTAAGACTTTCAGCCATTTCCTACACTTTCACATGTGAAAGAAGTGGAGAAGTAGCAGCCAAGTTACCAAATGCTTGAAGTTTGCCAGAGTGGAAGTCATTCAGAAGACTCAGAAGTCCTTTCTCCATCTCCTGAACATCTGATACATCAGTGAGAAATGAGTGCTGGATTGGAGCAGACTGTGCTCCTTTGCTTTCTGCTCCTGGTGCTTTGGCTTTCTCTTTCATGCCCCTGACAAAAAGAAGTTATTTAAATTATTACCATCTTCTTGGTGCTCTCAGTCTTTTTGCTATCTTGAATGTACAATGTGACAAAAGCCTTAAAGCAAATATCATCCTGGGACAAAAGCACAAATATATTACAAATGATCCATTATGCTATATCCAGAACTAGTGTTCTAGTTTGCAATTCACAGTATCAACTTATGAAGGTAGTGATACGGTTACCTGATTGTACAAACAGCTTCTCTAGATTTTACATTTCATTAAGAAAGAAAAAGAGCTCTATCTGATATCATGCAAAGATTTCATGGAAAATTCCTAGCTAAGAAAGGCAGCATGCTAATTTCTGAATTAGAGATAACTGCTTGAATGACAAGGATTTGTCTCCTTTAAAATGTTTGACAAATTCTAAATGGAAACTTTTTAAGGGTATCATTGTTTTACTGAAGACTATCCAAACTATGTGTTAGATTTTTTTCTAAAAAGCATTCAACAACCCACTATTTCAAAAACCCTGTATTATAAAATTAAAAGTACAGACCTAACAACAGACCTCAGAATTCTGAAAATGTGTAATATCTGCAGTTTAAACAAATTTTAAACAAGATCACATGAAATTAATCAACAATGCAGACTTTATGTCATCAGAAACAAAGTATTTGCTTGAGGAAAAAGTACTGCATTTAATTATTACTCAATCTTTTGTATTTCTGGGTTGTTTTGTTACTGTTTTAGTGAATTTATATTATATGCTTGTATGTAGTCTTGGGTGCCTTGCTGCAGAAAGATAACTGGTAAAACAGTAAAATTCTCTGAAGTACATTTAGTTTGATTACTTTTCCCTTTTTGTGATTTCATTAGAACTGTAGTACAAAAAAGCAATCACTGAAAATCCAAGTCTACACATGTGGCTCGCCGTGCCATAGGGACAAATAAAGAGCCATTGTATCTAATGACGTTTAGTGTAAGTTGGTGTAAGACTGCAGCCTAAATCACTTCTTTTATTTTTTTTCTCTGCCTGAAAAGTATAAAGTCTCAATTTGGCCAGCAGCTTGACAACAACAGGCAACATATGAGCATTTACCTTTTAAACTTTGGTTTCTGTGAAGGTGGCTGTGGTGCAGGGTTTGAAAACACTGTACTTTTGCTAGGAGGCACAGAATTTTTCTTATTGTTGACCACTTGAGTGACATGAGAAGTGGATGATTTGGGACTCCTTCTCTTAGTTTTTCTTTCTTCCATTTTCACAGATTGTTGGTACTATATGGTTAATGCTTCTCTGAGGAGGAAAGATTAAATAATATATAGTGTTATCTGTGCCAATGAAGAGCATGGTTAATATTAACAGATCAATTTTAGAGTATTTTTACTTATACTTTAAGTTCTGTGAGGTACTTCAAGAGTGCAGTCAGGAAGAAAGATATAAACATTTCTTACGTGCATTTAATAAAAAGTAATCCCCATTGTTCAAGGTTCTGCTTCCAAATATGCATAGAATTGGAATGTTATGCTTGCAAGCTGGCTTTAGCTTTTGTGTGGCCAATGCCATTTAATAATATCTGTGCTTGAAATATTTTTTAATAGGTAGCCTATCGATCACTATTTTATAGTTAGATAATTATACAGGGAAATATATGTTGCCCAAATATGACCATATTTTAAGTGTCTATCCAATCATAGCACAAAAAAATAAAAGAAAAATATAACTAATAATTAGCTGTGCACAGGTTCCTACAACTGTATCCACCACAGCAATATACTTTTATTATATATTGCAGTTACAATATTTACCTGGAATAAAGTTCCACTGAACTCGGTGGGATTAACTGCTGAGTAAATATACATTAGAATTAGGCTGCACATTTCTAAGCTAATACTGTACTAACAGATTCAGAAAAGGTTGCATGACCACCTATTAACATTCCAATTATGGCTAACTGCAGGCCACCTTATCTATCTGACAAAGGAGGTTTAGGCCATAATAAAATTATATTATTCAAGGTGCCACTAGACTCTTCTTGCTTTTGTTAGGACAAACCAACATAGTGACTCTTTTGGAATTTGTCACTTGATGACGTGATGCAAATCTTGTCAGTCGAATTACATCTGATTAATATTGCTAGAAGAATATTTTAAAGCCTTACTAACGTTCATAGACAGCCTAATGCCAAATAACAAATCTTAACAGTGTGCCATTAGATTAAGTATTGCTCTGTTCTGCCTTTGTGAGACCACATCTGGAGTACTGTGTCCAATTCTGGCCACCACAGTTTAAGGATACTGACAAGCTGGAACGTGTGCAGAGGAGGGTGACACCAAGATGATCAAAGGTTTGAAAACCAAACCTTATGAGGAACGGTTGAGGGAGCTGGGTATGTTTAGCCTGGAAAAGACAAAACTGAGGAGATAAGATAGCCATCTTCAAATATCTAAAGGGATGTCACATGGAAGATGGAGCAAGCTTGTTTTCTCCTGCTCTGTAGGACCTGAACCAAAGACTTCAAGTTACAAGAAAGGAGATTCTGACTAAACATCAGGGAGAACTTTTTGGTGGTAAGGCCTGTTCAACGGTGGAACAAACTCCCTTGTAAAGTGGTGGACTCTCCTTCCTTGGAGGTTTTTAATCAGGCTGGATGGTCATATGCCATGGGTGCTTTAGCTGAGATTCCTGCACTGAAGGGGTTGGAATAGATGACCCCCAGGATCCCTTCCAAGTCTACAATTCTATGACTGTCTGATGAAGATGGATGGTCCAATTTGCTGCAGGGCAAGCAGTAGCGTCAGGTAAATCACTTTTAATAATAATTTTTAAAAGGCAGTTAAAAAATACCAACTCCCTCCTGGCATGTTAGTCGTTTAAAAGCTGAGGGGAGGGGAATGAAGACTTTAAAACAAAGTTGCTGTTCTACGAGGGCGGGGCAAAAACACAGGAAACAAAAAAATCTCATCTAACTTAAAGTCAGTACTTATTCCCAAAATTGCATATTTTAAAAATATGTTTAAGAAACAGATCAAAGAACACTGGTAGAGCCTTTTATCACATCTAAAATATCGGAGCGATAGAAATAATTTCCGGCTGTTAGAAGGCCAATTTTGCCACCTTTTCCAAGTAAAGGTCTTTTCTGACTGACGGAAGAGAACGGAAACCAAAATTCTTTTCCCCCCCCCTCGCTAGATCCACCTTACCTGGGAGTTCACATTTGTCCGAATTGAAGCATTTCAGCCTGATATTTACGGAAGCAACATCCGTGATGGTCATGTGACCTGAAAGAGCCTCACGGGGGCGTTCCCGTGCCGCGTGATAGTTCCTTCGCATTTTGGGAGTTGTAGTACGATTTCATCCCAGACGGCATGTTTCCGTCGAGAGAAAAAATACATTTCCCACAATCCATTTCGAGAAGAGGGGGAAATAGGCGGGGCGCGGAAGGTGTTTTACAGGAAGGCCGGGGAGCGCACGAAGAAAAAGGAGCGAGCGGAATGAATCTCCTTTTCATATAACGCCGTTCGATGCGGGTAGGGGGCGCGGCCTTCAACGCCAAGAGACTACAACTCCCGTGATCCCCCGCGGCAGAGAGAGAGAGAGAGAGAGAGAGAGAGAGAGACCCTATTAGGAAAAGCAGCATGATCCTGGAAGGGAGAGGGAGGGAAGTGGGCACGAGCCCTTCCTCTGAGAGTAGCATTGCTTGGCTTTGCTAATTGCGGTTGTCCATAATTGGCAAGGGTGGAGCGCGTAGGTAGGCTCGCAATAAGGGCGGGCCCTTGATTAGAGAAAGGGGAGCGCCCTCTCAGGCGGAAAACGAAATGAAAGGAAATGCAGAGATTTCAGTTTTTGTTCTTGTTCAGGGGCTGCGTCGGCTCACCTGCTCTGCTCCTCAAGTACGGAGCATGTAAAAAAGCTCCAGAGCGCTGCTGCTCTTTCTCCCCAATACAGTGATGCACCCTTGACCTCTTTTTCTCTCTCCTCTCTCTCTTTCTTCTGTTGTGCGAATTCATAGCACTCCTCCTTTCTTGCTTGCTTCCAGCGCTGCAATGAATATCCCGATCGTATGCACGTTCACTCGGATGCAAACCCTTCTGGATTCAATGTCAAGCAAGTGTTTAAAGCCAGCTCTCCTACGCTCCCTTACACTAACAGGAAGCACTGGTGTTCAGTTACCGAGTTGCTGCAGGAAAACCCTGACGATGTCCATCTGTTCCAAGATTCAGCTGAAGCCTCTAATTTTTAGAATGAAAGGTGAATGTGAGCGAAGGGAAATGAAACCTTTTCTCTCCTCCTCCCCGTCTTCGCCACACGCTCCATTCCTGCGTACACTTTTCGTCTCAGGCTGACCCTCTTTGGTAGCAGAGCCAGCATGGGGAGAAAAGTGCCTGTAGGGATGGAGCGCAGGGAGAAGATGGGGCAGAGTTCACTTTCCCTCCTCCACAGGTACCTTTTCTTACAAAAAAATAGACTTCTCCTCGTGTTTTATGTGCATGGGGCAGATAGATAAACAAATGTGGCTTTCAGTTTGGCTCATCTGTGCTCTTAAGCAGGGCACTGTAGATTCCAAGTTAGTTGCTGCTCAGAATTTGAAACAACAATGCCAAATTCATGTTTATCCTGCTAGAGTGGGAAAGGAGTAGTACTGTCCAGTATGTAATTTTGGGTGTAATTGTGGCTCTCTATGGAAATGATTACTTAGGATTGTCAACACAGTTCTGGAAATTGAACTTGTGGCTCAGGCAGCCACTTCACTGCAGTCACAAATTATTGCCCTTTACTTCACCCTGCATTGATCCTGTGCTGTGCTGCACCATTGTGGTGGTTTTTTGTTTTCTTGTTTTGTTTTGCTATTTCTTCCATGCAAGAGTTTGCTTAGCCAGTTTATGCCAATATTGGGAAGGGAAGACAGACAGGAAACCTGTGGCAGAAGTGCATTGGATTTTAAAATGCAATCTGTCCCAGTTAATTATAAACCTTATTATGATAGCAACACATCAAGAGATAAACTCTGAATTATATAGTTGTTGCAAGGATAGCACATACTAACTATAGTTTTGAGTTGAAGTAAATGTAATGAAATCTATTTTCCAGCTACACACATTGCTTCTGCCTAAACACTTGTTCAGATTTTTCCAGGTGAAGTGACCCAACCATCCCCAAGTATAAAACTGTGGAAGAAGTAACTTCCGACTTGGTGTATCCCTAGATGCAGCTACCACTTTCCAGCAGTGGTTTTCAGGAGGATAGTGTCACATTTTTCAGCTGTTATGCTGGCATCGATTGCTACTGAAAAGTGGCAGCTGTTCCAGGAAGCGCAGATCAGATGTTAACTTTCTTCCAAGAACTGCAGGCTGCTCTTTGTGGAGTGATTTGTAAAGCCTTCTGAAGTGGCCCTGAGACTCATGTACATGGTGGCCAGGGCCACCCCACCCATGAGGCAAGGTGAGACTACTACCTCAGGTGGCAGGATCTACGGGGTAGCAGGTCCAGTCTCCAAGGAATGCCTTGCCTGCTGCTGCTGCCACTGCCACTGCCATGCACTCCTTGCCGCCTCCTCAGCAGTCCCCACCATGCCACCTCTATAGCAGCTTCTTGGCGAATAGGAGGCACTCTTGGTCTCCTCCCACAGCATGAGACGAAATGGTGGGGGCTGTCCTCTGGGGATTTCTGGGCTCTGCACCTGGCCAGTGTGTTATAGAGTGAGCCCCTTCCCTACCCATCCACAATGACCTTTGATTCCCATATGGTAATGTTGAGGTGAGTACCATCCCCTTGTTCCCAGTGTTGATCTTTATTCCCCCTTTGTTCCTGATGTAGATCTTCACTCCATCCCTGGCAGGAAGGGGGGCGGAACAGACCATACCATTTTGTGGTTTGCCTCAGGTGCCAAAATGTCTTGGATCGGTCCTAATGGTGGCCATCCTAAAACCTTCCATATAATGTCCCCCTCCCTACCTGTGACAAGCATGTTGTATTCAACCACAATCACACCTAGGGTGAATCTTTCAGTACTCATTGGTAAGTGTCCAACACAACCAGAAAGCCAAATCCACAACTGACCTGCTACACTTCAGGGGATACTGTTGGGAGAGCAGTGTAATCGATGCCTGCATTTATCATTATTATGGGCCTGTGTTCCCCCTGCTACTTTGGCATTACAAAGAAAACCTCATAAAACACTGATATGGGAAAACATCAGAGAACGCTGTAGCTGATGTTGCCTCATTGAGATTTGGAACACGTTCACAGAATTTCTGTTTGACCCCTGAGGAACAGATTTACCTCAGCATGTGTTGAATGTAAGCTGCTGCTGCTTCTCCCTGTCTTTCTCTTTGACAATTAAGTTTTCTTGTATCAGCTTTATTTCTTGTTTCTTTTTGGTGTGTTTCCACTGGACTTGCTGCTGCTGGTTTGACCACTTTTTGTCCACTCAGCAGTAATAAAATATGCTTTCACTCTTAAACAGGGCCTCCTAGCTGGCTTGGTACTTAGTGTCCCCCACTTCAAAAAAAAGAAGGGGGGGGAGAGAATGGGAAACCTGTAGCACCTTCAGGGGAGTGAACCTGAAAGACTAGAAAATAATATTAGACTTTCAGGAAAAAGGCAAAAAAAACCATGCTTGAATGCATGGGATGAGGTCATACTTAATTGCCTTTACTACACATTTGTCCCTCTTCAAAGCTTTTCTTCACAACTATAAACATTTAATCTCTTTTCTCTCACACAACAACACACATAAATCCACCATTTAAAAGTCATCCCAATACACATTTAAGACCCTTATCCTATTTTAAAGATAACATTTGCTTCACAATTCCTTCCTCATAATGACATATTGATTTCAGTGTTAGCCAAGGCAAAATAAAATGTCAGATCTAGTCAATATACAACATAGGCTTGGATCTTACATTGCCCCTCTGGGGTCCCTCGCCCCACAATTCTTTCTTTTCCCCACAGCCTCCAGTGCCACTTCCTGCACTGTTCCAGAGGGTGCTAAACTCTCTAGGGCAGATTTCCATCCATGGCTGCATAGGGAAGGGTGAAATTGCTTTCCCACCCTGGCGCTGTAGCATCCAAGCCACAGTGTTACTTACTGACAAAAAATCCACACAGTGTATAAGCAGTAACTATTGCACATGTAAAAATAATGTACGGTAGTTCCATTCTTTGACCAGCTAAAACCTAACAAGCCTCTTGAGTATTCATAGGTCAGAACAGCTTATGTCATGTGAGGAGGCCTGATCCCTATGTAAGTTTCTGTTCTATATTAGTTGCTGATGACACCCAGATCTATCACTCCATTCCATCAGAATCAGGTGAGGCACAGAAGCAGCTGGATCAGAGAATGGAGAACAATAACAGGCTGGATGAGGGCCAGTGCACTGAAACGGAATCCTTACAAGATGGATGTTCTGTAGGTGGGTACATGACATACCATACCTACAGAACCCCGCTTTACATATTTGGAAACCCTCTTTCAAATCTAAATACCTATCTGTGTTGCTTCAGCAAACTTATGAAGCAGTGTCAAAAAAAAAAAAAAGACATTTCAGTCGTTCAGAGTAAAATGGAGGATAACATTTCTTTTCAGTAGATTCACTCCCATCTGATTGAGGTGAAAGGTTAAAGATGGGGTAGAGAGGAAGGTGCAGGGGAGGGTGCCTAACTCGTTTTGCAGGATTGAAGACACTCCCACTGATAATAGTAATAATACTGCACAGCTGGTTTAAATGACATGAACAGTGGAAGTAAAATGCAGTAACTAAAAAAAAAAGGGTTAAATCTAACTAAGTTATTGTGTGAGTGGAACTTCTCCTCCCCATCCTCACCTTTCATGCCCACTCCCAAATCAACTCTAGAGAGTTTTGGGAAACGCCAGAGAAGATTTGGGAGGGGGCACACAGGAGAAGGATATGGAAAGTGAGTTCCTCTTGTGCAATCACTTGGTTGCATACAACCAGGACTGGTCCACCCATGAGGCAAGGTGAGACAACAGCCACGGGTGACAGGATGCATCAATTACCGCTGCTGCCGCCGCCACAGTAGCAGCAACAGCTGCAACACACTCCTTGGAAGCCAGATCTGCCACATCCTCTACAGCAGGGGTCAGCAACCTTTTTCAGCCATAGGCTGGTCCACTGTCCCTCAGACCATGTGGGGGGCTGGACTATATATTTTGGGGGGTGAGGGGAAATGAACCAATTCCTATGCCCCACAAATAACCTAGAGGTGCATTTTAAATAAAAGGACACATTCTACTCATGTAAAAACACGCTGATTCCAGACCATCCGCGAGACGGATTGAGAAGGCGATTGGGCTGCACCCGGCCCCTGGGCCTTAGGTTGCCTACCCCTGGTCTACAGCCTTCCCAATGCTACCTTGACATCAGCCTCTTGGTGAATAGGAGGCACTGCCAGTCTCCTCCCAATTCCTAGGGAGGAAATGGTGGGGGCGGTCTCCTGGGCCCTGCACCTGTTAACCATCTCAAGTCTTTTGAGTTTCATGTAAATGTTGGGTGAATGGCTGACTATTTTTCAGCTGAACGTGTTCTGAAATTTGTCATGCAGAGTGAACCAATAATTAAAGAAGGCAGCTTCTACTGCCGTATCACTTACAATGTCATGTTGATCTCTAGTTTCTTCTGATTACTGCATTGCAATGGGTTCACCAGCATCTGAATTTGCAAAAATCTTTTGCAGTCATGGACAGAAAATAGGTGGTTGCTAGGCATGCACCCCATGAGTCATATCAACTGACCCTAAATCTATTATGTGCTGTTTGAGGTCTTCCATTCAATGTTTTGTTACCTAGAACTAGATACTACACCAGTATAAATTAATGAAGTACACTATTCAACAGCAGGGCAAGCACTTGCCATTCATCTTTTGTTGATCTATGGGACTCTTTTCTTTGTGTCTTTAATTATTTATCCCCCAAAGTTCTTATGGAATAATAGCTCTTTGAAAAATAAAAGAGAGATTAAAACTTGAATTTGTATTCCTAGCCTCTCCTGAACACTGAGAGAGTGGGGGATAGGATCACACTAGATCCCTCTTTCACTTATGTAATGCAGCTGCTGTGGTAAGTAACACAAGGCATTTGCAGCATGGAACTACAGTCTTGAATCTGGATTAGCCTCTACTGTTGGCTTGTGTTTGTGGACATGTAGTAAACTAAGTTTTTTTAAAGTCCAAATTCAAAAAGTTTTAGAAATACTCTTATAAATTGAATGGCCAATGGTATTATATATTACTACAGTTGAACTGGACTGTCATCTGCAACAACTGGTCTTCAGAGGTCTACTGCCTCCAAAAGTATATGGCATACATAATATTAACCATTCTGAATTTTGCTTTGACAAATTTATTTTCATTTATGTGATATCTAGAGTGTACTAGAGTACACTTAATGTATTGAATTTTAATATTTATCTATTAATATTCTATACATATATGTAAACCTATAATGTGCTAGTAAAAGCCATCAAGGACATAGGTGGTTGATGCTAAAGTTCTAAATTAAGCATCCAGGAATGGTACATTTTGTAATAAATTTGCTCCCTGAATGGATAGATCAGTATCCCATTTCATACAATCTTAATTTCCTGGCCTGTGAAATCTTATAGTGGAGACCAGACAGGTGGGGGTTTCTCCCTCCGTCCTTGTAGAAGTGGTAGTTTGGCAGGAGTGGAATTCTTAGCTATTAATGAAGCAAAGAGAATAATTGTTACGATCTTGGAAAATTTTGGAGCAGACCTACAGAGGGACTGGTTGGCACCATTCTGGCTCCTGCCTGGTCTGTGTATGTTTTCTGTCTACATCAGTTTGTTTGTCCAGTGAGATATTTCCCTGCAGGTAAGAGTGTGCTGATTGCAGTGTTGGGTACTGTTTGATTGCTGGCTGAGTGAATATAGCTGGGGTGTGGGCCAGAGCCTGCCTTGCAATATGAACAGGCTCTGTTGTGGGCAGCAGGGTCATTTAGCAAGGGGGCACTGCCCAAAGGGATTGCTGCTTTGGGTCATCACTTCAGGGAGTAACAGGGGTGCTCCCCACTGTCAATCAAGAATTATAGGCTCGATGCTGTGGGAGACAGGCCTGTGACCCTCACTTAGGGTGAGAGTCTTCTAGAGGGGCAGTGTGGTTTGGTGAGGTTCCCCCTGAGTGTTAGACAGAGGGAGAAGGGTTGAAGTGGCCTTACCATCTTTCTCCTGACAGTGTGGCATGTGCTGGGCTTAAGTGGCTCTAACTTCCCAGTTATATATGATGTTATTGAATGACAGTGTAAAATGTGTCTGGGTGGGCAGGTAGCGGGGAGTTGCCAAGATATTGCCCCAATTTCAGTGGCAGTGGGCAAGGGAAGGTACAGTTGGGGTGGAGGAGCTGAGTCTGACCACTATCTGAGGCAGAGGCTTAGGTAGAATCATGGAGTTGGAAGAAACCCTGAGGATCTCTAGTGTAGTCCAACCCCCTGCAATGCAGGAAAATGCAGCTGTCCCTATGGAGATCAAACCTACAACCTTGGCATTATCAGCACCATGCTCTAACCAACTGAGCTATCCAGCTGATATAGGGTCATTATTCCTTGTTCTAGTCTTCTCACTCCTCCATAAGTTACTGGTAGCTTATCTGCTGAGTCCTATGGTTTGGTGGTACTGTTTCCAAATGTCAAATTGGTCCATAATAATATAGGACCATACTCATCCGTCCAGAGGCTGATCTGACTTACACAGAACGAGACAAGCAGAATGCAGCCAGGCTCCTGCTTCTTGATACCATTGACAATGGTGTCCTCTTGGATCAGCTCTGGGGAATGGGACTTGGAGGCACCCTTAGCAGTTTGGACCAGTTTACTTGAGAGATCACCTTACCCCATATATGCCCACTTAACCTCTTTGATCTGCAGAACGGGCACTGTTACAGGTGCCACATAATACTTGTCCCACATTTGTAAGAAATTCATTTTAGTGTTTTGCAACTCTTCACCTATTGACACCAGGCAGTGCCTTCACTGTACTCTTTTGGGAGCCTGCTAAAACCACTTTTGTTTAGGCAAGCCTCTCCAAACAGGGAGAATGTGGGCGTGGGCTTTAATCTGGTGTTTAGTTTATAACTGATTTTTTTAAAAAAGTTTTAAATAGTAGTTGAACTGTTTTTACCAAGTAAGTTACTGTTTTACTTTTTTTGTAAACCGCTTTGCAATCAGATAATATATAAATCTTGGGACATAAATACACAAATAACTAGATTGGGGCAACTGGGCTAGTACGTTTGGGTGCAACTCGGAGTGTGTTGACTGTTCTTTGCTCCCAGCTTGCAGCGGGACACAGTAACACAATCCAGCTCCTAAGGCTCCAATCTTATGTCAATTTTTTTCCCTTGGAGCGAGCTCCGCTGGGTAAAGAGTTACTAGGACCGTAAATAAATACTGCGAGTGAGAGAGAAAAGGGGGCGGGAGAGGAGAAG